AAGAGGGCGAAAGGTCCGGCTGACAATTCCCTAGAGCGATATATCACTTCGTCCGAGGTACCGAACCTCGATGTACCGTTAAGTAGCTGTTTGCCCGCCTTACGGCAACCAGTCTCAACGAAAAGCGCTAGGCCTCGCTCGCCTCAGCGGCCCGTTCTTGAATGGATTGATTTGGCTTGTCGGCGCACCTGCCGTGGTACGTATAGCCCAAGAGCAAAAAGGGTTGCACGGGCGGGTACTTTTCTTTCTTTTCTCTCTCTTTCTTCTTCTCGGGAACAAGCCCGCCGGCGCACCAACCGCGGGTACGAGGCAATTAATTCCTTTGTTCTCTTCTTGCCTTTCTGTTGCCGTCGTGAGCCCTGGACCCTGGCTCGTCTTTGTCACGAGGCTGTCAGGTTCCAAAGATCCGGCGCGTGGGCCGGAGCTATGTCGTGACCAAGGGAGAGAGAGAGGGGAGGTGGAAAAGGATGGAGCGCGCTACCTGTTGCCATCCACTGGCACTCCATCTTGATTGCTCTCACCCAACGAGGTGCCTCCGCCGTCTGCTGCAGAATGCGCAGCCACGACATGGCGCTTCTCTCTCCCCAGTGCCAGCCGTGGATTTGCAGCAAACAGATCTGGAGTGCGCTGCGGCCCACGATGTTTCCTGATACAGCTTGCAGACCATCCCTTCGGCTCATCAGGGCATGCGTGACGAGGGAACAATGGCGCAAGAGGGCAGCAGCCTTGGTCATTTATGACGGCGCGCGGCTAGGGATGCCGAGAGGCAAACGAAGGTAAAGACACGTGGTTCCACCCAACCCACATTCATTGTTTGCCCGAAGCATGTGTGCCTCCCCTTCGATCAGGGAAGGAGAACAAAGGGGGAAATGGAAGCAAGAGGTATGCCCACGACTTGAAGTAAGCGGAAGGGAGCAAAGGGCAGGGCAGCTATTGTCTTGGGTTGGTTGGTTTATTCCGGTGTGTGTGTGTGTGGCCTGACTGGACTTGAACTGGCCGAACCTGGACGGCCGCCGAGTCGGCCGCGTAGCTGACGTTGCACGAAAGGAAGGGAGCAAAGGACCTAGACTAATGCCCGGCCGTTTTCTTTCCACCCGGCCAATGGCACCTATCCCGCGATCCGTGTCTTGGAAACCACCCATCTGTACAGGCTATGGTTGAAGGCATAGTCTGTGTGCTCTATCCAGCCCCGTGCTTGGGTCGTTGCTGTGGCAGTGTGCGGGCAAAGAATGGCTCCCGCTCTCTAAGTGCAATGGTTAACTAGCTCAGATCAGGCATGGCAAACTACCACTAGCAACGTTTCTGCCACGTACACTACCTATACAGTAGACGGACAACAGGGTACTTCTCGGTGCAGGCAAACCCCCAGTTGGCGACGGCAGCGCTGGAGTTATTGGAAGCGATAATCCCCCAAAAACAATGGGGATCAAGGGGAAAGGGAGAAAGGATGCTCCCGTCCATGGCCAAAGTCACCCATTGGGCGGTGCGACATTTGTCTGCCCGCTATGCCATTCCCATTTGTCCCCACCCTTTTTACAAGCACCATCCACACTTTTGAGGCCAGGGAAGGGGAACGGGAGACGGGAGACGGGAGACCGGAGGGGGGTTGTAGGAGGACATGGGACAGAGAGAGAAAGAGAGAGAGAGGGTGTGTGGTGTGTGTGTGCGCGTGTGAGGGAGGGTGAGCAAGAGGCAGAGAGGAGATAGGGACACAGAGGGAGAGTGTGTGTGTATGTGGGGTGTAGACAGTAGGGGGTACGGATGCTGTAGGTAGGTACCTAGATAGGTAGGTAGGTTATGGATAGCAAACTCCCATTTCCATATGGTGCAGCCTGCAGATGCAAAGAGGGAGGAAGGTGCCGGTTGTGGTCGCAGGTGCAGCAGGTGCAGTGTAGCACTCACTGTACTGCAGGTATTTAGGTAGGTTCAGCAGAAATGAGCACAACGCAAGGGTTGCGGTTGCGGAACCAAAGGAAAAGTAGTGGATGATCGTTGGTCACGAGTTTAGTTGCGGCCATGCCATCCATGATGGAGCGTTACCACCGTCACGGTTCACCAAAACAACTCGGACTCCATGCGCATGGGGTCCTGTATCTTTGAACGCGTTCCTGACCCTGCTTCTCTTTCCTCGAACCAAGGTAGTAGGTAGTAGGTAGTGTACCCCGTACTTTCAACCACACCCCCACCCCCCGCTGGCCATCTCGTCCTAGTTTGTATGCATGTAGGCATGTATGCATGTATGCAAATATGCACGTAAAAGTATGTGTGTGTGTATGCGTGTGTGTGTGTGTGTGTGTGTGTGTGTGTGTATACGCGCCCCCCCTCCCTAATCTCATCCCATCCCATCCCATCCCGTCTCGTCTTGTCTGGCTGGCCAACTGGATAGAAGATTTCTTAACCTACGCAGGAAGCATGACTACCGACCAACCAGCCCAACTGCTACCTTGCAACATTTTTACTCTGGGCCTTTCTCGTGCAACGCTGCCTATTATACCTCCACCTTGCATACAGCCGCCCATCCTTTGCACACGGCACTGAGACACGAACCGCGAGCCAAGACGGGAACAGGACGACGCGATCAAGAATAAACAAGCGGCAACTGCCACCAGTCTTGAGGCAAGGTATACGAGAAAGTCACACGCAGACAACGGGCGGGCATAGTTGGTTTTCCAGCCTTTGCCATTCGTCCTCCGTCGTCCTCCAATCCAACAAAGAGACAGACCAGGCGCGCGGCATTTGTTGGAGTCCTGTCGTGGGGGAGATCTCTCAGCCAGCTCACCCAGCAAGGACCTCGGGAAGAAGCAAATATTGTCGTCCCCCCTTGACCCGTTACCTAAGCGACCTCGACCATGCATTGCCTGGCTTGCACCGCTTTCGATACCTACCTTGGAAAACGACGGAACGGTCAAGGACGGTACGGTGCGGTTCGGTACGGTACCTTCCTTGCCTTACCACACCTCACCATTCAACTGGGCCCCCTGGCGTCCCGGCGTCTGACATCTGGCGTGCGCCTTGCGCCTTGCGGGTGTGTGGTGTGCGGTATGCGGCGGGTATGTACTTGTATGGCAGCGTGACTATAATTCTTGTCTCTTGGTTGTCCGTCTGTCTGTCCAGCTCTCTGTTTGTCTCTTGTCATTTCCCTTCTGCTTTGCTTGTGCTCTCTGTCGCCTGTTCAATCAACCTGCCCTGCCCTGCCCTGCCCTGCCCTGCCCTGCACTTCGCTGTACTGTACTGTACTCTACTGTGCTGTACAATACCTGATCTAGGTAGGTACCTCGGCAGGTACCCCCTTCCACGTCCCATCATTTGCCAGACTGCCATCGCTCATCCCCGTTCTTCATCCTCTTCCCACACCCCTGGACCGCGAACCCCACACCTCACAGGTGGGGATGCGGTACGTACATGGGGTGTTCAAGGTACTTGGCTGTAGTACCACCGCGGTGTGCAAGTACCTTTTCGGTTCCACACCACCCACCTTGCAGCTCTGGCGCCTCCCCAGTCTTGCGCGCTCTCTCTCCTTCTAGCCCCCCCCCCCCCCCTCCCCTTCTTCCCAGCGCACGCCTCTCCGACTCTTGAACAATCCCTGCCTGCCCCGGCATGGTACCGCTTCTTTCCTGGTACTTTCCCTTCTTACCCCTACCCCCGTACCGCACCGCACCGCTCCATGCCACGCTTGCTCATCCAAGTCCAAAGGTACGGACGGGCCCAAAAGACCAAGGACCAAGGTACCACTCACACGCTCGTAGACGGATACTTCTATCTTAGTGTGCTTCTTTCCCTTCTTACATACATCTCTGGCACAATCCCTCTCCTTCCACTCCACCACATACCTACCTTTTTACATTACATTACCCGCCTTGCGCCTGCCTTACCTTGCCGGCCTTACCTCACTCCTTCTCCTACCTCCTTCCCTCTACTTTGACTTCTTCCGAGGTGCGCCCTTACTTGGTTTCTTCGACCTAATCCGCCGATCGCTCACAACTTCCATCCATCCTCCTTCCCATCATCGAGCATCGCTATCTCCTCGACTTGGAGGGGGGTTTCTTCCTTTCTTTTTCCCACCTCCTCTCCTGTCGTCACCGCGAGAGGGAGGCTAAATCAGTAACTGCCGTCACCGACATCATCGCCGCCACATCTCTCTTTCAACCTTACACTCGCACGCAACCACCGCGCGACCCGGCTCACCAAGCTCACCACCAATTTTCTCGCTTGGATGAGCCAGACCTTACCTCACCTCCATTCCACGACGACAGCGACATCGCAACAGCGTCAATCGACGACGCTATCGCTCACCTTTGCGCACCTGCCATCTTCCTGGAGATCGGATCATTACCAGATTCGCCTTCGCATTTTAAATTAACCATTCCAGCCACACTGCCTGCGCGGCGCAACTGCCACCCCAACTATCGCATCTTATCGCACCTTGACGTTGTGCGCGCCCTGCGCACCTCAGTTTTCTCCCCTCTTCCTCTGCGCTCGCTCCCTCTGACGGCTTATACGGCAGCTCCTACTAAGTAGCGACTTACCCCCCCCCCCACCACCTTCCTGCGTCTCTGGGTGTCCCAAAGTCTATCAACCGACTGACTGCGCCCTTGTCTCTCCGTCGCAGCCCACTTGGTCATGATTCTTGTCCTCCCCGCATTTCGACGGGCCTTTCGATAAGAGGGTTTGACGGGTAGCCGACGCGAGCGTGCTGGCCATCAAATATACTCGGACTTCACGCTACACACTGCCCTCCCTCCCCCCTCCCCAAACAAGATAGCAATTGCCCCACCAATACGATAAAATCGCGAGGCGACGAGAGGACAGGTCCAGACGCGGCGCCCGGGTGGACTCGCCGCAACCAGAGCATGGCAGAGGAGCAAGGACGAGGGCCGCCTTCTACACACAGAGAAGACCCGTCCATCCACGACCGAGAAGACGAAGCACGTCACCGACTTCCCCCCGTAGGAGCACACGAAGACCCAAGATACCCCGACGACAGACATCAAAGACCCAACATGGCCGCGCCAGTGACGCTACCTTCCATCCAGGATCCCCACGGATCCTATGGCCAGCCCGCATACCCAAGGTCATACCCTCCCGACCCCCGAGGAGATCCGCGCGCCGACCCTCGCGGCAGCAACTACAGCGCATCACCCAATTCCGTGAACGGCTACCCGCCTCCGCAACCAGGCGGTCATCCCCCTCAACTGCCGCCGCTGCAGCCCCCAGGAGACCCAAGGTCTCCCTCCTATCCTCCTGCACCAGACGCGAGGGACGACTACTACAGAAGTCGCCAGCCGCCTCCTCCGCCGCCGCAGTATGGCGGCGACCCCTACTACCAAGACTACCACAACCGCCAAGGCCCGCCTCCTCCAGGTCGCTATCCTGACTACCCTCCTCCCGGCCCGGGTGGGCCACGGTACGATTATCCGCCAGGCGCGCCCCGGTACGACTACGGCCCGGGAGGACCTGCTATGCAGCAAGCTGCGCCTCGGCAGCGCACATCTATTGCTTGCAGGTACTGCAGGAAGAGAAAAGTACGTCTTTGAGCGAGGAACCATCCAAATCGCGTTGTGAAGCTAATTCGGGAATCTTTCAAGATTCGTTGCAGCGGTTATCAGAGCGCTCCGGGCGGCAAATGCGTCAACTGCAGCAGGATGAACCAGGAATGTATTTTTCAGCCTGTCTCTTCGTCCAGCTCGACAGCCTTTGTTCCCGTATCCGCGATCCAAGGTGGCGTTCCGCCGGGCACGCCGCTCTATGGAGCCTACGGACAACCTTTGCCCCCGGGCTCATTACCTCCGGGCTCATTGCCTCCGCCACCCGCTCAGGGTTACCCCCCTCAACCCGGCAACGGGTACTATCAACAGCCCCTGCCGTCCCCGACGGGTGGCTATTCCCCGTACGATGCGCAACGTGCGGGAAGGCGGCGACCGAGAGACGACGATGTGGACGAACTGAGACCCCCACCACCTGACCCGAACTCCTCAGAGGATCCTCGACGTCGCTCGCCAGCATCGAGTTCGAACCACAGCAGTCCAGGTGGTTATATGACCTACCCACCTGCTGGGCCCGGTGGCTACGACGCCAGAGGACCCCCGCCAAGACACAGCCCCGGACAGCCGGCAGCCGCGATTCCGCCGCAAACCGTGGATGAGCGAGCCGCAGCCGCAACGCAGCGGCAAAGCAACTCGTCGACTCCTGCAGCCTCATCCAGTTCTGTCATGAGCCTGAACAACTTGGTCGACACGAACCCCAACGACATAGATAGGAACATGCTTGGAAGGCTAAACCGAGGTCCCCCGGGAAGCCAGAGGAAATAACTTGCGCAGTCGATTACTGTTTTTAGCAACGACTTAATATTTACGCGGATGTCCGAGCACCCTCGTTACTACGCAGGAAGAAGGGGTGGCGGGGTGGTGGTGAGGTGGGGGAATGAATCCGCTGGCAGGGCTTTCTCTGCACGCTAGGAGACCCGGCGGCATCATGGAAACCTCGCTCTTGGCTCGATCCTCACGATCATGCCTGCTACTACAGGCAGCGGTAACAAAGGAAATGTACATGATTCTTGGTCTCACGCAAAATCATGGAAACGCGTATGGATTTTTGACCGGAGCATGCGCTTTTGGAGCCAGGGAGGGGTTTTCTTTTATAAAAGTTGGCGAGGACGGCTTACGGGACCAACCACAAAACAACACGGTCAGCATCGTCTTGGTTTTTGCCTTCTTGTTAGGTGTTTGCTGCTGGGAGAGGGGTTGGGGAAAGGGTGGGAGGTCTTCTGCTTGAGCATACCATGCGGGTTTTCCGGCAACCGGGAACCTGGTTTTTGTTGCGCCTGCCTCATTTTCCTTTTCGTGTTTCGTTTTTTCGTACACAGTCATTTCCCGCAAAGGAACGGAAAGGGTCAAGAATGGTTTGCCTCACGGCATACGTCTGTTTTATGCTTCGCTGATCTGGTCTTTTGTGGTTTTCTTGGTTTTTCTTTTGTCGCTACCGACATTTGCGTTGTTTCTCTCCATGTAGCTGGAAGTGGGCCGGCCATATTCAACTTGTTTTTGCCCTTCTTTTTTATACTAGTACCCCCCACTCATAAGAAGAAGTTATTATGACGACGAAGCAGATCGCGCAAGCGGACGAATCCAAAGGGTTGGGCGGCAAAGAGATGATATTTCCATTCCCATTTGTGCGTTTGCAGCAGTTTCTGTGTTAATTCCTCTCTTGTTTCCCTCGCTTCCAGTGGCATCGCGAGGATTACAGAATACCAAAGCTCTTCTCTCTGTCTCCCCCCACCCCGGAAGCAGGTTGGTTCCTGGACAAACAAATACGGGGGACTTCAAAACACACGGACGAAGCATCCCAAGAAAGGCGGAGTGGACTGTATCGAATGGGACGGAAGAGGTGTCACCGAAGACAGAGCGGGAACGTGTTCGTTGAAGCGTAGCATCATAGCCTTCTACTAGCACCTTTTATTCATTTACTTAGTTATTTGTTTCGACGGAGCCAACAAAAAAGCCTGAATCATGTCAATGCCGGCAGATCGTCTGCCACGTGTGCTTGCTCTCTATCTCTTGTTTTCCCACGCATACGTGCGTATTCTCTCGACATTTATGTACCGTACATCAACATAACATGTTGTTTTGTCGAGCGCTGGCACCCATTGTCCTCGAGATTAAAAACAATCCACCCACCTCGCAGCACGCGCATGTATAACGAAACATTTTGTTGCAGCAAGCATAAAACCATTCGACACGTGCCGCTCGGAACATATTTCGAATCCCCTTTTTCCCTTTTTTTTTTTTCATGCTTACTTGAAAAATCCATCCCCCTTTGTTGCGCCCTTTCAGAGGAGAAAAGACACAAAGGGGGGGAGGGGCTCTTACTACCTACCCGATCCTAAGAACAGAAAGGGAGGGAAAGAAAAAAGGGAAGGAAGCTACGGGCGGGAGGACGGCTTGCCGGCCGCCAAACTCCAAAGTCAAGTCAAGGTTGGGGGCCGGACCGATGCTGTCAAGTTCCGGGAATTGCCTGGCCTCATGGCAACCTGAACCCATCCCCCCCCCCCACCTCCCGCTCCGTTTGTCATCCAGGCCAATGCCTCCCATTAACCGTCCGTCTTAGCGGTATACAGAAGGTATGAGAAGAGATAGTCGTGGCGTGATGCGGCGTGGTGGGCGGGCGGGCGGGCGGGCGTATGTGCGGTCTGAGGGAGCGAACGAAGCCTTGTGGCTTTGCTGTTCACCCTCACCTTCTCCTCTTTTTTTTTAATCCCCTCTAACCCCTTCCCCATGTCCCTCTCTCTCCCTCTTTCTCTCTCTTCCTTTGTCACATCGCTCATCGTAGGCCAAGGGATCCCCTCTCCCTTGACTCCGTACCCCCCCCCCCCTCCTGCTTCGGCCAACGGCCGGCGGAGACATGCAAACTTGTCACTCGTCTCTCCCTCACACCCCCCCCCTCCTTGCCTTATTCTGGCCCCAGTGTCTTACTATTGCCATACAAGGTATAGTTCCACAGTAAAGTTCCCGGGACAAAGGAAGAAGAAATAAAGATGAGCTTTCCGCTCGAGGAAACAAAGAGACGAAGTGATCGAATCAATAGCAACGTACAAATAAATAAATCACAATAAACTAAATAAGCCGGTTGAACGCGCGCGTTCCAAATTTTACTGGCCCACTAAAACCATAGACGGATTATTCCACCCCACGATGTGTGTTGCGTTATGTACGTGCGGTGAAGACAGTGGTGTACAGAGGGACGACGAGCAGGAGAGGACGAAGAGGGAGGAGGAGAAAGAGGAAGAAAGGAGGAGAAAGTGAACAGGCGCATCGAGGCGAGCCGGGTCAAGCCAGGTACATTTTGAGGGGTGAACGAGGCTTGAGAGGCGATTTAATGAAAGCATTTCGGGGCCCTTAACGCTAGTCCTGGTTCTCGTTCGCTCGCTCTCTCCCTCCTCTCTTCTCGCACTCCTCAGCGGGCCAAGGAACGAGAGGAGGTGATGAACCATACATCCATGGTGTCTGAGTCTCAGTGCCCCCCTCTCCGCAATCAACGCTCATGGGAACCCAGCCTTGGGTTGATCCTGGTCAAGCAAGCCTCGCGAGCACGCCAAGGCAAGGGGGGGGAGGAGAGGAAGGGCAAGGGAGGAAGGAGTCCGTTCGGCGACGTTGAGCACTGTGGTCCGAAGAACCGACCAGGTATATACTCGAGTCGCACACACACCACATGTCATCGATGACACACTCATACACGCACAAAACCCACGAGTCTAGCCAACAGGAACGGGGAGTCTACCACGGCCAGCTGAACAACGCCTCGTCGCGCATGCGCTTGCGGAGAAAAGGCACAACACAGCAAGCGTGTGCCCGTCATCAACACCAAAAACAACAACATCAGAAGAAGAGGAAGAAGAAGAAGAAGAAGAAGAAGGAGGAGAAGAACGAGTACAAGAGCGCTTACAGCGCTGCCCATTGGCTGACGCTGTCTGGGGACTGCGGTTCCCTGTTGGCTTCTTACTCCTATGTACTCACACAAGTCTGTGCTTGACGAGTGCAAGTCAGGAGAGGTCGAAGCATGTACTGAGGCATTTGGTATGAGATGTTTGGCCAGTCAGTGTGTTCGCTTGCAAGCGTGTAATTCCGTTACAACTTCACAAGTATCCTTGCGGCCTCTTCTCAGCGGTGAGTCCAAGAACGCATAATGGAGACTCTTTGCAGTTGCGCTAAGGGGGGGTTTGGGCTGTCGGGCTTGCCCGACATTGGATAGAGGAGGCGGAGAGAGTGAGCGATGAGCCTACTGTGTAACACACCACGAGCGCATGACATGGAGCACACTACATTGAAGAGACCCCTGACTACACCAGCTTCCCACGTCCCTTGTCTCGAGCGACCAGCAGAGCGGCCGACCACGACAAGAGTTACCTGCTTGCAATGGCGGCAGCCGTGGTAGGGGCCGGAGGGCGATGCGCGCGGCGAACTAATCAGCTATTAAATCAAGGACAGGCGACGAGAAAGAATGAAGAAACTCGGTCCCCGGCCGTTGCCTGGTGCATGAAAATCCTACAGAGAGCTACGGTTGATCTATTATAATTTTCCAAGTTTGTGACAGACAGACACCTCTGGCAAGGCGGATTTATTGACCACATAAGTACAAGAATGTACAATGAACCGGTACACCGCCAGTAATGCAGGAGATTGGAACGGCCACCTTTCGTCTTTCCCTTCACTAGGGGGAGGAAGAGGAAGTAGTGTGCATGTAGGCTATCGGATTAGCGTTGCGAAAGTAGGCTTCTGGATGAGGGTTAGGGGCTCAAGATTAGAACGTCTAGGCTTCGTCAGAGAGGATGCTCATGGCGCAAGACTCGTGATGTGGAGGGCACTGTATTTGCGAAGCATTCGCAATCTCTTTCGGGTCAAGTTTAGTGCGCGCGAAGAGAGGGGCTTGCCAGCCAGCCGCGGCCAAAACAAAGGGGAGATGGGGCCTAGAGAGAACCAATAACATAGTGGACGATCACCAAGCTCCAGGAACAGCTGGAACGATGGCGGCGCAGTGCCGGCCGGGCCTGGCGAACTGCTAACAAGACAAAGACACGAAATGCGGGTGAGAAGCCAAAGTCCGATCGATGCGCGCTATCTTTCGGAACGGGGTGGTTTGAGCGACATCATGTGATCCAATGGTCTCGTTCGTGGTGTTTAGTGACTCTGTTTTCGGAGAGGGTGGTTAAGCCTGAACGGTGACATTGAGATAGACGGTGAGCAAAGTCCGAGAGGACAGGGAGAGGGAGAGACAGAAAAGCGAAGAGAATATGGAATCTTGAAGGGAAAGGAATGCACCGAGAGGTATATCGCAGAGCGTCTAGACACAACAGGGAAGGGGGATGTGAAGAATTGGTGGATCTTGCCATGACGAGGTACCTCTACTTCTTTCGAGGCAAAAGGTACAAAACAAATACAGCCAGCATCGATGACCCGGAGCCGCCGAGAAGGGAATGTCCCTATTCAAAGACCTGGGAACGAGCGGGACTTGGTCAGCACAGCTGTCCACCCGGAAGCATCTGGCTTAGGCACGTCCGTTCGAGTCCTGTCTCAATCGATACGCCTGAGTCCGCCAGGGTGCATCCGGTTATGGGTGTGGGCGACAATGGTGCGCCTTGTAAGCGGGTATACCGTCTGAGAGTTTGCAAAGCTGGTTCGGAAATTGTCACATGGTTTTTGACGTTATGCGGCCACCAGCGCCCGTCCGCCATGTATGGAAACATGTACCAGGACAAGCCAGCAATCTGACGCGCAGGAAGATAATCTGTGAACTGTGCGGTTTTGTACCATTAGATTGTCCTTCGGTTTGGGCCACTCAGGGTCTTGAAGGTGGCAAAGCCCAGGCATCAGAAGGCACTGGTGAGGCGGGAACCGAGGTTGGCAGACGGGTTTGAAGGTCAGATGGTACATCAGGGAAAAGATAGTGGTAGGGCGTAATAATGGACGGATTCCAAAGGGGGGGGGGGGGGGTATGGGTGTGGGAAAACAGAGGAAAGGGATGGTGTGGTGCCCCCTCCCCAACTGAACATGACGCCGCTATGAAGTATGTAGCTTAGGTTGAACCCCAAGCATGACTTCCCCGTGCGGTATGAGGAAGAGACCTTATGGCTTCTAGGCTGGCTGAAAGGACTGTGCTTCTTTGGAAAGGACGCACTTTCAGGTACGTTTAAGGCATCAAGCAGATGAGCGTGCCTAGAGGAGGCGAGGGAACCAGGCGCTGGGGGTTAAGGATGCTGATAATCACATGGCACTCTTGGGTCAAAAGCTGGAGGTCGTCTGTTGGCTGGCTAAGGACGGGACGACGGAAGTCGACTGCCCTGGTTGAGCTCCTTGTACTGACTTTTGTCCTTGTCCACCACATTCGTACGCCTATGAAGAAGGCAAACTTTGAGGCTCGACTCAGGGAAAGCATCAAAGAAAGCTTTTTGTTAACGTACAAGCTGCTGCCGGCTTCCCCCCTATCTCACCTTTTATTCTTCCTACTCATACCTTTATTTCTCCATTCAACATTGTTGTTGCTGCTATTATCGTTCGGCTTTGTTGCACAGACGGAGTGGAGTTGTGTTATTGTGGTGTTGTTTCCCAACTCTACATATCCCTGGCAGCGGCTGATGCCAGACTCTAGACGCGTCAGGGTGGGTGGCTCCTTGTCTCACAAGATAATAAGTGAACGAGGACTGTGTTTCCGGTAATACTTGCTGACTATGCAAACATTCCTCGAGCTCGGAGTGTTGGCATGACGCCGCGCGGCCGGAAAATTGAGCCGGACATGAGTTTTGTTTTTCGTACGTAATCCCCATTTCTTCCATTCCCAGGGACATCTGATGTAAAGTTGAAAGCCGAGAGTTGCGAAGCTAACATCTAAAGATTAGATGTTGATGCTCAACCTGGTTTAACGCGTAGATGCCTTGGCTAGTTCCAACTTGGACGGGGACCGAGGGAGATACCCGTCCGCCCGAGCATCAAGGCGAATCTGATCAAATGGAATGGCGCGTTGCCAAAACTTAGACAAAGTTACAAGCTGACGGTAGTTCAAGACAAGCTGCCGCCCCGCCTCCCCCATGGTTGCTCGATCCGCAACCGGGATTCTTCCATTGAATGGCTCCCTCCAGACTGCAAACAGACGCTTGCAGCTGTCGATCTTGACTGCTCTGCGGCTATTGTTTTGGCATTTCTGGGCAGTATGGAATTCCCCCCGGGCATCTTCCACCCATCATCTTTCAACCCGAGACTGATTTTCTATTAGGGGCAAGAGCGGTTTAGGGGAGAAGGTAAATCATCACGACGCCCGCCGAGTTTATAAAGCAGACATTCCGATGAACCGACTCTATTATCACAATACCAGCCCATCGAGATCACGTCCGAAGATAAAAGCTTCCAAGGCTGGCATTTTAATGCAGAGGCCTTCAATCTCCGCTGTGTAACTTGCAGTCTCAAGTCAGCTGGAAGAACGAGTACGATGCTGGCTAGACAAGTCGGAATTCTCAGAAAACCCCAGAATAACCGCCCCTTACTCCCAAGGGTTAAAGCCATCCGCCATCCGGGTCATTCGAAACCTTCCTTCCGTTAGAAAACCCGACCCTTCGGGCCCTAACGTGCCGTAAAACGTGGCTCGGGTATAGCCATACGGGAAGAAGAGACACGGCCCCAAAGCATCATGGATAGGTACATTACCTATTCGCGCGGCGCAGATGAAGACGAAAGAGGAACACGGGACGGGCCAGGTCGCCGCTATGAACTAGCCAAAAGTATCCATCAGCATCCCAACCATATCGCGGCCTTGTTCTGTTACCTACGCCTCTTTCTTCGATGGCAACGGTACAAGGAGGGTGTAAATCTAATGGGCATTGAAGGCAGAGGCAACGCTTGATATCTTTGATCCTTTGGCTGTGCCAATATCAAAGCTCGTTGCAATACCGACACGGACGTACGTATCTTTCTTCAATGGTGTTTACTTTATATTATCGCTAAGGGTTAGGGTTGCATTTGTTGACAGGGAACGCAAATCAGATGGCTTATAAGGCGTTCATCAGTCGTACAATCGTAGATACGAAGGGATGCCGTCCACGGACCCTTCCGGCTGCGCATAAGGGGTGAGAAAACTTCAATAATGCGGCGGAGACATGTCTTGACAAAACATTTCAATATCTCTGCCGGAAGCTAATCAACTAGATTCCCAGAAATCATGTGTCATTCCTTCCAAGCGGACGGTCGGGTGGCGCATCCACTCCAGCTTCCCACACCCTGCTAGGTGTAAGACACAATGCTGAGTTCAGACAGCCTGGGAATCCTTCCGTCTTTGTCTCTTTCCGGAGGGCACGGGATGTCTCAAAACCTGCAGCTCGAGGAAGCAATAGCCATGTTTGACTATTGACCCGTCACGGGATCTCGAGGCTTCACACAGTGTGGGGCCACAACTTGGCATGGTGGTCGACAAGACAACACCAATGCCTGCGGCACCGAAATCCAATCTTTGAAGACGGAAAGACTTGTCAAGTTCTGGCAAGGAAAACAAAGAACAAGTGCTCTTGGCATTCCTCACCGCTGTCTATTGCTTATTATTTGTGCACGACTGTCCTGACGCCTGCGGCTACTGGCCACGCAATGCTTCACAAGACAGAGAACGGCGCAGTCTCTTTCCAGCATGGCGTTTTTCTGCTATTGTCCCTTCCTCCCCGAATTTTTCATAACCAAGGACATCGAATAGCTCCCCGGGCTGGCTATTCTGGACCTTGGCAAGCTAGAGCACATGGTTCCTCTCTTGATCTTGACCTCGAATATCAGGTCAGCTTTTCGTTTCATCGACGTCGAGAGAAGCGTTGGTTACTGAACGAGTCAGCGAGACGATGTATCAAATTGGGGAAGATCAGTACAGGATGCATTTAGTACGAATCAGTGCTGGATACCGGTTTATAATGTATTGTTCACGTTTCTATGACAAACCTGATAGTCGCATTCCCTTTTGAAAGGACATTCCGGAAGATACGACTCGTCCAAACGGCCACAAGCCACTTACTCTGTTGGCTTCTCTGTTACAGCTGTGGAAAGGCATAAAACATTCAACACAGCATGATTCTCACTTCGTCTACCAGTCCTTATTGCCATCCAAATTGAATGTACCGTTACCCCAATGCTTGAGACTTTACAACGTCATCAACAACCGTCACAGCGTCATGAAGCTACGGTAAATGGATAGAAATGACCACCCAGACCGTTGGATTGTAATAGGGCTGAAATTTTTAATTATTAAATTTCTTCCCCGACCCTTCACTCATCCCGCCTGCCTCGGTGTGCGGTGTAAGGTGAAGCCATGATGCTGACCGAGCTCCGCCTCGGTGAGCGAGGCGTCTGTGCTCGGTGAGACCACATCCCGCAGTCAATTCACCGGGCACTCACCTGTCTGTTGATGGGACAAATGTGGATAGAAGGAGTGGGTCGGAGGACGTGGACTCGGTCTTCACCAGGGCACAAAGATAGCAAAACTTCATGCATACAGCATGTTCCTCGCCTTGCGGATCCCTAGTGTCCGGAGATCATGAGCTTTTGGCTAACAAACTACACCACATCTATGAACACTCTGGGCCCCGGTGTACCATGTTAAGAGTTTGGTATCCCCATATCTCATTATCGGGTCCTTTGACTTGTACAGACGGGGCTAGGCCTGAGAAAAAGCACCACAGTGCCTTGCCTCTCTACGGGTTAAGCTCCCGTGGGCATGAGTGTATAGAGTTCCGGTCTGTCTGCGGGGTTGATCCTGCTTTTTGTCATTGCATTCTGTTGGCCGACTCTGCCGACCTTTCAGAGGTCGTCATCAATATATAAGCCCATCTGCTTTGCATTTGCCAAACGCCAGTCCGCGGGCAACCCTTGCGTAATGCTCCTGCTTATTCCCTTTGCTTCTGATTGAACCGCAGGCACGGAACCGCAGGCACGGTCGCCTACCGGCTCAGTGCGTTGTGGCCAAGTCGCGAACGATGCTGTTCTAGGAATCAGTGCCATTCCTACTCCTACTCGGGGCTCCAACACGTTACTCGTGTTGAACTCTGTTACGTGATGGGTTGGCCGATGTCAAGCCTGATCGGGTTCGGAGGAAAATGGGAATCTAGAAATTGTCAATGAGTCAGTTAGGAAGTGTTTGTAGATATTCATGCAGTCTTCACATTCGCGGGAGCTGATGCCATTACAAAATGATTGGTGGTCATGAACATCGTTGGTATCATTAAGGTTAGAGTGCTGATATTACCAGTCTCTAAATCTATATGCTAGTGGATTTGCAGGGGTTTGCGTCCTGTCCTGCTCTTCCGTGGTATCAATGCAGTCTTCCTCGTGCTCGCTCCCCGCCCAATAAAGGCAAAACCGTCACTCGAACTTGTCCATTACTCTTCGTATTCAGTCTCAAAATTCGGCGTTGGCGGATCGGGCGTTGGTGTCGATGAACGTCCCTCAACGCTCATTTCCTCTCGAAATGCCATTTGGCCGTATTCGTTTTTCTCCAACACAAAGCACCGTTCGGCGTAAACTCCATTTTCGTTCTGCTGACGCCAGGCGGTGCTGAAACGGCGGACCATAACCTTCCTCCAACCGCCTACATTAATGGTTATCTGTTTCCACGGAACATGGGGAGTGGCAAGCTGTTTCTCTCTTAGGAGGAATTGGAAAGTGCGCAGGGCCGCGTCGTAATCGCGATCTATCCCTGGGTAGACGACTTCGAGGGGATGAAGGACCGTCTGAACATGGAGTATAAGTGTTTGCAGGCTGCGGAAGCTGCAAATGGCGCGCAGAAACTCTGTCGGATCGCATAGAGCCACATCCATATCTAACTCCAGCGTGTGCACGAACGGCAGGCCCCGTGCCAAAGTCGCGATATCCTCGGCCCAGAGCGTCGGGCACCGTCGGTCCTCATCTCCGAATCCTACATGGTCGCGAAACCGGAGTAGCTGCAGGGAGGCGCCATGTCTGAGAATGCCATCCAAAGGGAAGAGCTGAATGTGACAGGTCACGCTCAGTGTCTGCAGAGCCCGGATGTGATGGGCCACCAACAAATAAAGACCACCCGTCGCCTCTTGTCGTCTGTCAGCTAGGTGAGCGCTGAAGTCCTCGCAGTGAAGCCGCCGTAGCCCCGCGAGGTGGGTAAAATCAACGGCTGTCAGGAAGTTGATGATAGGCACCGAAATCAAGTCGAGCGATTCGAGTTGGGTGAAGTCCCAATGTAGCCGAGTGTCCTCTTTGGAATGGTTCCAGTCGTAGGACTTCAGAACCAAGTCCTTTAACGGTGGCATGCGCTCTCCCTCTGCGAACTTGAAATTAGTCCCTTGTCCTCGGTCTTCGTAGTGGAATGTCTCGAGACGGCGTGACAGCAGGAGAAACTGCTTTAGAGAGTTCAATCGTGTCGTAAGCGGTGGGGCTGGACTAGCAAGCTTGAGGGATACGAGAAGATCTGTGGGAATAGCTCGAATGTAGGTGTCTCGCAGCTGCCCCTCGAATTCACGCAGTGGTAGATCCTCAACAAAAAGCTTCGTGCCTCTGAATCGTGTTTGTTGGGGATGAAGCAAATCTGACGGAAGCCAAAGGCGTCCCGATCTAAATTCGGCGTCGACGTAATGCCACCTGCAAGTATTGTTCAGCAAGCTATAGTCAGAACTACGCAGTCGGGGGTGACGTACCGCACGGTTTTCAGTCGTTGGACCCGGTCCAGCACCCTCCGGATGCCGTCAGGGTCAAGATCGCTTCGTGCAATCACATGGTTGGTGTAGGTAGACACGTTGCACAAGAGATTCGGATACCGCGAGTCGGCATCTAAGGCGACGATGCGCTCATTGAGGCATAGAGTACGGTAGGTAATAGGGGTTGCAATGGCCTCGAAGCGCCTTGACAAGCATCGCGCAGCAGCGAGGGCGCGGTCGTCTATTTCCCGGAGCTGGTTGTAGTGTAAGAAGACACGGAGCAAAATAATTTGGGAGAGAAGAGCAATGGCCAAAGCCGACAAGAAGAATATAGAAGACATACCTGCTCAAAGATAAGAGCTATGAGTTCGGAACTCAGGCCGTTGAGAGACCATTTGTGAGGCGCTGCGCGAAGGGAGGATGCGGTAGCCATTCGCCGATAAATGGCGCTTCCACATGGAGGAGCAGGTGAGAGTCAGGAAATGTGTCGAGGGAAAGTAGAGTTAGGCGAAGTGACCTCGTGGCCGGCACAGAAGGGGGCGGGGGGGGGGACTAAGGGTCTTATCAACTGTTCCATCAAAGTCGAAGGTGTTGTGCTGTTAAAGAGAGCTGGGATGGTCCGAAGTCATGATCCGCCAGTTGACAGACGGGGCTAACCAGTTTGCGGACAATGTCACGAGTGGGTACAGTTGGATAACGACCAGGTGGCAAACAGTGTAGCAAGCTAGCCAAACTAGCCGCGTAACTACTGCGGGAAGAGGAGCAACTAGAGGCACCCGAAAAACCAAAAGGGAGAAGGCGGATTGAGCAGGACGGGGCCCCGTTGGGAGGAAGGTGGACTGGGCTGGCCGAGGGCGGAGGAGGGGATGTGATGTGATTGAATCAACGATTGGGGGTCGACGACATTAACTCGCAGGATCCGTCTGCAAGATGGAAGCAAGGTAAGACGCAGAAGGATGCTTGGTTGTGACCGCAGTTGTATGTGTGTGTGTATGTGTGTGTGTATGTGTGTGTGTATGTGTGTGTGTGTGTGGACGGGGCACAAATACCAAGATGTACGGATACGGTATCCGTACTTTGAATATGGAGGAAGCAGAATGGTGGGAATGGGGCCCTGCCAAGGGAGTATAATGACAACTGTACAAGGGAATGGTAAGGAGAGACAATGCAGAGGCCAGCCCCAGGCGGCCAAAGGATAAGAGCGACAACAAGAAAAAGGATTGAAGAAGGAGAAGTTGCGGATGAATAAACAGAAAGGCAGGGAAGAAGTGGCGGCTAACACGGAAGTCATGCGCCAAAACAGGACGGGACTGGTTTGGAAAGGAATGATGAGACAAGCCATCCACGGCAGCAACTACGATCCGTAACAGCTCGAGTAGAGAATGATAGCAAAATATGGGCTACCAGAAGAATGGTTGCGCGGCACCGCATCGCAGGTACGGCGCACACACCATCTTCTTGGAGACGCTGCTGCGTATCAAGTACTGGCAACAGTGCTATTATCCGCAGCAGGGGAGAAGCGGGTAGGGAGAGGAGAGTTTTGGAACCCTGGACAGAGAGAGAGCCGGGTGGGGCATAGAACATGTTTCAATTCCCTCGATCCGCCTTGAAACGAGGACCCCTTGTACCCTAGGTATCTCACCTGAAGGGTTGTGCGTAGGGTGAGATGTCGATGCCCGATAAGCGGACCAGTGACGGCCGACCAGACAAGAGACAGAAGGAAGAGGGAGGAGGAGAAGGACACGACATTTTGGAGCCAGGCGGTGGGAGTGAGGAACGACAGTGTGAGGTGCAAAAAGTGTGAGGAATTGGACTTGGATGGAACCAAGAGAAGGAGGTCCAAGTCAAGGGACGTTTCGCAAGAATGTCCCAAAAAGGCAATGCAGCTTCCAGCAGCATGATCCCGGCTGGGTCTGGAAAGAGGGTCGCCCCCACATGGCCAGTGCGGGGTTTGAAGCAATCCGAGCATTGCTGTCGTCCGCATGCATACCACGAGACTGATTTTCGCATAAACGCATATCATGGTGAGGAACCTACCCACCTGTAATCACGATCCCACGCATAGCTTTTCTCGCATACCGTACTCATCCCATTCTAATTTCCCAAGGTCCCGGCAAGCCGGGAAGCGACTGAGGTTGCCGTTCATTGCAATGTCGGTATCAGTACCCGCTACGGGCATGACATGCTAATTGTAAGCCGCCCCATTCGTTCCCAATTAGGTATCAATCTGTCGTGGCATCGGACAAAGGCAATGATGACAGTCTTGTCAAGGCGCGACTTCTATTTCGCGGCCTCCTGCCTCGTGAGTCCCATCCCACTGAAGTACTACCCTCGGTCCCCGGTGGCCTTGCCAGCATATACTTAACATATCAATGTTGGTCCTCCTGGATGTCGGTACCGGCGACGTGTCATCCTAATCAGCAGCCCGGGGTGTCGTGTCAGTCGGGTCAGCTTCCTCCACCCACCTCTCTCGCCTGTCACCTGGATCATAGTCCAATCGCGAGCCACGCCGGGGACGGATGTATAGTTGAAGGTGGAGAATGTTCTTGGCGGCAGGACAAGTGTTGCAGTGGCTGATCTCAACTGTCGTCCTCGAGGCTCAGTCGGTGGTAAGAGCAGACAACAGTAATATGAGGATACACATCCCATGTCAACCCATTTCGCCCGCTTGCATAGTGTAATCTCGCCCCCAAGCCAAGGACCCCTTTTTCAACCACTTCGGTGCAGTCTACGGGTTTCAGCAGACAAGCTATTGAGGATCGGCGTGAGAACTCAGACTAGTTGATTGACTCAACTGTAGTTGAGCTTGACCAGACCGAGGTGAGGTCAGCATCATCGATAAACCATACTGAATTCGGCAATATTCTGTTATCCGGGCCGATACCTGCTAGAAAATAAACTAGATGCGATTTGCTCGTCTGATTTTGCATATGGATCCCTGCAGCATTTATTGTCAAATATAGGGGGCCCCGGATCTGCTGCACCACCCAGTCATCGGCATCCCACTCAGAATGCGTGCCTCCGCACGCTGGAATGCCTGTCGTGCCGATGAGGGTTGGTTTTGCATACGTACTCGCCGACATTCGTCATGTCGACGAGGGGCAGCCTATCAGTCGATCAGCAAAAATGCTGCTCGGCCCAGCTTTTTGTCGTCCGTGTCGTCCGGCATCCTGTTACGTGCGCAAGGCAGGACTTGGTTTCCGTTATTGGTGGGGTGCACTATAGGGGATAGGACGGATTTCAGAGCATGCATCCCACATCTAATCCCTAGTGGGCTTGTCTGGCTGCAGACCATCACTACTTGCCGCAATATTCGTTCATGTGCGGCGCATACGACTACTTACGCATGCACAGGCTGAGCGAGCCGCATTGGGCTCGAGTCGCGATGTCGGTGCCAAGGAAGACATTGACAAGCCACAAGCAGGGCGGCATGCATGCGGTGAGGTCTCCAAAACCGTTTAGGTAAATGGCCCCGTCGTCAGCTGCCAACTTTTCTGTGCATCACTCACAATTGTCGCGACTCGCAACCCCAGACTACTGCCATGATCAGCCCCCTCCCGCGAGCATATGGATCTCCCGAGTTGGTTGCTTCGAGTGCCGCCTTCAACACAGAACCCTTTCCGCGTCAAAACACGGCTGGTGGCCTTGGTTCCCGAACAGAGTTGCGGACTCTTACACGGCCCGTCCAGAGCCTTATTGAGTGGGCTGCCATGGTTCGCCCATACCGATCCCAGGGCGGCTCGACGCAATTCAACCAAACCTATGCTTGATACGTGTCATTTTCCCGGAAACACCCAAGACGGACACGCAGAGCCCGAGAAAGCACAATTAGCGTAATCTAATGTAGACTAGGCGAAGGCGGTCGATCTCTTGTTCCATCAGCCGCATCGTCTGATCTCCATCCAAAGATTCCAGAGATGCGAGTGGTCCGCTGGACCCATGCAAAGTTCCCTGCACAAACAACCCTCACCAAGGTTTTTCCACGTTGTATCCTGGCTGATCGGTCCTTGACGAACTTTCTTCACCAATCACTCCCTTGTGGGTAACCGGCAGGCCTTGACCCCTTGTCTCGAAAATGTCTACGAATGAGCTGACACACGCCCAGATCGGTAACTGGTGGTTTTTTTTTTCCTTCTCCTGGTCAGGACAACTTGGGTTGAACAGGGTCGCCCTTGACATCGTGATCGGGCCCCTGGTGGGCCGCCCCCCACCTTGAAGCCACCTCAGCTCCGACTCGGGCGACACGAGCATTGTACTGGCTTCAAACCTGTTCGTTCCCAACGCCTGACTAGACTCGCGGTATTTTTTTCTTATGAGGCGTCGTTGAAACAAGGCTGACGGGGAGAGGGCTTCCCCCATTCTAAAAAGTCGGAATGCGACAACTGTTCAAGCCAGACTCAACGTAGGATGGTATGCTACTCTAGAAAGGTGTCTGAACCGTCGTAATTGTGATTGACTTGAGTCTGTGTCTGTCTAGAACTGCTTTGCGGTAACGATACGCCTCTATGCCTCACGCCTACCTAGTACAACGGTGGCTGGTTTGGTGTTGTCGGCGTATCATCAGCAGAAAAGTCCACAGCGGCCATCGGACAATGTGCGAACTACTGGTTCACTCACTCATTGTCCAGTCGATAGTCGCAGGTGGTATATTGAGAAGAGCGCTGAACTTCCAAGAGCCCACGTGGAATCAGAGATGTGAAGCCAGAGCGGCCGCAATGACGAACTAATAGCAAGAGACACGCCAGCCACAGCGTGCCCCATCAAAGACGGAAGAGCCATCCTGATGGCCATCTTTCTTCCATTTCATCCCGACCGGCTAGGGGCCATGAGAGCCGATAATTGGGCTTGACGACATCACAGCCCGATGGCCTCTTGCGTGCAGAAGGTGACGCATATCAGAAAGCTTCTCTGACCTATTTCCATTTCACCCACGAACGATGCAAGCTTTTGATGTGGCTTTTACAAAGTCGTCGCCAAACTTGTTTAGACAGGTGAATAAAATGGTGCCGTGTGGTCCGAACCATCGCAACACGTAGATACTGAGTTGGAGTTATTTGTCCAGACGGCAAAGAAATGGCTGTCGACACCACCCTAAGGTACTTAAGATATCTACACAGGTTCTTCTACCACATACGACCATACCCACTGGAGAACTCGGGATCCCGTCCGCTCTCCCATAGATAAGCCAGTGAGGGCCGGATTAGTAGTTGGGTCGGTGACGACCAGCGAATACCTGGTGTTGTATGTCAGTTTTTGTTTGCATTGTTCATTTTTATTCATCCCTCAGCGGAGAAAATGAAGTACTTTTATACCCTGGGTGACAGGTTCGATGAGCTCCTGTTTCGTAATTGCAGCCTTATATTTATTGTCAAAGCTATCGTTTCTTTAGGGCCAGTCAGTCAGACACACTCCCCGCGAGGCCGTGTTGGGCAGGAGAAACCAACATTTCCGGTGCCGTGGTCTTTTTTCCCGTTCAACAGAAGACAACAAATATTTTCAGCCTGCATGACATCTCGATCCCTGTAGTGAGCTCGATGTTCCCAAGAGAGAACCGACACCAATAAACGATCAGAAGCCCGCGTTATCCTATCAGTCCTGATCTCAGGCAGCCCGGCAGGACGTCAGGGCATGTTTCTTCTATAGTATCAACTCACAAAGACGAAATTATTCCACTAGTCTTGCTTTCTCACCTCCTCTGTCCTATCTGTCCCTTTGATGAGGCGGCAATAAATGGAGAATTCCCGTAGATACGCTTTTCGAGAAAGCATCCGAAGTCGCGGCAGAATCGACTTTAAGACATGTCGAACATATAGCCGTCGTGGCCATTGGTACGTGAGGCGCCGGGTTACCGAGGATAGTGGCTGAGAGACCGTCCCAATATTCCTCAACAAAGTAGAACGGCTGGGTAACAGCTGAGATAGCACATTGTTCGCTTGCTCCAGGCCGATTAAATCATGCGGAGGAGCATGCGGCAGCCCGCCTGCTTGATTCCAGCTCCCCCTCTTACCCAAGAAGGTCATTAGGGGTAGCAGTAAGGACCAAAAGCAGGGCAGGTTTAATAAAATGATTTATTTGTTGCATAACAGCTGATGTATACTGCTGATGCTGCTGTGTGTCTTCGATTCAGAATTCACGGACTGGGCTATCCACCAATAAGAAGAAACAGTTAACCCACAAAGTCCCCGGTGCAGAACGATATCAGACTCAAAGTTGAGGGAGCCTACCTCCGTCGAAAACAACAGGGAGGTTTTCAGCTTACAATGCTCTTGGTGTCGTGGGGAGAGACGGGCACGCGTATAGATCGAAAGCGGCATACGTTGCATCCACTCTCCCATCCCGTAGGAAGATAGGGGGTAAGACCTAGTCTTTAGGTATACACGGTAAATCCGGGACACGACAGGAAACAGACATAGCTTACGTCTCCTATCTCTCTACCAATCTTCACCGACTCTATCCACTTGCTTTCTCGTCCATGATCGACCCTCCCATCCATAGTCCGCATAGTCCGCATAGTCCTCCCTTCCCGCTCCTGGGTCGCATGTCTGCCAAGTCCTACGTATCACAGTACTCAAGCACAGGACGAACATTTCCCTTTTAAATGAACATCAGATGCCAAGCTAAGTCAGAAGGGTAAGCCAGCGGCTGGGATTAGGTAAGTATGATATATAATCTTATAAACCTGTCGACTATAGGTTATTAAAGGGGCTATAGCTTTCAAAGAAGACATAAACCAAAAGGACAACAAATAGATAGGCCCCATAAAGAATAAGCAAGAGCTTCATTCATCAACAAGGAGGAGCAAGAACGAGGGACTAAGTGGTTGAGTTTGGATCATTACCTAGCCAGCAACAGCATTCTCCTCCGCCCCCTACGAGCCCACCGCCTATTCTGAGAAGCACGATTGCTTCTTTCCTAGCGAGACCCAATGCCTGATCGCACCAGTTCCCAAGCGGTAGCGACTCGCCGATCTAAAGCTGAAAGCATCCAAATACCCCCAATTCTTTGTGTGTGTTGCGAAAAGGCCGTGACACCGTCATGATGAAGCATGCAGAAGAATACTGCTTGGGAATTTATCGCGAGTGGTGCACAACCAGTCGCCCGCCAAATATCTATGCCAAGTAGATGAAGATATACAATATCAGAACCCCAAAAAATAAGATGTTAAGATTCGGAAAAGGCCTAAATAACAAGAGGGAAAACGGCATAAAAAGTTTAAGATAAACAGTCCGATTTCATTCAGGTTTCCCTAGCCAGACGCCGTGCTTTGCTGATGCCTATACCCAAAGATTCCAACTCTGCTCATCGAGTTGGGGAATCTCTCTCAATCTGCAATCGTATTACAGACAGACGTCCATCCCTGCCGATTAAGGCTGAGAATTAACGCACTCTAGAACTTGATGCTGATTGACACGCCTGATTAACATGCGATAAAAAAGCACAACATAACCCAGCCCTCCATTGAGCACACAGTAGAAATCAATACCTGTACCCTGATTCTTTTTTCTTGGAGCTCTTGGGGGTCGATTCATAAAGGTCGTCGTCCGAGTCTTCGTGTAGTGTCTCGGCGCGATTCCTGAAATCGCTGCTCTGAATAGGATTACCACTTAGGGGACCAGGCGTAGTGGCAGCGTCAGCACCATGCATTGTAATCTTACCCAGAGCACTGTCTTGCCGTCCCAGATAGCTTGGAGTGGAGTTGAAGCCCGGGTGGTAGGGTTCTGAAGCCAGTCGCGGCTCCTCACCATGGAATCCCGCCGCGCTACCGGATCCTCCAGGTCTGCTCGAGGAAGAGTAGTTATTTTCCTGCTGGGGATCTCTGAACGGATCCTGGTCTTCCACGGAGTGTTGCTGTTGCACTTTTGGCGGAGGGCCGGGAGGCGGCGCGAACGACTCCAATGCTTTCCCCTTGCTGTTGCCTTCAGCTGGCCTAGTCGGTATAGGAGGAGCCGGTGTCGAACTAGAGGACGACGACTGCGCCTGGTGCCAGTCTAGCGGACGGTTCGGGTGCTGGTGTTCAGCCGTCTGAGTACTCACGGGGCTTGCGTTATCTGACCGTGGACCGATGCCGAGTTGCTTACGGGCGCCAAGGACTGCTCTCTGATGCTGGTTGAGTGCCGACTGGAGTTGTTCATTCGTGTCGATTAGGTGTTCCATCGTGTCGTTGTCGGGGGAGGGGTTCTCCGCCACCATATACATCTGTATACTTCTTGAGGCGCTCTGGCATCTGTCGGAGAATTCCTTGATCAAGTCGTTGTCGAGCACTTCTTGGGGAGGTGTGTTAACTACAACCTGAGACAGAAGCTTAGCAGACGTTCGTGCTTCCTCCAGTCTGCTCGCTAACTCCACGGCATCGGGCAAAGTCCGGTTGGTATGGCTTCGGGCAAAGTAGTTCTGAGAGTGGGGGTTGAATGGTGGTGCATTCATCGTCCTAGGCTCGGGTCCTGTCGTCGATTGTCTTGGGTTCTAGCGAGGCATATCAGCTGGATGAATGATGGAGACAGGTTTGAAAGAACTCTTACGCCATATTGCTTGTAACTGCGCTCTTTCTCTTTCTTCCACATGGAAAGCAGCTCCCCAAGCCCTTGGTCATCAACCTTGGTGGCCTCAAAGGTATCCAGCGTCTCCGAAAGTATTTGTCTGACGCTAGGGTCACGTGTAGATCGGTATAACTCCTTGACGGTATCGGCGAACTTTTTGTCCATGTTGCGCGTGAAGGTCGGACCGGGGTTGTCAGTCAGGATACGGATGAGCATGATCGCATTGTACTGCCACGAGGGTTTGGCATGGTTGTCCTTGGCCAAGTATTTACGAATGACACGGGCGCACTCAGCAGCGGCGACAGGGGAGGACTCGGCAGCATCGACGATGGGCGGAAGGTAGAGGACTTCGTCACCCTGGAATACCGGTCAGTAAGCGACTGGGAGGATTTGAGGATATTACAAGGACGAGCGTACCTGAGCATTGGGACCTCCGGATTCGCAAAATTGTCTCTTAGGACGAGGTAAGCAACTGCTATTGGGCTTGGAAGGACGGGGGTTTGCGTACCACACTGCGTGTAGCGATAGCTTCGGGCGTCTCGTACTGCGGGTCCGACGACGCCGACGCATCGCCGGGTCCACTGAAGGCTTGCGGGGAGAGACGTCGATCAGCACTATCTCGGCGGTGCCCATGCTGGAGAGGACAAGAGGCAGAGCGCTCTCAACTCACTATTCGTCGTTCGCTTCTTGATGGTGCTCATCATGCGGTTAACGCTAAGCCCCTTCATGGCCTTCATCTTTGCGGTCGTGGTCTGGACAGGCGTGGAAACCAAACGAGGTGGGGGGCAAATGGATTTGGGGCACGGATCGGATGCAAGGACCCTCGAATGGGCAAGGGATGGGCCGACCGATTCGAAGCCGAGGAACCGGACGATGGGAAAGGACGGCGGAAGCTATCGCTACGAACAAGTTGACAGGCGATGACGGATGTCTGTGTCAAGGTTTCGTGCAGAAGCAACAATGCAGGAGGGCGCGAGTGCGTGTGGCAGAAGTTTGGAAGAAAGAAATCAAGCAGGGCCTATTACGAGCTGCAGGCTGGAGGTGACGCTCGGAGGTAAGCTGGCAAAAAGGGAAGTCAGGCAAGGTGGGACAGGCCAGACGAACGGGGGGTTATCTTAAATTAATCTTCAGCCCAGTGTCCCGCGCTGGTCCACGGGGTCCATTTCTAAGCGTGTATGGGTAGGCGTCTTGGTGCGTGCGCGTGAGGAGGCAGCGTCAAGAGTGAGGGAGTGACGGCGGCGCCAGCAAGGGTCAAGGTCGGGTGGGTTTGTCTGCGCCTCCTTACGTGCGTAGCGGAAGTGACTGCGACTACCTCCTAGGTAGGTGTAGAGTGGCAGCAGCGGCAGCGGCAGTCTCGAGTTTTGCGGATGCCGACGGGCCCGTTTGATACCTTTAAAAGTATATGCTTGCTGTGAGGCGCTCGCTGTTGCCGGGAGCTGGATTTGGAGAGGTGCGTCTTTTGATTAGACGGCATGGGAGGGATGTAAGTGTCCGAGAAGTCGGTGAGGTGAGCGAGCGAAAGTGCTTGTATGCAGTTGTTCCTGACAAACAATATCCCTCCGTGTGCTACCTTACATAGGTGCTGATCAGTGTATAGCGGAGCGCCTCGCTACCTAGGTAGGTAGGTATGTGAAAAACAGACAGCGTATCATCAGCTGAGGCTTCTGCCCGAGGTGACGCCTGTTCCTGCCCTCTCTGAAGCTGCCCAGCAAGCGTGACGACAACCAAAAGGCAAAACGATGGTTGAGACGAAGTCGGTAGTATCCCACCTACCCGAGGTAAGGTAGGGAGGGTATTGTTAGGTAACGTACATACCCAAGTATTTATACGCATACACAGCACTTCGTACACCTTGTCGCATCTGCCCATAGGAAACCGATACCAACCAGCGTTAAGTTCCAGGGTACTTTCTGGCTCACCGTCGCACCAGATTCTGCTCTTTCTTACGCCTTCCCCCTCCCCCCCTTTTGGTTTCAGGAATGCATCTTGTTCAACGTTCCTCCTACAGATTTCCTTTCAATCAGTTCTTGCATTACCATACATTGGGGCAACGCAGCCAGCTGGCAGCTCCCAGAGCCGGTCTGGTAGATGGCCTTCCCTTTCTTTTGCTGGAGAACGACTACGTCAATACCGGGGTGGCATCAATCAGAGACAACCCCCGTTTTGACATATGCGGGTAAATGGGTCAGGCGAGATTCATGCGATAATCCAGGGTCCTCTTAAGATCGAACGGCCGTCCTGCAATGGTCTGCTTGCTCTGACTGGTCTGTCTCGACTGATACTTGATCATCGACCACTTGTATGTCCTTGGAATCCTTCTTTTTCTCTTTCTTTCGACAACCAACAGTCAGTCTGGCAATGCCCCGCTCCTGTCCCCGAACCCTCGGTACCAGCAGCGCCGTTCATTCCGTTCTCCTTGACACATTCTCTTCGGCTGAGTGCACTTACACTAGTCATCCATGTACGTCTGTCTGTCTGTCTGTCTGTCTGCACAGCCTCCCACTTCCACGCAAGCACTTACTCTCGCACCGCTTACGTACATCGACCACAGCGCCACAGGACCCGCCGGATCGTGTCTTCTTTTGCGTGCGGACAACCGAGGCACCAGGCATCAAATGCCACGCAAATCACCACCTTTAGCGTCCATGCATCACCAGGCTGCCGCTTTCCGTCTCCAACTTGTTCACCTAACTTGCTAGCTAAGGCGCTTCCCGCGGGATTCCTCTCGGCCACAGCGTCCACGTGTACTCTGCGATCAGCTGATCATCACCTTTCGAAACTCAGGCATTGGTTTACCAATTCAACATCGACCACTGGATATATGCGCAAACAGTATGGCGCGGCCAGCTATCAATTATGTGTTTTCCCGACCCGACATAAACTAGATACGCTTGATCGGGTGCCGTGATGCACATGCATTATCTAAGACAAGTTCTCGTCTCCTTCGTCTGAATCGTCGTCGGCCGACACGTACTCCACAATTAGGTTTCCTGACCGCCCAATCTTCTGCGCCATTGTCTCCTCCTTGCTAGGCTCGTACACAATCCGGGGCATTACAGATGCGATACGGAACTGGTATGTGTGTTCGTAGTCTTCGGGCTGCACCGGCGCCTTCTCTGTAACCTCCTCAGGTGCTGTCAACACGTCGTAGCATTCCACGAATGCATAGAGTGATTCCATCGTGGTATCGTTCTGGAACCTGCGCACAATTCTCCCGGCGCCAGATGACTCGGGCATCTTCAAAGCAATCCGGACGACATCTTTGCTGCTTGCTGGCGGTTCGGCTTTCATTGTCGTAGCCCGCCAGCGTTTCCACTTCTCGCGCTGTTCCTCGCGTCTTGCGGCAGCCTCGGCCTCTTCCTCGGCTTTCCGCGCAGCCTCCGCCGCAGCCTTTTCTGCTTCACGCCGTTGCCGTGCCCTCTCTCTGTCCCTGGCAAGCGAGCGTTCGTAGGCAGAATCTTGTTCGTTCCTGAGGCTCCGCGTCACTTCCTGCGCTGTTCTTTCAGCTCGAACGCCTGCCAAGTCCGGGGCATATTTGTTGAGGGCGGCCTGTGCCTCTGAAAGATATGTAGAGGCTGGCATAGACCCAGCTAGGCGCTTGATGATACTCATTCTGGTGCTTCCTTCCTTGGGTGTGAGGCACACGATCGCCGAGAACGGGTACTTCGTGCAGTTGTATTCTTGGGCAACCTGGTATGCTTCCGAGTCCAGAATGTTGCCGCCCCACAAAATGATGTTGTTCGCTGGGTCGTTGATGAAGCTGACCACGTCCGGGGCCAATAAAGTCTCTCTCGTGAAGGATTCTGTGTCGTCGTGCTCGGGTGACATGAGGACGATGAGCAGAAACTTAAGCTCTTTTTTGGCCAGGTCTTGGGCCTGGGCAATGCCCCCCTCGAACCACGGTAGATCCGTATTTCCATACTCTTCTTCAAATTCACGCTTGAATCGCGCAGCAGTATCCCGGGGCATTAGCATGCGGCGCCCGTTGGTGCTCCTAAGCCCAGTCCCCGGCCCACTCGTAATGGTCCGTGGCCGAATCTGCCTCGGAAGGAAACTGAGTAGGTAGAAGACTGTACGGAAAATCTTGGACGCAATACTATATCCGATGCTGAAGGGCGCCAACAGCAGCCCGATCAGAAAAGGCGGTCGGTGGACGATATTCGGCCGGGGAACGATGCGCGGCGCGGGGTCGGGACGGTCTCTTCGAGGAGCTTGCGGTCGACCTGCCGAGGCATGCAAGCTTTCTTGGAGGTTTTCATGCCGTGCTGTCGTGCGAGGAATTTCTTGTGCCATGGCCTCTGCGACTGGGTCAGGACCTTCACCGTCAAAAAACTTGGCGATGGCGATCTACGAACACGGTGATCAGTGCGACTGACAAACGACGTGCGGCAGGGTTCGTATAGCAGAACTTACTTGGACATTCCATTGCGATCGCTGTAGTAATGGTATTGCATCCTTGAGGTCTTGATTTGTGACACTAGTATACTGCTGTAGAGCCTCTTGCTGACTTGTCGACAGCTGCCCCAAGTCCAGATCTCCGCTCTCCGCCATGTTGACGGCTAGTCGTGGATGCAAGGTCCAAGTATCAACAGATTATGTTGCGATATGTTGCAGACGCGACACTGAGCTCAACAGTCCATGGGTCAGGCGGTTGAGGAAGCCAACGAGCAAAGGTCGCGGAAGAGTTCAGATGTAGGAGGAGGGACGGGCTGGGTATGGGCCAGGTATCAAGTGGCTTGGTATCGGGAATTGCGCCTGAGAAGTTAAGATGGACGGCAGCTCGAACGGATCAAGCTTGGGAATTGGCGTGTGCCGAGAGAAGTCGGCAGGTTGGTCAGAGGGTCAAAGGCTCTGGCTGTTTGGCTATAGGAAAAGAAAGGCTGGATACCTACCCTAATGGGCTTTGATGGAAGCTAAAACAGGTGGGTGTCCGGTGACGACACTTGTCCACGACCTCAGGGTGGAGGTACCCGGGTGAGATAGTCTAGGTACGGTACCCATATAGGTTGGTGGAAGGGTACCTGAGGTAGGTGAGGAGGGTACCTACTTGCCTGTTGTTGGTAGTTGAGGCCTGAGGTACAGCATATCTACAATGGTCCGCGTTAGGAAGGCAGCAGCTTATTAAGATACTTATCGCTTATCAGCATGGGACTTTACCTACTTGCATACCTTACGCGAGCATGCGGATAGGTAGATAGTTCAATCAAGGTCTGCTAGATGAATATAGCCTTCCGAAAGTGAGGACATGATTAAGACCCCATGCATCTAATGAGGGGAGCAGCCAAGTTGAATGTTATTATTGCACAGCAGCTCGAATGATTGGAGATAACCGGACTTGCACTCAGTCAGTCCACTGCTTCAGCGCATGAGGAAGGTCCAGCGCCGGAGAGCATTGACTTCTAGTGGCTTTCAAGTTACGGCGGTGTGTCATCATCCCGCCAAGGGGTCAAGCCGTCTGTCCTGGGTTGGTTGTACCGGTGCTCATCTCCCACCAAGGACGGCACACCACCAACAAAATCCGTTTCTCTGCTTGCCCCGACCTCTTCTGCAGGAAGGACGGGGGGCACCTTACCTCATCGCATTCCCACCGACACCACCGCTCTCCGCCGTCGCTGTCACCGGTCCCTTGTCCACCACCTACGTCTTCTTATCTGCGGTGGGCTGCAGACATCCTCCTCGCCTCGGCGCGCGCGCCTACATCTAACCCTGCCTTACCGCCGTACCCTATTCCAACGACTACGCCTTACATCATCCTACCTTTGCTAAGCTTGTCGGATTGATCACCAGCAACCTCACCACCACCTCCGTTCGGACAACGTGCGTGTCCATGACCGAGACACATACCCCACCAAAGTGTTCGAGCCATGGGAAATGTCTGCAAGGATCAAGTGCGTCCGCCCAAAAATCGACCCCCGTCCGGCTTCGCGCCAGCCCCACGCGAGCTCCAGTCCTTCAGTGTTCTCCTCTGCCCGCCTTTGTCTTCTGTTGTCTCCCCCGCCCAAACCAGCCTGGTCACTTCCCCGTCCTCACCCAGCGCGCGCGCATCCTAGTCATGAAAACGACCTCGACGATAGTTCGACCATGGGCTCTGGATTTGGCTGACTCTATGCAGACGTCGTAGCGTCGACCAGGGCGGCAAACTTCTTTTCAATCGAACCTATTAACCATGGCGACCTCGCGATACCCACAGTCCGACCTTCGTCGACAAGTTGGGTCGCCAAAGCCCAAAACCCGAGGCGAGTGGACGCGCCCATACACTTTTCCGGCCACTTCGCCGTGACACCACAGCTGACATATCGTCAATTGCATCAGAAAACAAGGAGACACTATGCCGAAACGTACTTATCTACGGGCACTGCCGATACGAGAATACGGGCTGTGCCTTTAACCATGACCAGAACCGATCGAACTCGGTTCAGAACAGCCCCGGCGGCCAGAGTAATCAGTCTGACTTGTAGGTGTCCATCCTCTACGCTGCTTTGTTTCAATTTCTTCTTCTCTCGAACCGCGATGTCCGATCTCCTGCTCCAAACAACCGGGACTTGGTATCACCACCCTTTACCTTCTCGATACTCTCCTCCGGCGTTGTGGGAGTGTATTTGCTGTTGCGAGACCTCGGAGGAAGCTGCGATTGGAATGTCGTAGTCTCTTCGCTTGGTAGTTGCAACCATACATGGCACCGCATCATACCCATAGGGCTCTCGACAAGACCCGATAGGGATACGTTTCGCCGTCCCGGCTGAAGCACAATATATTCAACGATGTCTCGGACAGCAAAAGCTACCCGTATCTTGAGTTACTGGCTCTTTCAGTGTAGTCAGATCAGTCGAATCTCGGAGAGAGACATTGTAACGCTGGGCGTTCAAGTGCCGCAGAGGATGTGACGCAGATATCAGAGTCATGGAGTCCCAAACGTTGAAACAGCTCGGCACCTGGACTATGAAATTTCAAAGGGTATGGCTGACGCTGACACGTGTACTCCCGTAGTGCGAGAAAGGTACTCAATGTCGATTCACCGTCATTCACCCCGGCCGGGTTGTCGTCTGCAGCATCACCGAGCACAAATGCACTAGGTGGCCCATCAAAGAAATCAACATTTTCCTCACAAGCAGCCAGCGCAGCTGTCTTTACTCCCCGGGGAGCAGGCTGTATGCCATCACCTATTCTTTGGATGAGTAGAGTCCGAATACTAATATCCTACTTTCATAGCTGCGACCCCTGCTGCCGCTCCGGAGGGTGAGGCTTCATCAACCGTTTTTAACCCCGCAACCTTTCGGGAATTCACCCCTTCGAATTTTGAACTGAGTACCGGGGTAGGAACACCAAGACCCCCTTGCCCAGCCATTGTACTGTAGACTAAAAACCCTTCTAGATAACCACCAATGGTGCCGCCTCAGACACAGGGCTCTCATATGACCCCTTTACCATGCCCAGCGTTGGCCAGGCCTTGCCGGCCACACCCTTCAACCCGTATGCGGATGACCCGACTGGCCTTGCTGGCTCAAGCGCGGCATACTTTCAACATCAAAATGCCTACACCACCCCCCTTCAGCCCGTAAGGTCCGCTAGCCGGGAATTAAATGTGACGACACTAATCAAAGGTAGCTTCAATACCACCTGTATGCTCCGGTGGGACCATACAGAGACGACTTGTTGCCATTCCAGAGACAAGTGCACGATTTTTTCCTACCCGAAAAGCTTCGCGAGGAAATGCAACGCAAGTCTGAGGCCTTGCAACAGGTCATGCCGAGTAAGTTGGAACGAGAATTGAGATGACGTTTGAAGCTCATGTCACTACAGACTCGACGCTTCCTCCGCTTGACAACTACTACTCGCTCGTTCCTCTTGATACCAGTCATCGAAAGAGCTCTAGCGTTTTCGGATACACCACCTGGGTATACAAGGCGACGTCGTCGAAGAGCGGAAAAACTTACTGCCTCCGACGACTCGAGGGTAGGTTTCAAGATCAATCATGGTTGGAACCGAACTGACGTAAATCAGGCTTCCGGTTAACCAACGAGCAATCCATCCGCTCGGTGAAAGAATGGCGGAAGCTCAACAACGGGGGTGTGGTTACAATCCACGACGCCTTTACCACTCGGGCATTTGGCGACAGCTCTCTTTTCTTCGTTCAAGACTACCACCCTCTATCCAAGACACTTGCGGAGGTACACTTCGCCCAACCCAACACGACTCATGGCACCCGCTTCAACGCCAAGAACCCCATCGCGGAAAGCGTCTTGTGGGGTTACGTATCGCAGTTGGCGAACGCATTGAAGGCTATCCATACCTTGAACTTGGCTGCACGCTGCCTCGATATGAGCAAGGTGATAGTCACCGATAAGAATCGCATTCGGCTTAGTGCATGCTCCATCCTGGATGTGGTCCATTTCGAAGCTCGTCGCCCGGTCCAGGAGCTACAACAAGAAGATCTAATTCAGTTTGGCAAGTTGATACTTTCTTTGGCAACTAATACGCCGCCCCATCAGCTCACCAACCTAAAGGGGTCCATGGAGCAGATGAGCCGAGTGTATTCTAAAGAGCTCACTGATACTGTCCTGTGGCTCTTGACTCCAGCTCCAGCAGGCGCCACACCCAAGGGGATCGAGGAATTCGTCCGAGGCATTGCTGTTCACATGGTGGCAACACTGGACGCTAGCCTGCAAGAGGCTGACACGATGAAGTCAGAATTGTTCCGAGAATTGGAGAACGGCCGGCTAGTGCGCTTGATGGCCAAACTTGGCACCGTCAACGAGAGACAGGAGTTCGATGGCGACAGGGCATGGTCAGAAAACGGCGAACGATATATGCTGAAGCTCTTCCGTGACTACGTCTTCCACCAGGTCGATGCAAATGGCAACCCTGTGGTGGACATGGGCCACATCATCCGATGTTTGAACAGACTTGATGCTGGCAGTGACGACAGAATCTGCCTCACAAGCCGAGACGAGCAGACAAGCTTCGTAGTCAGTTATAAGGACCTGAAGAAGCAACTCAGCAACGCGTTCGGTGAACTTCTGAAGGCAGGTAAGCAATCGACGGCACGAGGATTCCAGGGATCCTCTCACTAGAGCTGGAGGAATTGGAGGGTTTCTTGTTCCGATTACGATTATTACCGTTGTCATCAACCCGCCGAGAAAGAGGACTCTAGTTATCGGGAGCCCGATCCCCGGGGTGATATGAACAACGAGATACGCAGGGCTTGGGCGCGATGAGCCTTAACATTGGTTTACGGTGTTGGATTCTGGATGGACGGTTGGAGCTGTGCGTGGAGGATGAACAGGCGAGTAGCGCAAGATGGGCAGCACTGGCAAGTTCGAGCGTATAAGAGTCTACCGACTCGGCTGGGAAAGCGATGGAAAGAAGTATAGAAATGAAGATAGTTGGCCTCGCTGGATGCGGGGCCTCTCACTCTGTAGCACGGGGGAGGATATAGCGGCGAGGAGAAAAGAGTAACGAAACCAGTTTCAATGCATTTGTTCCCTTGGCTGGTGAGAAGGCATGTATATCGATGAGTTGGTTTGTCCATTTTCTGGAACGTTACACATCAGACCCTCGTGCCATCATCATGTTCGGCGCCAGAGCCCCTTCATTTCAGCCAGTGAGTGTTTTGGTAAGTGTCGACATGCCATTATCGCTCAAGTGTCCCGTTGCTGCGGATGTGGGTCCCGACACATTTGTGCCTTATACTAGGCCACAGCTTCCCCTTTTTGGTTCTCTCATGTCGACTGTTCAGCGTCTCCTCTATCCTCGCTAGGCCCAAAGACCAACATTGCCACTCCTCTTCGCCCCAGCCATGTCATGAAGTCATCCCCAGCCGTTGTCCTTGTGGCTCCTCTCGAGCAAACATCATTCCTCATCAGGCTGCGCAAAGGGGTTCGCTATGGGTTCGCTGCCATCGACAGGGCTGACAAGGACGAGTAGAGTTCCGCGGGCAACGACGAGGCCGAGGGATCTTGTTGTTTCGTTTCCTTCCTCGTCTGTTTCGTTCGGAAGACGTGTCAGCATTTGGATTTCGCCCAGATATCCGGCGGGTAAGCTTACCTCTCATGACCTCCTGGACTTCGTCCAACACTAGGTTCATCAAGGCATCATATCCCTTGAGTGTGCCGGTAACTGCGCACGTTGTAGGTTAGCGAGGTTTCCTCCCTTCCTTGGGTGACACATCGTCAGGAACGGTACAAGAAACCAACCTTCGCGCCCGCCGTTGAACTTGACGGTGATCTGTTTGTCCATGTACTTTGACAGGTCGAGAATATTCTCCTTCTTGGGCCTCTCACGATCGCCGCCGGACCCCTGGGCTCCTCCGCGGTCGCCACCGCCGCCGCCTCCGCGTCCTCCTCCTCCACCTCCACGTCCGCGGTAACCACTGCCACCGCTACCTCCTCGACCGCCGCCTCTGTGTGATCCTCTATCCGCCATTGCGCGTGTTTGCCTGCGTGCGTGCGAATGTGCTGTGTATGGGGGGGGGGGGGGGGGAGGGTGCTGGTGCGTGGGAGTTCTCCTAGTGGTGACACAAATATCACAAGCGGCCGACTTGTGGCAAATTTAGCCAATGCGCCCTCTCAGCTGTTGTTGTAGTCGTGTATTGAGCGCAAGGAGGAGTCGATGGTCGTCTCGAGTGACGTCGTTGAGGGTTGCGCTAGGTGTTTGCTCATCCGCGGCCCGGAGGGGGGGGGTTGAGGTCAGTGGCTCGGTGCGAGGAAAATAGAGAAGCTTGAGCTTGGTCCGGGCTGCGGTGGGGCTTTCGTTTTTAGGTATTCAACGTGGCTCCCCGCCGCGTCCAAGAGTCCCGGCCTCCGTGACTGGCGGGGCCACCTTCAGTTTTGGGGTCATCTCCAGCAGGTACCTATCATTTATTCGAAAGGCAAGATTAAGATGGGAATGTCATATTGAATATTCACCTCACGGATTAAGAGGGTGAAGGGCCCTTAATGCGGGCCCTATGGCTTTGAGACATTCTCTACCTCGTAGAGACTGCAACGTATCTGACAGTTTCCGCAGGCAATTAATTGATCCTCGTGCATCGCTAAGCAACGTCGAAATGAAAATGCTTGGCTCTGTCAAAGCTGGGGACGCCATCAGAATGTTCCCGAAGGTCGGCCGAGGGGCGGCGCGTGTAAGTGAATGCAGATGACAGGCGTGTGCTGTCAAACAAGCTACTTAGCTCCCAGCGAGTCAACCAAACAGACGGTGAAGGAGCAAAGTTGTGTAAGAGAACCTGTCTTCTTTCGCCAGGCCAAAACAAGGGAACACCCCCCACCAATGGTTGCATGGCAAATGTTCCAACCTCATTTGGGATACGACACGTAGAGTGAGCGATATATTTCCTACACGTAGTAGTTACGATTCCTGGTTGTCCAAATCGTGATTTGCTGAATGTCTTGGCATTGCCCATGCGCCACTTCTGATGATGAGCAATGAAGAGACATGGGGACGCGCTAGCCTTTCTAACACGACAGGCAACTGGGGTATGGACCGGGGCATTGGACCTTGCTGGTTAGTTGGAAAGAGGCCGCGGGCGTTGTATTGTGAAATTACGCACTCTCTGGCCATTTGGCCACGAGTTTCGGACTTCTCAACGCGGCAGGTTGACGTATCGTGATGACGAGGCCCTGACGCGACGCAAGTGCGGGTGGAGGACGGCGAAGCCGAGGGGAGGTAAAAGGAACAACCCCCAAAGCTCAAGATTCGTGGCCCTTGTGAGATGATGATGAATCAACGAGAACCAAAATGATCAAAGCAATGTGCGAATTCGGAGTGAGGAGGGTCCGCTGCGCATGACCCCAACATGGCAGGCCCAAAAATGATGTGGTTGTTTTGCCCATCAGCGTCGGAAGTTGTTACATCCCAGTGCATCTTGGGATTCCGCACGTGTGTAAGAGGGCGGGGGTTAAAAGCGGTTTGGTGGTTTGCTAAGTTGGGACGTTTTAGTTTGTCGACGTGAGGTTTGAGGGGTGTTGGCGAGGCAGGGGTAGAATGAAGGATCCCCCCAGAAACAAAGTATGCCCTCCGTGGTCAGACAGAAATACAGACAAATATCAGCTTCTTGATCTTTGAGGTGCGGTGCAACTACACGGCATGGTGAACAAGTAATGACATGGTACGGATACTTCACCAGCCCACCTACTTGTAGGTACCTAGATAGATGTCTTGCAAAGTCCATTACACCAATATGATTCATATATAAAACTGTATCAACCAACCGATAACAAGAGCGTAGGTTTGGGAGTGCGTTCCTCTCCGTCCGAAAGAGACAAAGCTTCCCGATCGTCGGGTCTCCTCGTTTCCTCCCCTTGGCTTTCTAGAAAGATTCGACGTGCCCCAAAATGAGTGGGCGCCCGTATTTCTTCCTTGAGGGATCGAGTCCTGTATCTTACTAGGGGGGGGTGAGTGGCCTTCCGCTCCACCCCTCCATTCTCGGCCCGCTGGTGAGTCGACCCGTCAGTGTACTGTGCAGTGTAGAGTGTAGGTACGGGCATGGTAAAACGGCATACCCAAGTCGGGAATGTCTATCCAGCACACTAGTTGAGAAACGGTGTGTGCCGCTTCCCCGGAGGGTCAGATCAGAGATGCGATGCATGTCCTGCGAGGGGGTACCTTTCTCGGTGTTCCGGCCTGTTCGGGGAGAGCGGGTGGGGATCTACAATAGCTGGCTTTCCCACCGGCCGCCGACTTTCTCAAGTGCCGCCTCTTCTTCTTCCTCCCACACTTACTCACACACACACACACACACACATACACACATACGCACACGCACACGCACACGCACACACACACACACACACACACACACATATAGAGAGAGAGAGGGGGGGGGGGGGGGAGAGGGAGAGAGAGAGAAAGCTTGTGTGGGTGTGTGCGTATGTACGAACTGCAAAACATCACCCTCGAGGCAGGCTTATCTCACGGCTGTTAGCGACGCTTCCTCTCTCTTCCTGTTGTGTAGATGGAGCGGGTAGGAAAATCCTCTCCTTTCGAAAACACTCAATACCGACTGGCTAGCTAGATGCCTATGCTGCCCCAGTATCCGGGCTGTGCATGCAAGGTGTTGGAGTCGGGTCCTGTCCTTCTTCGGCTCCCCGCTCGTAATCATTCGCTGTTTGCTGGCCCGTTCCGACGTCCAAATTTCTGCCTGCCTTCTTCTTGCGCGGAGGGGGTAAAGTGCATTAATGCATCGGCCGATTACCTCAAGACCAACGACCTCCAAATCCCCTCTCCCCCACTCTCATGCTCTCCCATACTCACTCTCTCACTCGATTATACGCAAAGAAGCTGCCGACTTGCAGCACCCTATTCCCCTTTGCGTTCCACACCCCCAGCCAAGTCTGCTGGTCTCCTTGCCTTCCTCGGCCCTCAGCCGAATTCTAACTTCCAAGGCTTCATAGGGGTGCTGTTACCGGTCTTGAAGCGTTACATAAGATGGTTTAATGACAAACGGCATCTATTCGTGTCAACCCCGGGTACATATTACCTCGAAACTAGTGGAACCGTCACGGCCAGCCATCCACCGCCGTTAGAGACGGCCGGGCTTCTTTCACGGCGGCCAGAGACAGACTCTCTCGGCCCCATTTGACCCTATGGCTTACTATGTACTTGCTCACATCTAGCTAGCTAGCTACCTTGGGTCTCATCTCATCACCGTTCAAATTGTAACCTGTGCAGCTAATCCGGTAAACCTCACCCACTGGCTCACTCGCTTTCCAAATCCCAACTCATCTCATCTCACTTACACCATCTGTAAGAACAAAACAAAACAAAAACAGTTATTTGAGTTGGACCTTCGACCCAGGTGTCCTCGGATTCCGTCAGTCTAAGCTTTTTAGGCTCCCTCCCGTCTGACCAAGGAAAGAAAAAATGCACGGCGGGCCCCCCTTCCACCCCCGGCCCCATCCGTTTACCCAGTGGAACTCCACCCTTCCTTTGCTACAGCACAGCACTGCATTTCCCACCATCTCTGCTCTCTCTCTCTCTCTCTCTCTCCCTCCGTCGCGCTGTCTCGCTCTCTCTTGCTCTCTTGCTTGCTGACCACCGTTCGTCTCACTCCAAAACCCTTCGACACACAGAGGGGAGTCGCGACACTGGCTTCGCCCCTTTGTCATTGGACAGTCCGCCGTTAACTCACTTCTCCTCTCGCTGCACCCGCCCTCCGCCCGTCCGCCCGCTCTCTCTCTTCCCCCCCCCTCTGGAACGGGACCTCCTCCCCGATTCCCCATCCCATCCATCCCATACCATACCATCCCATCCCGTGTGCTCTGCTCTGCTCTGCTCTGCTTCACACTTATTATTCCCTCCCCTCCCTTCCTCCCCCCTCCACCTCTTTTCCCTAGGTACCAGTGAGGTCTCCGCCGGTAAGTCACCTTTACCTTACCTTAGTCTCCCGACTCCCGCGTCCCGCCCCATTCCAACCAGTCCCGTCGTCCTGTGCTCCCCCCCTGTCCACCCCCGTACAAATCCCAAAACAAAACCCGATTCCAACCCTCCTCGTCCTCACCTTCCCCAGTCTTTCTTGGCTCTGCGGCCCTGTTCGCCCCCCCCCTCGATTAGCACTTCTCATGTTCATCTTTCCGTCGAAGCTTGCTCCATCCAAACTCCAATTCCCGCATGTTACTACTACCTGAGGCACTCCTTCCCCGGACCTGTCTGGTTGCCGCCGCTGCCACCACCTCATAAGGTGCTACTTCGCCATGAACTAACCAACTCTTAGATTCCGGATTCCCTCTTGTTACATTTCGAGGCTCTTCAGCCTTCTTGTTGCATACGTTTCGTCTCGGTCAACCACTTTCCGTTTTCATCTTTTTTGACGGGGGAGAGAAAGGGGCCACAACAAGAAAGAAATCAGCTTGCCCTCGTGGGATCGTCCAGCTTCACCCGGTGACATTCTCGCCATGGCGCATGCCCAGGATTCCCAAGAGCCCCATAAACGGAAACGGGACGCGGACGACAGCGGCGCGCAGCCAGCTCACTCTGATCGCATTCCCCAGCCTCCTCCGCCTCAGTCAGGTATGTGCGGTGCGCCAGTGTGTGTGTGATCCAAGGCCGAAATCTTGCAACAAAACCAAGACAAAAAGAAAGAATAAGAGCAAAGCCACGCGCGGAAAAACATGAGCCGTCGATCTCGTCCATCAACTGCATCGTGTCATCGTCGTCGTCGTCGCGCCTGGAGGCAATCGAGGTTAGACTCGCCATTGATCCCTCGCCCCGGCCTGCCTGCCAGCGCCGCTCGCACCTTTGTTTTCTACATTATTCCCCTCCCCCCTCTACGTCTACGTTCCCTTGGTCGTTTGTCTCCATCTGCATCGCGGCTCTTTCCCAGCCCCTTGGCAATGCTTAAATCGTCCTGCGATAAAATTCTCCCCTAGTTGGCCGTACCCGCTCGCCATGCATCTCGTCTTGTCCGTCCACTGAACGAATACTGATCCTTCACTCCAAAGGCAATGCATCTATCATCAATTACCTTTCTAAAGCCAACCCTGGCAGGCTCAAGCTGATTCAAGGAGAACCCGACACATTCTCCGACGTGCTCGGCCTTTTGAATCAATACGAAGGTACGCATTCCCGCTCTTTGACCCGGGAAAATAGAACGCCAAGCTCAAACATGGACAATAGGCGTTCTTAATAGGCATGAGAGTCTCGCCGCCAACCTGGGCGCCAAGCTGACGGGCCCTCGTCTGTTAAAGGCCATGGAGGGGGCATTCGAGGGCCCGATCATCACCAATCCACCGCCCGCCTATGGTGCGGCACCTTTGGGCTGGCTAGACATCGTCACTTTCGCCAAAACGAACCCCGAAAAGTTCATCTTGACGACGGGTCACGATGGCGAACGCACCTGCCAATTCTACCTCAACGGAGTACAGGTCCAGATATTAGAGGATGACTGGCGCCTCATCATGAATGGTGCGTTGGACAGGTTTTCTAGCGTGTCGACGGCTCCTCTGGAGGAGGACGAGACAGCAGAAGTGGCGACGCTCGAAATAGTAGAACAGCGACTACAGGTCCTTATCAAGAAGGCCGATGAAATCGCCAAGAGGGCGCGACAATTGAACTACCACCTGAGCGGCCGAAGGGCTGGCATCAGCTCAAGGCACGGCGGACAACAGGGGAGCAGCTCCGCATTTCAACCAGTCAACCACTCCAGAGGTCATGTTCCTCATGGCTCCGGCTACGACCTACACGCCGACTTGCTCCAGCAATTTTTATCGTCTTCCCAGGCTTACCCTCCGCGGGTGCCTTCCAGCGCTGGGCTCGAGACTGCACTTTCCACCGGCCAACACACGCCACCTGCGACAAATCCTCACCCACACTCACTTCCGTTGCAGGGCCGCCCGGCTGTCGTGCACGCTCCCGTTATTCCCCAACGAGACTCATCGTATGACCCGTCATCGGCACACAGAGGCATCATCACGGCTAGGATAGAGAAGTTGAACAAGGGCGATCAAATCTGGCCACCTTGCGACCGCTGTCGCAGACTCAAGTCGCCATGCATAAAGCATTTGACGGCCTGCCAAGGCTGCACAAAAAAACACGCCAAGTGCGGATGGAAAACCATTACCGAAGAAGAGATCGCCTGGTTCAACCGTGAAGGGAGCAGTAGTGCCGATGAGACACATGTTGAGCCGATCCCGGCGCACCCAGTGCCGGCGAGGCTATTGCGATACGACCCAACACAGGACGACGGTCGATCCAACGAACCGCCGCCACCATCCAACAATCTCATACCAGCAGGAGACGTATCCCGACCCGCCAGCAGAGGGCAGCAAGAACACCGCCAGCGATCGCCTTTGGATCCAGGTTCCCGCAGTAGAACAAGCAGCTTCATGGACGTGGAGCATGAGCCTCCACCCCCGAACCAGAAGCCATGGATTCCAGAGTCACAGCGGGGCGAGCAACTCCCCAGCATCAAAAGGGACCTGTTGCTCAGCCACATGGCGTCGGCTGCAACAGCAGCTGCTGATGCGCGGGATGCCAACTCAACACCTGCAAGCACCATGGCTGGGCGATAGCCTAACATGGTTTATACGGCAGATAAATGCGACAGGAGCTACTTTTGTCCGCCTTGGCACCGAACGCTCTCTTTGAAAAGTAAGGGGCGGATGGGAAGCATTCGAAAGAACGTCTAGAGAGAGAGAGAGAGAGAGAGAGAGAGAGAGAGAGAGTGTGTGTGTGTGTGTGTGTGTGTGTGTGTGTGTGTGTGTGTGTGTGTGTGTCTGGTATGTGTATGTGCGAACGTGTGTGCATTGCGAAGTACGATCAAGGGGGGGAAGAACTTAGGGAAGGGAAAAAAAAGATACTCATAATGATACACACAAGCCAATCCTACTGTTTCCTATCGTGGTTGGTTTTATACATGTTATCAATCATTTGACATGCCAATGTGTATCTACTCATTCAATGCAGACAGCTTGCTCCAAGCATCCTCGAAAAGTTGCTCCCTACAAGACATGCTGAATGCCAAAGAATCGGGACAACACCCTTTATCGCAACTTTAGTAGGAAGCGACGCCTAACATTTCTACTACCCGTCACGATAGGTCTAGCTAGGCTACCTAATCATCGAGGCTATCGCACTGGTCCGCAAATGCCTAGCAACTGTCTGTAAGATGCGACCAATCTGAGAATGGCTCCGTAGAGGTTAACATGGTCAGTGGTAACAGGGTTATCCATAATCAGAGCATTATTTCCGGCCAAGCGCTCGACAGCTTGCTACGTATGGTCGTCGATACGCGTCGAATGACTAAGTCGGGTGTCACAGAGCACGGACCATCTAGCGGAGGTTGTGACCGGCGCGTTCTCTCTTATCGAGCAAGAAAAAAAAAGTTGCCCGTCTCCTATCATCATCCATGACGAGCTGCTCCCTCACCTCCCACGACATGACCTCGATGTAACGACCTCCCCTTTCGAACATCGACACCTGTCGCAAACCGCCACCATCTCAACTCGCCCAAGAGAAGATATATTGCATGGTGGACCGCATATAATACTCCAGCGCATCCGTACCTAGCTGTTCTTTTCCGAAATAGCTGGCCCCTTTGCCCTTCGCCACTTTTCGCTTGATGGCTCACTCTCCCGCCCACCCCGAGTTCATGTCTGCAACAGGCGACAGGCCGGCCTCGCGCCACGTTCCCGAAACCACCTCTTACCCAGTCTCCCGAGAAAATGGCGACATCATTCCCGACACAAAACAGAACCCGTCTGTGAGCGGGAAGGAGTCGCCTTTTGCCAAGTCGTGGGTGCACTTTGTTGCTGGAGGGTATGTCTTGACCCTTCTCTTCTTGCCCCTCTAATGGAGGAAATGCGTTTTGTGCGAATAGAAGCTGACAGCGCTCTCCTGCTCTTTAGTGTCGGAGGCATGACAGCGGCGACCCTGACAGCCCCCCTTGACGTTCTCAAGACTCGCCTACAATCCGACTTTTATCAAGCACAACTCCGTGCCTCCCACCAAGCCCGCTCCCAGGCCCTCGGCTCTCTGAGCCCCCTCAGGGTAGCCTTGTTTCATCTACGAGAAACATTTCAGATTCTCGGCTCCGTCTACAAAATCGAGGGTCCCCGCGCGCTGTTCAAAGGCCTAGGCCCGAACCTCGTTGGCGTCATCCCCGCAAGGAGCATCAACTTCTACACCTATGGCAACGGCAAGCGTCTGATCGCTGAGTACAGCAACGGCGGAAATGAGGCAGCATGGGTCCACTTGTCAGCGGGCATACTAGCGGGCGTGACAACAAGCACAGTGACGAATCCCATCTGGCTTGTCAAGACTCGGTTACAACTCGACAAGAATGTGGCAAATCAGAAGGGCGGCTTGCACAAGCGACAGTACCGCAATAGTGTGGATTGCATCAAGCAGGTTCTGCGTACTGAGGGGTTCAAGGGCTTATACAAAGGCATGAGCGCGAGTTATTTGGGTGTCGCTGAGAGCACGCTACAGTGGGTTCTGTACGAGCAGATCAAGAACAAGCTGGCAGCGAGGGAGAAGCGCATAATCGCAAGTGGGAGGGAGAAGAATCTGTGGGACCAAACGGTCGATTGGATGGGTAATGCCGGCGCTGCTGGCGGTGCCAAGTTGGTCGCGGCCATCTTGGCCTATCCTCATGAGGTATGAAGTTGTCGCGTCCGTATATCTCGTGGAAACATATATGGCTAACACCACGGACCTAGGTCGCGCGGACGAGATTACGGCAGGCACCACTTGCCAACGGACAACTCAAGTACACTGGCCTCTGGCAATGCTTCCGCGTTGTATGGATTGAAGAGGGTGTCATGGGTCTCTACGGTGGTCTCACCCCTCATCTGATGCGCACCGTCCCTAGCGCCGCCATCATGTTCGGCATGTACGAGGGCATACTGCGTATATTTGGTGCCCCCAACAAGGCCGCCGCCAGCTTGTAATTCTCATGGTCGTTGGCAAATGCCACCGCCATCTTCGACTATGGACGACAATACAAAATGGCAGAGACTTCGAAGACGAAGACCACAACGAAGGCGACCGCTTGGTTTGATGACTTCCCACCGCCAGCGGGGAGCTCATCAGCATCGTCGATTATCCAAGACGCCTTGGGTATAAAACACATAATTTTCTGTACTATATTCACTACAAGCCCGAGGACCAGTAATTACCAGTTATCGCAGGTCTGGGACCAACGGACCGACGGATGAAGGAAACGACAACTCACCACAAGCTTTGCATTTGACAAGACCTTCCCTTCTCATATTTTAACGTTGTACTCTATAGGAATTGGCCGCCAAAAAGCAAACTTTCCTATTCCCTTTCAAATGGGGAAAGGGGAGAAGAAAACGAACATCAACCACTTTTGCATGTACAATACAGCGTGAGAAAGACTCTAAACCTTTTTATATGGGATCAGGTGGTCCACGGCCTAGGACAGGTCGATTCACGTAGGAGAAGCAGCTTTTTTTGGTCAGCGGAGAGTCTTGTGCCAATTGGAAGTGATGGGGGACTATCAGATGGATGGCGTTCCGTGGAAAAGCGGCAAACTTACCAACAATTGAACAGTTGAGCATAAATATGTTGCACATAGCCAAGAATACCTCAACAGGGTTTTCCTTGAACCGATGATGCACTCAGTGTACAATATACATGTAACAATTGAATCTTGAGAGTCCGCCTACCCATCAATTCTTGAAAGTTAGATGTTGAAGGGAAAATACTAAAGCCTCTCGGCACGTTTCCGAATGCCATGTCGACATTTCGGAACGAGGAAGACACTAAAAGGGGGCGCAGAGTGACGAAGAACGAACAAGAAAGAAAAGGAAAGAAATAAACAAGATCCGTTATTTTAGTAAATAGGAAGGTTAACCTGCTAAGGAGTGAGGGCTCAGCTAAATAAATCTCATGGTTGCTGTTCGATAATGAAGGCATGCATTCCCGTCAAGCAACCAGCTATCTACTCCTTTCCCGTCTTCTGGGATGGGGATGGAATAGGGGCATGGACTTGTGAGCAGCCCTTTACCAAACTTACGCTAGAAATACAAGCTGACGCGTGGACGAATGTACTTATTTATGCCGGCCCTCCGGTCTCCGAACTAATGCTTGTTACCTGTCTCATTCCATTCGAGTTACAGGCTGGAAAGAAGGTAATAGCCATGATTATCAATTTTAGAACGCCAATCTCCTCGGGCCCCCCTTGGAGGAGGAAAGCAACGCTGATGCTGCCCGTCTCAGAGTTCATGCTCGGCGCAAGGGGAACAGTATAGAAAAGAACATGCTACGGATAACTGGTAACATCAACAAAAAAGCACACAAAACTCAATTAGAAAAAAGGTTCCTTCCACAATGGGAGAAAAAGACACATCCCATACCGCCAACCCACCCCGTCCCTTCATGAGACTAGCGCTTCCATTTTTTACGTCGTTTTCTTTCCTCACCCGGGAGATTATCCAGAAGAGACGGAGCTCTTTGTAGCCAGCGCTTCCAGCTGTGTGTCGACGCGATGGTGCCTGGGCGGTCGTTTGCGCAGTTTGTTGGGTGTTCGCGAAGCCGATGGCGAGAAACTGAGCCGGAGCTTCAGTCACCATGCGTTACGGTCCCAGTTGGGGTCTGCAATCCTATGTATCAGCCGTCTACACCTTCCTCACACCGGGGGGCCGTCACCAAACCCACCTTGCACGAATGCGGCCAAGACCTTGCTGCCTGTCTGAAGAAGGGGGTGGCCGACAACGATGCGCAGAAACTTCTCGAGGCCAGCACGGCGGCCCTCGATGACGTCGTCGCTGAAGCGGTTCGTAAAGACCTTTCCGGGCAGGGGCGGAATGGTGACGCGGGCGCTCTCGCGCTCAAGGATGTCGCGGAAGTACTCAAAGTCGGAGTAACGGCGGCGCACGCTCGAGGCGCGGAGCTTGAAGGCGGGGATGTTGGTGCGGCAGACGATCTCATAATCGGTGTACATACTGCGGCCCATGCCATGGGTTCGAGGGTTGCGGACCTGTGACTCGAGAGCGTTAGGAAGGTCTCACGATGACTTTGGCGGGTAGAGCGGCGGGGTATGCGGGACAAGAGAAGCAACGAGTTGGCGGGAGGGCGTCGGCTGCTGCAGATGCCGGCTACTGCGGGCTTCTCACCTCGATCTCAAGAAAGTTTTCGGGCGGGCCGTAGATCTCGTCAAACGACTGCTGTCGGTTGTCCGGCATTGCCTGCATGATGGGCCGATGGAAGCGCGGCGAGGCCTGACTGCCCGCCTGCGATCCGGTCGGGGATGTAGGGGAGGTGGGCTCAGCGCTGGTCGCGCGAGCGGCGTTTCGGTTATGGGAATCCGTTTTGGCGACTTTCCTGGGGGAGCAAGGATCGGTCGTCGAGTTGTTGTGCCGAGAATAAGCTGCCGACACACGAGACGGCGTGTGAACCTATGCGAGCGCAGCTGCGAAATATGGGACGAGGCGATGTTGTTTTCGATTCGGTAAACGGGGGATGATCCTCCTTCTTTCTGCTTCGCAGTAATGCGAATGGCTGGAGGCCTACGTGGACTGTTGCGATCTGGATGTTGTTGTGGTGAAGTGGTGCCCCGATAAAAAGTCTCGGTGCGAGTGAGGTGGGGGAAGAGTGCGACGGCGGCCGATTACGATAGAAACGCGAGGAGGGCAGCGTTGTTTAGCTGGTATTTGCGGGGGAGCAATCATCAGTAGTCAGCCCAGATCGGCCGCAACCGCTACGACAACTGATTCGGCGATTACAACGCGGACAGGATAAGAGAGGGGTTGAGCCGATGCACCGTCTGTGAGGTGGGGGCGCCCTTCGTGCCTGATTGAGGTGGGGTGAAAGTGAACAGATTGGACTGCACTGACTGTCGGAGCTGGTCAATCCCAGAATCAAGCCAAGGCATACAGAGGTCAAGGTTGCATTTCGATTGCTTGGGAATCTCGACGTTTCCATTCCGTTTAGAACCCCCCTAGCATTTGAAGCCCATCTGTCCATTGTAGATGACCCTCCTCAGCTCTTCGTATCAATTCTCCCAGCGTATTCGACTCGCATATATGCCGGTATACAAGTACAATATCCGCAATATGCATTTTAATGCCCCATAGTACGCCATGCTTAGTTCATTCTTGACGGTAACCCACTTCTGACGCTGAGCCGCCACACCCCGTCTTACTGCACCAACTACCGCAAACGCGTCTTAAAGCCGAATGAGGAAGGCTGGAACATCGAACAAGTCATATGAATTCAAGAAGCCGGTAAACGCCAATTCCCTCCTGAACCCAGCCTCCATACATATGTCGATACAAATCTCCGCTGCTGTCTGTTGTCAGGGTCGGGCAGCCGTCGTCACCTTGGTCAGACAGACAGGCAGACGGATCACAAAGGACTGCACAGCCAAGCCTGAGCCGTGCCAAACATCGAATGGTAGTAATCAATGAGATCATTGTGATCCATTCTGGCGGCATCATCGTCGGATTGTCTCAACCTACTTCTTGTCGGCAAACCTCTGGTGAATAGCCCGGATTTGCTCCTCGACGTTCAGATTGTGCAGGTGGTTGATGTGTGCTTGGCTCTTTCCGTCGGGGTTACCATCAAAGCTGTGAATCGCGGCTTTCTTGCGCCGGGAGGCTTCTTCTTCCGACAAGGGCTGGCCGGTAACGCCGTCGAACACGTCGCTTCGCTGACTTGCTAAGCGTTTCAAGTTGTTCGCGACGTCAGCCGTGGACAAGTTGGTCGTGGCATATCTTGCCTCTGCCTTTGCTTTTTGGTCCTTCCATTGGGGGTCCAAAAGCTCGACTGCAAAAGTGGTTAGCCCAGTTTCAAGGTCATTTCGAGATGGGCAGGGTGTAGTTACTTCTCATGTGATCTTGAAGCTCGTCCATGGGAATCTGCTGCTTGCAGTTTGGACATAGCGCCATCTGGACACTTTGCTTGTTGGCCGCCCGTTGGAGTGCTCTTGGCACGTAATTCTCCTTGATTTTCATCGGAGCAGAGCCACCACGTGCCTCAGCCCGCGCCTGCTGCTCCCGGGCACGTGCTTCCGTTCTCTCTTGGATCCTCCGCTCCTCCTCCTCTTCCTCTGCCGAACGCTGCGAGGGGCCGTTCTGGTACGGCTGGTGTCCCGCTGGAGCCTGCGCCTGTTGAGGCTGCTGAGGCGCATACCCAGTGTGTACTGGCAAAGTCTGGGAGTGGGAGGTCTGCGGGTAAGCGTTGAAAGTTGTCTCTTCGTCAGTCGGCATAGCCTCTTCGATACGGAGGTTGGTGATTGAAGCCTTATTCCTTTCCTCAAGTGACGCGTATTGCAGCTCGGAGAGATTCGTCGGAGGCGGCAGGTTCGCGTGTTCATCGGCATCGGTGAAAACGATTGTCTCGACAACCACAAAGTCGTTCCAGTCGATCCGTGCAAATTCGAGCTTCTTCTTCTCGTCTTCTTCCTCCTTCTTCTGCTTTTCAATTTCCTGGAACTTGGAGTATTCGGCGCGTTGCTTTGCACGGCTCAGGACATGGTACTTGTCATCGATGTTCTGCTGGAGATGTGCAATACGCTCTTGCTCCAGCTTGCCTCCTTCGCCACCCAGTCCGCTGGCCCTCAGTAATGTTGTGTATTGGTCTACCTGGTGCTGGAAAAAGTTGTGGAATGTGTGGTTGGGGATGAGGAACTGAAACTGGGGGTTGCCAGCCTCGCGTTGGGCAAGCTGGGTCATGAATTGGCGGCCGTTCTTGGCGACGAAAAGAGCAGTCAGGCGGATGACCTCGAGATCCTTTTGGTTGATACGAGGCATGCGAGCGGAAAACTGGAAGTCAGGAGGCTTGGGTGGGCCCTTGGGCTTCTGTTCGGCAGGTGTCGCGGCTTCGTTGGCACGACCAGCAGCGATAGCGGTGCCACGACCGGCCTTGATCTCATCAAGTCGCCATTGGTAGAACGCGTGATAGGCATCGGAATTGTTCAGGAAGCTGAACTTTGGGTTGGAGCGCTCCTTCTCACGAATCCTGTCCTCGAAAATCAAACCGTTGCGTGCGACGTAGCCTGCCGTCTTCTCGAGAACATTTCGAATTTCGCGGGGGGGCAGAACAACGCCGGCGGGAGGCTTCAGCTCGTCTAGCGCAGCAGTGGCATCGGCGTTGGTCGAGGTCGAGGCCATATTGGTTGGGGAGCGCGCGCAATCGGGGTTGATGTCGTCAGGACGCGGCGCGTGGAGCTTGCGAGAAGTCAAACCAAATAGGGTGAACAGAGCTCTATAGGTAGCCTCCGTTAACTTTTTCGCAGACACCCCGAATTGGCTAGCCTGTTTCCTTAGTCAGCGGCACATGCATCTCAGGGAAGGGATGCACGGTCCATTTCACCTCCACAATCTTCAACCAACATGATATATGTTGGCGCGCATCTTGTTATTGCTTTGACTGCTCGTCCAAGATCACAGTTGCAGAGAGCCATTGGTTAATCAGCACCACACACCGCCAGTGCTGTTTTAGTAGCAGCAAACCAGAGGCTTCGGCGCATGTCGGTAGGTCTAATACCCCCAATGCCCCTTCGCCACACCCAAACTCAAAGAGAAGAGGGCAAAAAAGGAAGAAGAGGAAGAAACAACGAAAGGAGGGGAGACTGTTGTGTTTGTTACTGGCAATTTGCCAATCCATCTCAATCGAAAGCTCATGGTCGCCGGAGTAGTCAATTGCTGGACGGGGAGCAAGGGATTAAGTCTGCTTTCAAATCACCAAGAATCCGTTAAACGTTTGATGCGTAACTGTGGCATCTAGCATCAGGTGCTGATATCATAGGTCCGGGATGAATATACAGCATCAGCACAGTTTCTTGACAGTACATTGAGAGGGAAACCCGGTGCTTATGTGTCATGAACAATGTGAGGCAGAGTTATCTTGCATACCGCCTCTTTTCCCGGTCTTTCTTCTTTTTTCTAGTCACATCAAGTCAATACGCACTGGCCAAGTCCGTCAATAGTGGAGGCCATCGGGGTGGAAGATGGAACTTTGCAGAGGCCGGGCACAACGAACAATAGCGCGTCTCCAGCCATCCACTTTGGCGCTAGAGAAGCACGGGTGGCAGGCGTCCAGATACTAAAAGCAGCATACTTAGCACATCAACTTTTGGTTTGTAAGTTTTTTACGTGTAGCTAGACAGATAGCTGGCTAGCTATCTCTCTAAACAGAACACTTGTCCAACAACAGTCCTAAGTCAACGCGTGCTTAGTACAAGTGGTAATAATCAATAGGTACCCTGAACCGCGTAAAGTCTGTTTCCTCAGGTACTCTTGTTTTATGGCCACTATTGTGTACCTGTGCGACTTCACGAGGAACCGCCTTGTATCTATACCTCTGTAGGGAAAACACCAAGCCCCCTTCAGCAAGGCGGATCTGTGGGGGTGCGGCCCCAATATGCTACTAGGTATGTAGTTACGAATGCTACCTATGTATGTACAGGTCCTTAAGGGCTGGATTCGCTACATGGCAGATCGGACTAAACGGGGTGACCGGTTCGCTGGCAGACTTAGGGCGACATATAGGTATATCCCCGGGTAACTACCGACAGTTGTTCTCGACTCCTCTCAAGTAGTTTCTTAGTTAGGCTGAGCACGCTTACCAGGTCCTCAAACGTGTCTGTCCATTTAGGGGCTCATACTTGGGGAATCATAGAAATTGTGTGAAGGTAGGGGGCGTGGATAGTATCTGTAGACTCCAGGGGACATGGATGATGATGGGGAGGCGATCACTGGAGGACCCAGGTCCTAGCTTCGACCAATCGCTGGCTGTCAAACTACTTGTATATGGGATGAGGCCACTTAAGCTACAACTTCGACCCTGACCCCCTTATCCTCCCTTCCAGCCTGGCCTTCCCTTCCCCCAAGCTGTCATCAGCTCCCGCGGTCAAACTTTCTGTTCCCAGACTTACTTCTATTTTCCCCATCCCCCCTGGTCCAATATTCCTCCCTCCCAACTCCCGGAAAAAAAGTATCCTCCTTTATTTTCCCGTCCCCTTCTATCGACACCATTGGGACCATTCATCTAGGTCGCCACCCTTCATTTGTCTTTGCCTCATGACGGCTTTTTAATGCTTGCCTTCCCTTCTCGACTCTCGTTGACCCCCTTTCCACTATTCTGCGACTCGGCCGACGTAGGAAAACCTCTGTCCTATCTGCTCTAGTAGTCGATCTCTATCATCCTCGTCCGTCGTCGCTGTCAGTAAACTGCTGCTGCTATCGTTGACGGCGAGGAAACGAGTTCCCTGCCATATCCGACCATTCCGCGTCTGACGCTCACGGCCCGACCAATACCTCCATCCACGATGTCTGCCACCAAGCCCGTTCGCTCTCCGAGCCCCAAGCTCGAGAAGCCTGCCAACGGCGCCAATGGTATCAATGGCAAAGCACCTGTCGAGCGCGAACCGAGCTACAAGTCCGACGGTGTCGAGGACAACGATATCTTCCTTCTGCCCGTTTCCGATTACCAGATCATGCTCGGCTTGACCTTTCTCGCTGCCATCATTCGTCTATTCCGCATCTACCAGCCCACAAGTGTTGTGTTTGACGAGGTCCAGTAAGAACACCCATCATGAGACATAACCCATATGATGGGCCCCTTTTCTGACCTTGTTCTCTTCCAGCTTCGGTGGCTTCGCTTCGAAATACATCAAAGGAAGGTTTTTCATGGATGTCCACCCGCCCCTAGCCAAGATGCTTATCGCTCTGACCGGTTGGCTGGCTGGGTTTAACGGCGACTTCGACTTTAAGGAGATTGGCAAGGACTACCTTGAGCCTGGCGTTCCCTACGTCGCCATGCGCATGTTCCCCGCCGTTTGCGGTATTCTGCTGGCCCCTCTAATGTTCCTTACCTTGAAGACCACTGGATGCCGTACTACAACGGCTTTGATGGGCTCTTGCCTGATCATCTTCGGTACGAAAAGTCATATCTTCCCAAATCTTCTAGATATCACTAACACTTTGCTAGAGAACGGCCTTCTTACTCAAGCCCGCCTCATTCTCCTCGACTCCCCGCTCATGGTTGCAACCGCCTTCACCGCTCTCTCCTTCCAGTCCTTCACAAACCAGCACGAGCAGGGTCCTGAGAAAGCTTTCCAACTTAGCTGGTGGTTCTGGCTGCTGATGACTGGTTTGGGTCTGGGAACGACTGTCAGCATCAAGTGGGTCGGTTTGTTCACCATCGCCTGGGTGGGCAGCTTGACACTTATCCAGCTCTGGGTTCTTCTCGGCGACACCAAGAACGTTACACCGCGCCTCTGGGCCAAGCACTTCATGGCTCGTGCTTTCGCCCTAATCATTATTCCTCTTGGCTTCTACATGGCCATGTTCGCCATTCACTTCCTCTGTCTGGTCAACCCGGGTGACGGTGACGGCTTCATGAGCTCCGAGTTCCAGTCCACTCTCAACTCCAAGGGCATGCAGGACGTAGCGGCGGATGTCGCCTTCGGAAGCCGCGTCAGTATTAGACACGTCAACACACAGGGTGGCTACCTTCACTCCCACCCGCTCATGTATCCTACCGGCAGCAAGCAGCAGCAAATCACTCTTTACCCCCATAAGGACGAGAACAACCTCTGGCTCCTCGAGAACCAGACCCAGCCGCTTGGGGTTAATGGCGAGCAGATCAATGGAACTCAAGCCTGGAACAACCTCCCCGAACCGGTCTTCATCAAGGATGGTGATGTCATTCGCTTATACCACATGCCTACCTTCCGCCGCCTGCACTCTCACGACGTTCGCCCCCCTGTGACCGAGGCTGACTGGCAAAACGAAGTTTCTGCTTACGGTTATGAAGGCTTTGAGGGTGATGCCAACGACCTTTTCAAGATCGAGATCGTCAAGAAACAGTCGCTCAGCCCCATTTCCAAGGAACGCCTTCGCACCATCGAGACCAAGTTCAGACTGGTCCACATCATGACTGGTTGCGTACTCTTCTCTCACAAGGTCAAGCTCCCTGATTGGGCTTCCGAGCAACAGGAGGTCACATGCGCCAGAGGGGGCACGCTTCCTAATAGCTTGTGGTACATCGAGTACAACGAGCACCCCCAGTTGACCGGTGACAACGTCGAGAAGGTTAACTACCGTAACCCCGGCTTCTTTGGCAAGTTTTGGGAGCTTCAGAAGGTTATGTGGAAGACCAATGCGGGTTTGGTCGAATCTCACGCCTGGGATTCCCGTCCTAGCGCGTGGCCGCTTCTCAAGCGCGGCATCAACTTCTGGGGCAGGGACAACCGCCAGATTTACTTGCTGGGCAACCCTGTTGTTTGGTGGAGCTCTACCCTTGCTGTTGTTGTCTATGTTCTTTTCAAGGGCATTGCAACTCTACGCTGGCAACGCAAATGCAACGATTATGCCAATACCACCTTCAAGCGTTTCGACTACGAGATCGGCACGGCCGTGCTTGGCTGGGCTTTTCACTACTTCCCTTTCTACCTGATGGATCGTCAGCTGTTTCTTCACCACTACTTTCCGGCCCTTTACTTCGCGGTCATGGCTTTCTGCTCAACATTTGACTTTGTAACAGCTCGAGTCTCTTTTGGCGGCATTCGTCACAATCCCTTTGTCAACCGCGTCAGTGCCGTCGCCTTCTTGGCTCTTACCGTTGTCGGTTTCGTGCTCTTCTCGCCTTTGGCCTACGGAAACCCTTGGACTAAGGCCGAGTGCAACCGGGTCAAGCTTCTTGGCTCGTGGGACTTTGACTGCAACACTTTCCATGAAAACGTAAGTAACATCACTGCTTTTATCCCAGGTAGGGGCATGCCGGAGAGAGGATTGTGACGGTCTGTCGAGGCCGGTCCGTTAAAGCTCTGTCGCCTTGAAATTTTGGAACTTGGATTCATAGCCAAATGAGACGTTGTTCGGCAAAGCATCACTTTGGGACGTGTGAACGTAGTACACTAGCGCGCTGACATCGTTTTCTGGCATCACAGTACTCTCAGTATACGCCACTACTCACTCGCAAATCTTCTGCTTCTGGTGCCACCCCGACACCGGCAAAGTCTGAGGCCCCCGCCGCCCCAATTGGCGGACAGGTGGGACAGATCCCGATCGGTAATGCCCCAAAAGAGCAACCGCAGGAGGCGGTCGAATCGGAAGCCCCGGGTCAGAAGGTGCTCTCTCGAGAGGAGAAGGTGGAATATCGGGACCAAAACGGCAACCTTCTCAACGAGGAGCAGGTCAAGGCCTTGGAGGGCAAGGTCGAATTCAAGACAAAATATGAGACGCGGACGCGCGTCGTCGACGCAAGTGGGAACGAAGTACAAACGCCCGAAGGCGGTTGGCCACAAGAGCTTGGTCAAGAACAAGGCGGCAATGTGGCCCCGCCTCATCCTGATGTCCAGGGCGTCGACCCTGAGACCAAGGCCAAGGCTGACGACTCGGCCGCCCCCAAGGTCGCCGAAAGTGTTCAAGGCCAGAAGGAGGCCGAGCAGAAAAAGGCCAAGCCGGCTAGCGACGGCGGCAAGGAGGCTACTGCTCAGGAGGAGCTTTGATAGGTCTGTGTAGGGTGAGGAGACAATGGCTGGATTGTAATGGTGTAGCTCGATCTATATGTTCTTGCAGTTGATCAAGTGTTACGATCTGCGTCTCCCTTTTCTCTTGTCCTCCATCTGACACAAAGTCATTGATTGTATACCACACCCAGTACTATGAGGGGGAAACCCCCATGCGTATCGCATGGTTCGCAGCATGACTTCTTTTTGTCCCCCATCCCGCCCTTGCTATTGTAGTGGAAGAGAGCGGACTAATGTCGAAGGTTGAGTCATGAGTTCCACCATAAAGAAACTCGATTGTTTCCTACACAAAGTCGACGGCATGTCGTATCCATCGATGCAAACGCTTTGACAGAAATTCTCACACATTATTGGATGCAATGAGTGGTTCATGAAAAAAATGTTGCTTGTCACATGTTCTCTCTGCTTGCAAAGATCCCTTGTGAGAGATTGCATAAATGGAGAGAGAATCACATTTGGGTCAGTTCATGTTGAGGAACTTCAGGATGGCAGGTACATTTTCAAGTCACATGGGCGAAGGCAGAAATTCTGTGAGGAGATTGATGCCCAATGCACATGGCATCGTCGTCTTATTTGGTATTAATAGTAAAACGGTACGATCTTTAAGCCTTTGTCCCATGCTTTCTGTTCCGTGATTCATGCAATGAATGCCTGCTGCTGTCCGGCCGACCCCATTCACTCCTTTGATAGCAACTGTTACAAGTATCTTGCAAGGAATCAGTTTTTGCTCTCCAAAACGCCAAGTCCCCGGTCAAACAGAATAAGAAAAAAAAAGGGGGGGTATGTGCCTTGTTCCATCCCAAGCTTCGCGTTCGGTAACCCTGATCTTCCCACCCCTCCCTGCTTTGCCTTCATTAGTAGCACCGGCATCTGTGCCTTGGCGACATTTGAGTATAATTAATACAGTATCGGAAAGTAATTGGGTATGTTGCGTAACGAGATTGGAGTCCCAAGTATTCAACGTGACAAGTCGACTCGCTCTTTGTGGATGCATGTTTGATCCGTCAGGGTGTACCTGCTTATTGCCCTTCAGCAACAGCTGTAATAGCAGGATGCTCCGCTTCCGAATTGGGAATGTTGATAGAGAGGCGTTTGTCTCCCTCCTTCTCGGTTATGTCACCTTTTTCCAATGACAGGGAGTTTGTTGGGGTTTGGTCACTCGGGCAGGGCGTAGATGGCCGCGCCAGCGAGACTCCGGTGTCCATTTGAGTCGTAGTCTCTTCCAAAGGAGTGGCAAAATGGTCATCATCATCGTTGGGGCTTTCCGCCACTGTTACTACTGCCCCCGGTGCAGCATTCCTAGAATCGCTCTCTTGGCTGGTTCTGGGACTCCTATCCGAGGAAGGCACAGGATGGCTAGCGGGAACAACGCCACCGCCTATGCGAGACCAAAACATCTGCTCGCGCAAGCGAACACTCTCTTCCCAAGCTGCCTTCTCTGCATCCTCGCCTTCCGCTCGCCAGTGGCCGTCTTTTAGTATGCGTAGAAAGTTGAGGAAATCACAAGTGGACCTCACACGGCCCAAGCAGTATTTGCAGAGGGGATAGCGCTGTGCTGTCTCGGACTCGCTGGTTCGGAAGCGGTAGGTTCGCAGATGCTCCTCGTCCTTGCGCGCATCGCCGCACAAGGAGCAGGGATAGAACTGCGGTTTGACAAGTGACGCAAATGGCGCATTGGTGGGAATTGGCTCCACCACGATCGAGCCGTCACTCATGGCATTTAAAACGCTACGGCGCGCAAGCCAAGAGAGACCCGGGGCGATATCCAGTCGGAGTGTTGGCTCTACGTCTTCGGCCAAGACACGTTTGAAGAACTTTGTTTCCTTGAGAGCCGGTGGGGGTGGGCCCAAGTTGGATGAAGCTGTGCTCGAGACGGAGGCCGGGGTGTTTGGTGTCTGCGGTGAAGACGTCGCAGAGGTTCCTGTTGTGGAGAGAGAAGCAGTCGACGCGTTGGAGGGGTGAGCGCTAGAGGTGCTGCCCCCGATACCAAGACCTAATCCGTGGAGGCCATTAAAGGAGCCGGACGACACACGGCTTCCTGCACGGTTGCGAGACAAGCGTGTGAGACTGATAAAGTCTTCGAATGCGCCCAAGTCAGTCCTGAGAACCGGCTGAATGAGATGTGACAAGCTAGTGGGATATGTTGGCGTAGTGGGGTCCACGAGAGACGAAGAGACAAGGCCTTCCGAGCGCTCGTCATCCTTGATTTCAAGTTTGCTGAAGCCAGGCGAGGGAGGAGCAGTTCCAATTGTAGCGTCGTCCTTTTCGGCGGTCAATTGCTCCATGACGTGCTTTAAATCGGCGAGTTGCTGCTGCTGGGAGGTCAGCAAGGCCTCCATATCGCCCAGTTGGGACCGCAAGTGGTCGTTCTTCTTTTGAAGGGCTTCCTGCTCCAGTCGTGCCTCTTCTTTAGCTGAGATGACCATCTTGTTTGCTTCCTCAAACAAGGCCGTGGTCAAGTTCTCCAGCTCTTGTTCAATCCTCTTGGTCTCCTTCTCAGCATCCTCCCGCAACTTCTTCTCCTGCGTAAGACGGAGCATGATCGTTTTCTTCTCGTCCTCTGCGGTCTTCCGGCGAATCCAGATGTCGCCAGCAAGCATTTCCCGCTGGGATTCGTTCTGCTCCTCCAAATGCTTGATTTTATCGCGCGCTCTTTCCAGCTCCTGGCGCGTAGCTGATAGCGTATCGTCAAGAGTTGTTTGGTGGTTGATGGCATTAATCAACTTGGCACTCAAGGTTGCAACTTCATCGTTTAAATCCGGATGATGGGCAGTTTCGGCGTCGCTCGCAGGGCTCATAGCTCGGCTGCGCGGATCGGGTAAAGTGCTGAGTTCGCATTCGTCGACTGGAGGTGATGTTGTGGTAGGGCGCAGCGCCGGTGACGAGACAACAGAGGAAGACACAATGGGGACGTCAACAACGGACGGTGCTCTGCTCGTTGTTTTAGTAGCCCTTGGGCTGGGAGATGGGGATCGGGCCATGGAGGAAAGAGATCGGAAGTGACCGAAAGGTCTACCGCCAGGTTGAGGGCTGGTATGCTGTGCCCAGCCAGCGACGGCAATGAAACTGTGCCAGACAATATTAGTAACAGCCATTTGACGCTTCAAAAGGCCATATGTAACGGCGTTGCAAGTCAGGAGAGTATCGTCTTAGGCAAACAGAAAAGGACGAGAGGAGGGGATAGCATGTTTGTCGGAGGACGAGGGACATACGAATCCATTCCGTGTAAATATATCCGGCCACTAAGGAGCCAATGACGGTAGCTACCCAAGATGGAGCTGGACGGGTGCTTTTGAATTTGTTGAGTGGTAAGACAGTGCGTTGGCAGGAGCTGGGAGCACCTGTGAGGAATCCAGACAGCAATCGTAAGGTGTGACAGGGCAGCTTGCAAGCGAAAGGAAGGTGGAATGTAGTGTAGCAGAATGCTAATCAATTGCTGCCAGCAATCAAACTGGGGTGCCGAACAGAAAGAGGCGGAGAAGGGCGTTAGGCCTTTAGATGTCCCACGACGACATGGCGATGCTTCCGAGGCCGGGATGAGGTTTCTCTTGCAGTGGCAGAAAGGTGGAAGGGTGATGAGATCGGGATCGTAAGTTCGGGTTTGGGTGGTGGTTATCAGATGGGTTCGTGGATAAGCCGGCAAGAGGAGCTTGTCAAGGTGTTCAGGGCCAAGTGTAGAAAGGCAAAAAGAGGAGATGAGGAGAGATGAGGGATGGAGGCCGAACAGCGGAGCACGACAAGGCTTTGAGTGTTTTCCAATCGTGGGAGGCGCGGAATAAGCAAGTGGAAGCAAGCATGCAGACAGTCATACAGACGCAAGTGAGAGAGGCGGCGGCGGCAAAGCGAGAAAAAGGACCAGCCAGAGAGAGAATAGGATGGGCTGCAAAATACTGGGGACCAAGAATTAGCCATGACCAGTGAACAGGGACCGGGAGCCGAAGAGGACGGATGACATGGGTGGTATTGGACGGGTCGAGAGTGACAGGGACCAGATGTCGAACTTGCAGGTCCAGCTGTGAGTGCGAGTTGTCTTGACCTGGGCGGGCACAGACCAGCAGGTACAACGAGGAGGAGGAAGAGGAAGGGTGTGTGGGTCCAGTGTACGATGAGCGAAGTGCCAGCAGGGGTGGGGGCGGTGCAACGAATAGCCGGGACACCACTTGGACGGGGACTGGAACGCGCCCGAAAAGGTGGCTCTCTCTCATCTTGACGTACCTCCTGCACGTAGGTAGTTTTAGTGCGAAGTTTACGTACCAGTAGAGTATGTAGCGTGTCTGTCTGTTGTGTACGAATGAGCTGGTGGAGGCATCCTTGTCTGCCACATTTTGCTAACAAATAAACACATTGGATTTTTTTTTCTCCAAATCAATTTTGTTTTCTTTTTTCCCTATTTCCCCCGTTTTCTGGTACTATCCTGTGCATCTACCTATTTGCCCGTTGTGGTGTATGAGACAGTCACGGTGGCTATCAAGAAGCCGTTTATTCCAGTCCAACCTCAGCCATCGACATAATACCCTACCTAATCTGGGTGGGTGGCAGGTGGCAGGTGGCAGGTACAGCTAGGTTGGTAGGAGGTAGTTAGCACAACCAGCCGGATCAAGTTGTGCACGAGCATACTTGGGAGGGGGGCTGGCTGGTCATCGGCAGCGCGGCTTCATGGCAGGCGACCGAGTGGGGCATGACGGCGTGACGACATGCAGACCGAGATGCGCGCATGTTTGTCGTCCTCGGCACCTATCTGGTGTAGTAGTGTAGGTATCCGTAGTGTTATCAGATTGGTAGCACCTGGCCCAGACAGACCACTGCAGACCTCAACGCCTTCAGCTATCGTTGTGGGTATCCACCTGCCTCTTTCACATTGGTCTGGCCGGGTACGTATACAGTAATCACCAAGTAGGTACCTCTGTACTTATGCTGTTGGGAGACCTACCTAGGCACCTAGGTTGCTGATATTCGCCCCCTTTGCCCGCCGTCACAGCCACACTACCTAGGCGGTAGTGCATGCTACCTACCTAGGTATGGGACGAAAACTTGGCCAGTTTTTGACTCGCGAAGACTACTCCGTACATCCCACGGGACTGCCTACTTCAAATTGGTCGAATCCGAATTGGGCAGTTGCGACCTCACACGTCCACCATCCTCTCTCTGTATTTGGTCATGTGCTCTCTCTCCCCTTTACCCCCCCCCCCCCCCCTCCTTCTCTCCCATGTTTCTGTCGACGCTTGCCATTTTTCATAGTTATGAACGGTCGGTCCCTTTTAACAAAGCATGGATTACTAACCATACCTCACGGACTTTAGTCAGCCATGGGTCTCCATCCCTCTACCTAGGTACCAAGAATGTCAAGCTGAACTCAGTTCCTCTTTACCTTACCTGCTGCTCGCCTACACATCCAAACTTCCCTGTCGTCCCGAATATTCTCGCTCTCCTATTGCTTCGGCAAGCCACATTACCTCCCTAGGTAGACACAGCCCGGCCAAACGGACCCCGACCTTTGACGCGCATGCATCGCCGGAACACAACATGGGTACCCCTTTCACTTGCCTGCCCTCGATTCGAACACCAGCCCAAGCTGATTCGTCGCCCCCGTCACCCCATCATCGGCTCTCCTATCCCGTCGTCCGTCTCTCCCCGGCTGTAGCCTCTGCACGAAGCCCTCACAGTATACATACATCGTCTGCCTATGCGTTGAACAACACGACTATCGCATCATCAAGGACTCTACTCCTCATATCTCCGTATATACGCATTTTCGCACATTCGCTCGCCGATGCAATTCTGTAACCTTTGGCCCAGCTAGTTTCAGGTCACCAACTATCAGAAGCGACCGTCGCTTAACTTATCATCAATTAGTCGACCCTATTTTTAGTTGCTTCTGCGGCTCCCCCCTTTGTCGAACACGTTAGATCTTCATTGGAGTCGCCGGTAACGCTTCAACGCTCAACCCGCATCAGGAGCATCGACTACATCCGTCATCCCCATCTGTGCCGGCGTCGGTGCAAGCAAGTTCCAACGTTCAAGACCGAGCACCCGCGTCTTGAGCTACCTTTGTTACCCGTGTCCACTTGACCCTGAAATCTGAAGCATGCCGAAGACACTACGGTGTGCTTCATATTTCCAATGCTTGCGCTCATCTTCATGCTTGCACAGCAACTACCGAAAAGCCATGCCCTTTACCAGCTTCGCGCCGACGACATGCCTTTGCATACAGTGTATCAGTAACTCAACTGATTCAATGTCCTCCTCTAGGCTACTCGGGCTTTGCCCCGATCCCCTGGCCGAAATCAATCATCAGCTGCACGCTCAAACTTCAGCCGCCTGGAAGTTCTCTACCAGACACGCGCCCCATTGCTTTCCAGTCCGCACTGACGGCCTGGCCTAACATAGCTGACTGTCTCCTCTCCTGCCATCAGCCACGTTGTTAATCGTCTTCAGCCTCAAAGACTTCCCCTTTCTCTCTTTGTGCCCTGGAACAGACGGTACCCCGGTCAAGGTTTAGCCTGGAACCGTCCGGGGCGTGTTAACTGTCCCACATTCTCCCACAAAACCTCATTAACTGCAAGCGATAGCTAGAGGAGCACAAAGCAATGACGTTTCTGCATCTTTGGGTGCCTCAGACGCCAACGGCGCCTCATCGTGATGTTGGTTTCAATTATATTCAGCCACTTCCAAATTACTTGTTCTCCCAACTCCCGCGGATCTAACGGCCGACGCCTTGTTGACAACGACGGCTCCACCACGTCTGGTGCTCCTGCGATTATTGTTTCTCTCCGCCTGCTCAGCTTCGTCCCATCTGCTCCGGATTCCGTTTACGTGTTTCACCGGCTGGCTATATGACACCGCCCCCAGGGTCCGCCGTCCCAGATTGCTTGGTACTCTTGCTTAATCCTGACCCTTTGAGTGTTCCGATGTTGACACGTCGGGCCTATCTTGGTACACTGCCACATGACGCGTGCTTTCGTCCGATGAACCTCGTGTCGAAGAATTAATTACCACGCTTTCTTGAGGCTCCTCTCCTGTTCGAACAAGCCCATTCAACTAGACTCAGCACCTAGCTCGGCCTCCTAGGTCGTCAATGTTTGTGCCTCCAGATAATGCGTTGGCTCGATGCGAAACCGCGCTGTGGGGATTTTGCAGAAGACGAATTTACCTTCCCCCGAATTGTAGCTGTCAATGCAACATAGACCCCCGACCGGTCTCAAGGAGGCATAATCCAAGGCGCTTGTGGCAACGTCATCGGCTGTGGCGTTTTGCGCCAACTTGGGCCGAGCATTGGAAACATCTCGCACCATCCCCTCCGTCCTGCCGTCAGGCCCACGCTCGGGCCGCAAGTGCGACCGGCATATCTTCGTCCCATGTCACCGACCCCGACGCCCGTCCGCGTCTTTAATCTGTTACCTTGAAACGTAAAGAGAGGCCCATGCCTTGAGGGTAGGCCAGCCTCTATCGCAACCGACTATCAACTCAACATTAAGTGATGCGACATCCGTGCAAGTAGGGAACAGTGGCCCAACTCCCGCAGGCAAAACATGGCCTCAACCTTGTCTTAGGCGTCTCCTCTGCTCCTATCTCGCATCGCGACTGCCAACCAGTGCCTCCTAACAGCTTTGCCCTGGATTAAACTGATGTCTCATTTGCTGCATCCTCATAGCGCTATTCAATACCGTCTCAATGAAACTCCATAGCCCACATAAAAACTCGATATGCTCTTGTCCGGCTGCACCACTTGCACACCAGACCCCGAAGATGAGAAACGGTAGGAGCGCATTACTCGCGCCCCTCGTCACCAAAAGTCGATATGGTTTACGACGTCGACTTTTCTAGTGTATCTGTTACTTCATGTGCGTCTTCGGCTCCGTAATGATTCAGTACTTAGTCATCGGCACCAGTGTAAGTTGTCAACATTCCTCTGCTGGTTGAGACTTATCGTAAGCCTGTCATGCCTATCCCTTCTCTGGTGTTCATGCTCTCGTCTTGGCTTTTAAGATAAGACTGCGTTCCAACGTTACTTCCAGCTCAACAGTGCTAGGGGTATCATCTTCAGCCCAGGTTGGCTGGTTCAATGATGCTATTCTCTTTTCGATACCTGACGGTAGCATTGGCAAGGACGCTACATGGCGCATCTCAGAAGAGTAAGATTGATCCAGCAGACGCATCGAACTCGCAATATATAGTCCGACTTTGAACGTGGATCAGTCAAACTCACTCCACCCGTCAGCTCTCGTGAGCCTGCCCCATCTCGCAGGTCTCCTCGAAAAGGGGTGTAAAGCTATGCGATACTTTGACAAGGCACCCAGCTCCCTTGCGACGCGCTTCTTGAAAGGCTATTCAATCCCACTACCTGACCGGCAACTGCCTCCTTTCAAATCTCGCAACGTGATCCAGCTAGATCAGCTTGTTGTGGGCTTAGCTAGTATCTAAAGGATCATCTTACTGCAATTGCGATGCTCTTGCTACGTTGTTCTTCCTAGCACTCTAGGGGGCCTTGACTTTACTTCGATCCAAAACTTTGCGATTCCGTTGAGGACCATGTTGCTCAGAGTGTGCCGAAGGCTGTCGGGGCCCTTGCTACCAATTTATTCATGCTTACTCTCCCTACTGGCTTGGAAACACGTTGTGATTCTGTGCACTTGAATTCCGAGGAATTATAGCTCTGGGCCCATTTCAATAAAAAGTTCCACACTAATGGTTATAAGCACGTACTACTGTATTTCAACCAAAGGTTGACGGCTTGCCACCTGACTTATGTGGTCATGGCGACATTGATGACTGCCCCTCCACCACCATTACCGCCATCAGTACCAAGCCCATGGGAACCCGAAATGGCGACTCCAACATCTATCTGTCCAGTCCTAAATGAAGTCAAGCCAACATAACATGTTTTACGAGGTTGTTGTTAGCAATAATCGCAGGCGATCAAACCGAGGTGGACGACATTGCGTCGGAGGGCTTGGAATCGTGCAAGACGGCAGCGGCGACAAGACCGTACCGAATTTTGGGTCAACGTGAGCTTTTGTATAAATACTGCATGGGCCTTCAATTTTGTATCATCGCTTAACTAGTAGGATTCATGAATTAGACCGCTTACATGCGGATGTCATGTCTAGGTTGCATAACGTCATAACCCAACCCTATTGAGGGTCTCAACACTCCCATAGAAATAAAACCAAACAATCAAAGTCGAAGAGATTCCCATTCCAGTCGATAAATGGTTCGCCCTGGCCAATGGTCGTGCCTGATCGTTGTCTACTTCTCAAACAGCGTGGGTGGCAGATGAGTTGTGAATGTGCAAGGGCAGTGGAATGGCCGGGGCAATGCGGCGCCGCATTGGTTCCCACTTTCACCCGTCCACGAGTGCGGGGAACCCCCCCCGATTGCATCGCATGCGCAAATCGGGGGCAGTGCCAAGGCTTACCGTAATCGGTCCCTGGAAACGGACCGGGACGCAACCGAGTGCGAGAAGGCTACGTAGATAGTGTTTACGTACGTCCCTTCAATAGCCTGCTCGCCTTCAAAGTGTACCCCCCAACCCTACATCAAGGGGTGGACGGACATCCAGCCACACAGAATCAGCTTACGAGCTCTCCTTCTGAAGGTTCCCCCCATTGCACTTCCGTATCCGTGACCTGTCACGATTGCCACGTCTCAACATCTGTCATTGCCCATTTCATCTGGAACGACCCGTGCACAGTTCAAAGGGCTTAGGTTATATGTCCGTAGCCTGTCCGTCCAGCGGGGACTTGCTCATTTGAAAGCATGCAATTTAATCACCTCACTTCTCGCGAAGAGCCCGAATAGAACTCCAACATTATCGACAACCGCCACAAAAGGAAGTTTCTACCTCTCTATCCCCAGCCTAGATTTTTAATTATTGCTACGAAACGACAACTTGACCAACAATCGTTATGTGCTGCCGAAGACGCCGCGCCGCCCGCCAGGCTTGGCTCGAACAACGTGCTGCTGGGGGAGGCAAATGCGGTCGGAGCCGCGGCTGGGGCACCGGCCCTGGTCCTGATGGCCCTTCGTCTCGTCCCCCTTTCACGGGCGGCCGAAGGGCCTTCCGCCGATGGCAAGACGCCCCTCGCGAGGATGCTCATCAGGAATCCTTGCACTATCAACAAGCCACCACTCCCCGCAACGACCCTACTACTAAGGATATCGAAAAGGCCACACCTGCCGTTGAGCCTAAGGCTAGTCGTGTACCCTTCACATTTGGCCCACTTGGATGGCGGAGGAACTCCATGGGGACTGATGCCGACAGGGCATTGAAGAGGGAGTCCACGATGTCTCTGCCGCCGCGGTATAAGTTTGGCGTGCCCGAGGTACCTCAACGGTCCGATGACGGGGCCGTAGCAAAGAGGGAGTCACTTCCACCCGACTACACTGCTAGCACGAAATACTAGGAGATCGGTCGTTGAATCATGTCGTGATGCGAACGAAATACGTGGAGTGGCATGTCGATACAAGACAGAATGGTGGATGTGCACCGTCAACACAGCGGCTGTAGATACTGGCATCCTGTGGGTAGCCAATAGCAACGACGATTAGTTCAATCAAATTAATGTGCCCTTCACCTCGCTACAATGGGTATTCTGGGGTTAAGATTCGACCAAGAGACGGAAATACCCAACTCCCCTTTGCAATCGAAAATGTAGCCCAATAAGATTACACGCCTGAACACGTGAAGCAATCCCGCATATGCAAGAAGACCAACATGTCTTCGCGGGCTTTACCACAAAAGGGACTAATTAATCCCAGTCCTCATAGCCACCCGCTCCATATGGGTTCCATTCCTGTCCGGGGTAACTTGTCGCGCTCATCTGGGGTACTTCGGGGTCTTCTTCTTTTCTGTACTTGACACCTCCGGACTGCACCTCTTCGTAGGGGTCCACTAAGGTCTTATCCTCCTGAGCTTCGTGGCGAATGGTCCTCTTGCGTTCGTCTTCGGTGTCCTCCAGCTCGGCTCGCGTGCTTTTGTCCCTGGCCAGAGTTGTTGATGGCGCTCCATTAGCGCCTCCGTTTGCGTGGGTGGCATTTCGCGGCGCTTCGTCGGCGGAGCTGTCACTAACCATGCTCTGACCGGTTGCTGTGGCGGCGATAGGCTGTACTGGTGGTGGAGGTGGCCCCAACGGCAGTCGTGGAGTGGAATCGTAGATATCGTCTGGGGTATCCTGGTTTGCCAAGTGCACATTCACCGCCAAAGGGGATGCTGCAGAAGCTGGCACGGGCGGCTCGGGGGAGATGACCCTCTTCGTCGCAACTTGTGTGCCCGATGAGGCACTGCGCGAGTTGCTTCCCGCAATACTGCCACCATCAGCCGCAAGCCCCCGTGTCTGAGTTTGTGACTGTGGTCGAAGAGAGGCCGCAGTTTGTGGTGCGGCTTGAAAATCATCAGTGTGAACTTGCGCTTGAGACAAGATAGCATTTTGCCCCTGAACGTCTCCACTGTGAGTTTGATGGGTTTGGGAAGACGCCACAGATGGTGTGATGGTGTTGACGGGAGATGACCGTTGGTGATGAGGCTGCTGCAAAAAGAGCAGCTTTTGTTGACTGTATCGTGAATTGGACGTTGCAATCCGGCCATTGCCGCTGTCTTTGGTATTGAGCAATCCAGTGGGATCTTGCTGATTGTGTTGACGGAACACCGATGGACCACTATTAGGACCGTCCGTGCCTGGCTGGGTGTTGCGGCTTTCGTACGACATATTGGACTGGTGTGAGGCCATGCTGATCCGGCGACCTCCCTCAGGACTTGTGTTTGGCTGCACATGGCTCTGGGGTAGATGTTGCACATGTGGTGCGGTAGCCCCTGACTGGTTATACAACGACATCTCAGAGGGGTGCCTCAAAGCAGTGAGAGGCGGACTCCGTTGCTGGATTGGTGGCACTTGATGTGGAAGGAACTGATCTGGCGGAGATGTACGAGGTATGGCGTAAGGGGACGGAACCACACTGCCTTCGCCATGAACGGCAACGTACCCTTGAGGGATCGGGACCTGGTCATACTGCGGCTCGATAAAACCCTGAGGTTGGGGCACGTCATGATTTGGCACGTGTACAGCTGGAGCTGCCCGAGCCATCGGGGGATCAACAGTTGGCCCATGGTGGTGTGGTATGTGCCCGTGATTCTGCCCAAGATCAGAGCTCCCAAGGGATACATCGTACTGCGGGGAAGGTCGCTGACCAAACACGCCCATAGATAATGGGTATTGATGTTGTTGTTCGTACATAGGATAGTGTCCTCCTTGTGACGGATGAGGACTCCTTTGAGTGAGAGGACCAGGAACTTGCATTTGCTGCTGCTCCTGGCCCACCGGCAAGCGCTGAGCCCCAGAGCGAAGCGGCTGTGACTGTCCTAGGCGTGCCGTCTGTTGCTGTTGCGGTGGTCGAGCGTCCGCCTGCTTGGAGGACCGTTTGAATGCACTGAAAATGGACTTGGCCGCTGATTCCTTCGTATGCCCCTGGTGAGACTGGGATGGCTCTGCTTGCGTAGAAGTCCTGTTTCTAAACCATTTCGAGACCAAGCTCTGTTGATCATGGTCGTGAGAGCTTTGATATTGGAGCGGCTGATTGTGGCCCGAGAAGGATAAGGAAGAGCGCTGATCAGAGGGCGGTGGCATCTGAGTAAATTGAGGTAGATGTTTTACCCCTACCACAGGTAACTGCTGCTGCTCCCATGGCATGGAATCAGGCAACGGCCGGCTTTCCTGATCGAATTGTTGTGGCTGGTCACCGGCTATGCCAGTACCTGGCAACCCATTGAATGAGCCTGACGGGAGCGCCTGACGATCCGAGACTGCACCCGCAGTGGGAGGCTGCATTTGAGAAGTGACGGGCGGCTTAGGAGAGTTCGATACAGATGACCGTTGGGATATCTCAGCTTGGCCGACTACACCATTTGGCGACTGTGCCATGGCACCAGAAGATAGTAACGACGCAGAATGATCCGAGATTCGTCTGGTGTGGCGGTATCTCTGAATGCCCAGAGCTTGAGTATTGCCACCGTGTGACTGCGAAGGAGGCGGGGTGAGTGAGCTGAGCACTTGTTCAGGTTCCTTTCCGTGCCTTATCGACGGCTCAGGCGTTGGTTCCGCCGAGAAGCCAGAAGGAACCCAACCTTTTTGGTTTTGGTCATTCGGCTGCTCGTGCTGCAGTGGCCGTTCCCCATATAGCTGCGCCGAAGAAGAATATTGTCGCTGTTCGCTGACACGATGAGGTTCTGGTGAATCCTGGTCTTCCTGTGCTTGGGATGTACGAACACTTAGATTTTCCTCTGTTTGATACGTCCTATTCAAGAGGTGATCGGGCTTATTCTGCGAAACGTTCACGCTTTGTGCTTCGGGAGGCGGCGGGGAAAGTGCTGCATGCTCTTCGCTTTCTACGTCAGACACTCGTCGCGCACCCGTCTCTGCCATTGCATGACCCTGGTGTGAAGGCTGTGGGGAAGACAGAAGAGACCCGTTAGACTTTTTGTGGTGAATAAAAGGTGCTTGAGGCTGAAGCTGCAATACTGTTCCAGTACTCGGGCGCCCATGGGAATGCTGAGAACTAAGGTACGGCACTTGGGTTTGCTCTTGCTGCTGTTGTGGCAGGGCTCCTGTAAGCTGTTGACCTTCACTTTGGCTACCAGGCCCGAAATTTTGGGGCGATGCTTGATGGCTGGGAGTTTGCGCCCTGAACTGTGATGGAACTTGTGCATTCTGATCCTGCAAAGGCGAAGCCGATTGCTGTTTCTCTTGATGCTTAGGCGCGGTGCGTTTGCTGAACAGCCCAGAGAGGAAGCCACCTGCCGAACTCCTCCTACCGCGATCCCCATCTTCAACATATTGTAGCTGCTTGTCAAGCTGTGCTAGTTGTACGAAGGACGGCCCAGAGCCTGTGGTATCGCTTCTTTCTCTGCCTTGCGGTGCGAGAGGGCTGAGCACGACAGGTTGGTTCGATGGCGTGCTTGAAGGACGTCCTAGTATGGACGGAGTCGCCGATTGAGAGGTGACGGACTTGTGCGGTATCTGCAAGTCTTGCTGGCTAGAATTACGGTTGAACACTTTGCTTCTAAATCCGGAGAAACGCTTCTTGGGGGGTCCCATAGCGCCGCCTGCCGCTCCATTTCCGGCAGTCGACGTTGATGAGCGAGACAGATTGGGAATTGGGAGGGCGGACGGCGATTCATTGCCGGCTAAATCGAGGAACGAACGCTTCCTGTCAGCGAAACCCGCAAGTTCTTGACTCTGAGAAGAGATATCGGGATTAGGGCTTTCTTTAGGTAACTGCGTGATGCTTTTACCCTCACGGCCCTGAGGCACACTTGCATCAGAAGGTCTGGATCCTCGCAAGTTTAGGAAGAAACTCGATCGTCGCCCTTGGTGGTCTTGGAACTCTCCCATAGTGACGCTTGCTTCGGGGACCTCGTTCCTCTGTATGTCCGGGTCGGCAGGGATACTGGCTGCCGCTTCTTCGGCCTTGGAGGGAGGCCGTCTGCGAGAGGATTCCCGGGAGAGACGATCGCCAATCTCTTTGAAGAAGCCAGCACTGCGCCTGCTTCGGCCACGTTCCTCGTCTATTAAGGGATCGAAGGTGCTGACTTCAGAGTCGCCCGTCTGTGCCCTGTAAAGCGAAGTCGAGTCTCGGCCGTTATGCTGTTGGCCCAGGTCATGAGATCTTCGAGGCCCTATTGGCGATCCAAGATTTTGCTCCCATTGAGGAGGCGAGAACAGGCTTGGATAACGCTGTGCGGAGGACGGAGGCACTTCAGAAAACTTCTGTCTGGGCGGCAACTGCGTCTCTGGCCGTGACACCGCCTGCGGAGGCACTCCAGTTTCCTTTTCATACCCAAAGAAATCTTGCTGTTGAGGAGACAAAGACCCCCCGGACTGACGGCTTCGGCTAGTTGCCAGCGGCTCCGATAGGTGAGACTCCTCGAGCTTCCAGGGGCCTTGTGGTGGAAGGTGATGGATGGGGTTACCCGCGCCCCCGAACGTTGGAGACACCATTCCCTGTTGTGGGCGCATACCAGGGCCAAATGGTGGTCCATCCATCCGTCCGTTAGTCTGCATGGTAGCTCCTGTGTAGACAGGCCGCGGGACACGGCCCGCTCCCCTGAAAGCCGCACCCGGTGCAAGCGGCCTCTTCTCATCGTCAATTCTCCAGTCGGAACCAGTGACACCGGTACTATCTGTTGCGAGAGTTGCCGCCTGCGTCGACGTAGCCGAGAAGACGTCATGTGATATGCCACTGTCTTTGCGGGAGCTTGATGGTCCAGTGTCAATCCGAGCGGGCTGCGCAGGCTGAGCAGACCAGCTAGAATCCCCTTGCTGGAGACGTGATGGTGTAACGGTATCATGGCCATGCTGGTCAGCTGCATTACGGGCAGAAGACAACACAAGCTGAGCGTCCTCATCGTCGTCCAGGGAGAAGCGCTTCCTGGCTCTCTTGGTCAAGTTGATACCAAAAGTGGAACTTCGTCTAATGGGCGGAAGACCAACAAATGAAGAATTGCGCTGTGGAGATTCAGTTTGTTGCTGTTGTGATGGCAACTGTTGTATGGTTTCCTGTTGGCCCTGGTGCGGGTATAAGGGAATGGCGTGGTTAGCATTAGGCCTCGCACCATTTCCGTTGATTACTTCTTTGCCTAATTCAGTAGACGGCTGGAATGAACACGACGGCACTGGCGGTGATTGAGGTGATACCACTTGGATATGGCTAGAGGAAGGCGAGTGCGGCGACACAACAACCCAGTCATCATATTGGTCATCGGCCAGACTATTCATTGGCGCTGGAGCCGTTTGTGTCTGGGTAGCTTGGTGTGCGTTTGGCGCATGGGGGATCGGATCTCTAGGTCGTTCCATTTGTAAACCCTTCTCTTGAACCGAAGGTGTGTTTGCGAAGGGGTCCCACGACGTCTGAGCCTTGACAGTGGGCCTAGGAATCCAAGCATCATCTCCGACCCAAAGATCTTCATCATTGACCTTTGCGTAGCTCTTGGGGCCTGGCAGGGAGTGTGTGTCTGAAACTGGGGACACCGGCTCCAAATCACCATCCCCGTGAGGACCGGCGGGTTGTTCCGGGGTTCTGGGCCGAGGTGGAGCCCGTGCCGAGCCTAGGTTGCTATTGCCCTGAGTCAAGCTATCAAATGGGGGTGTACGTGAGGTCTGGGGTACTTGAGGCGGTGGAGTCGGATCTGTCGGATGTTCCGGAATGGTCTGTGGAGCTGGGCCTGACACGGATCCCGAGAGCAAACGTGAATGCGCATGACCCAAACTATCGACATGGAACGATGAGCGTGCCCCGAGATTTAAGCCCCATGATGTACGCCGCTCGGCTCTAGTCTTGGGTTGAGCCGTCGGAGGAGACGAGTCGTTCTGTGGAAGAACAAGCGATTAGAGAGGATTCACCATATAAAATGCCACGTGGGACCTTGTTTGCTCCGAGGGCACCACAGGGGGGGTTACATGATCGTGCAGAAAAAAATGTCGTAGCATTCCTTATTCATACAGTCCTGTCATTCTGGCCAGAAAGGAAGACACATAACTCATAAGTGATTGCCAAGGGGGGAGACAAGGGAAATGATAAAAAGTGAGAATGATAACAACAAACAGGGCGTATGGGACGGATCAGACTGTCGATCCCTACAGCCCCTTGTGGTGTGATGATCCCAATTGAGAGGAATGTTAAGAAAATACCTTGTCCCCAGTGCCACGGAGTTTGCTCTTTCCCTTGCTCAGTAAACCTTTCCCTGCCTTGCCAGCTGCAAGCAATAGCCCCTTGCCCTTTGCCCCAACTTGTCCGCTCGAATGCTTAAAATCGCTTGAAGGCGAGTGGGACGAACTTGCGGGTACGCTGCCTGCGGGAGGGCGACCTGGGGCTCCCACACTCAGATTAGGGTTGCTCGCGTTGAGGTACTGCTGGTAGTAAGGCTGCTGAGAGGCCGGCTGAGAGGTGGTCGGCGAGGGTTGGGATTGTCCCGGACCTGTCGCGCCGATTCCGAATGAAGCAGTGGCATTGGCATGCTCCGGATGCTGAGATTTCAAGGTGACCAGCCAGTTGTTGAGCCCTGAGTCCATTGACGCAAACTGTGCTCGCGTTTCGTTGTACTTATTGATCCTCTCTGAAGGGCTTGCTAGTTCCATGATTTCTTTAAACGTCTTAATCTTGACTGGCTGCGCTGGCTGCTGTTGCGAAGGCACAGGAGATGTAGGCGGAGAGAAGTCCTCCAAAGGCTGGGCCTGAGCCGGAGCCAGGGCCGGGTAATCGCCGGGCGGGGGGCTGGGGAAACCGGTGTCAGACGCAACCTGGGCCATTGACTTTTCGTCCACGGGAGACGGCCAGCGGGCTGGTACAGTCGATGTAATGTTCTTATCAGTCGATACTGACAGTGGCGACAGTGGTTCGGCCGCCTCGGTGTCCATGCCGTCTCTCGGCGCAGAACTAACCTGCGACACTTGATGAGACACGGCGCCTGAGTCTTGCGATACACCAGCATGCGCATCGTCCAACGCTGTAGGCGACTGCGTATGTTCCGCTTCTCTAGCCAGTTCGGACAGCGCAACTTGCGCCTCATGGCGGGGTTGTTCAGAAGGAGAGGCGTCTACAGCTGTAGAAGCACTTGGGAGGACGGACTCGGGGAGGGGATCCGTTTGGGCGTCCAAAGGCTTTGGTGTGACCTGTTCCGATCCTGCCTCCCAGGAAAATCGTCGACCAAGAGATGGTGGTCTATCCGAAGCGTCCTTGCGAGGGCTCAGAGGGGAAACATTGGAGTTGCCTTGGTCGGCAGCCGGCCCGCGTTCGGGCTTCGGCTGCTTTGATGGCAATTCAGACATGTCGGGTTTGTCGTCACCCGCAGCCCAGTAGTCTTCGTATACGCCGTGCAGGTAGGTGCTCTCGCGGGTGCCACTGCCATCAATAGCCGGGCTTAGTCGCTGGCTGCTGTTGCTAGTGCTGAACTGGTTAGAGTCAGGAGTAGGACGGACTGGACTCAGGCTGCGCATGATCTCCTCCCGCAACTTGTCGCTCTCCTTGACAGGGGAGGGTTCTGTAATCGTGCTCATGGTGGACTCGCGCTGCAATTTCTCGGGCGCCTCGAATTCCGATGACGAGGTGCCTGATTCACGAGAGTTTGACGGAGCTGAAATGGTCAAGTCGTCATCCCAGTCGGGATGGTTTTGACTCTGATCGGCCCGCTTCGAAGCCTCGGGACTCGAGACAGGTATAGATACACTATCCTTCACCATGGCAATACCGCTCTCTCTAGTCCTTTCGTCTTCGTTATCGGTGATGGGAGACACTTCGCCAGAAACCAAGCAGAGCACCGGGTTTTGCTCCGGAACGACAGGAGTCTGCTGGTCAGAAATGGAACGCGTTTCAGTGACCCAGCCTCCGGGAATAGGTGGCCGCGATGACTGCGATGGCAGACGAGATCTGCTTGATTCCGCAAGTTCGTTGATTGGTGGGGTCTGTGATGGCGAAGGTGACGTGGAAGTGGTTGAATGCGGAGTGGGGTCAGAAGTTGAAAGCGGAGATGTCACCAATGGTTTATTCATGGATGGCATTTTCTCTGCTGCGGAGGCAGCCTCGGGCTGTTGCTTTGTAGATGGTAAAGACGGCACCGGGGGCGCTTCGTTGGCTAATTTTGATGGATTGGTGAAAAAATCATCTCCGAAAAGAGACATACGAGCGAGATCTGGCAGTCTAGGGCTGGTAGAATAACGCCGGTTCTGGTCAGATTCCTCAACGGTCGGTTGCTGCAGCTGCAGTTCAGGAACAACCAGACTGCTCTCGTGAACATTTCCCGAAGGACTCAGGCGGCCTGGGTCTAGGTTCTGGAGCCGGGATTGTGCAAGAAGGCCATCAAATCCATACTCGCTCTTCCTCTCCGCGACCGGTGCCAGGATAGGCTGTCGTGTGTCATCAGGACCAGGAATACCTTGGCCTTCGCCCTTGTTCAAGCTACCGTGTGCCGTGTGCAGATCACCAGCTTCAAGGCTCGGGGTGGATGAGTCTGCAGGCGAAACTACAGGGTCGCTTCTAGGGACGCCGTCACTTCCCCTACTAGGCCTTCCGTTTTCCCCAGAACCCCTCCCATTCTTGTCTTCGTCCATCCGGCGATAAACGTCTGATGGTCGGATGAAGGGCGGCGACTTCGGGTTCGACGGCGTGCCAGGCGACCTGATGTTGGAGGGGGATGCCGGCCGTTGATCGACCCAGGGACGTTGCGTCGAGCTCGACCGAGAACCCGACGTCTGATGATTACGATCTTGCTGGCCCATGCTGCTCTTACGAGGGGGGAAACGTGTAGCTGGAGGCTGCGCCGGGGCTGGCGAGGTCCGCCGGCTTCCCAAAGAAGGGGACGGAGTGCGGTGAGAATACTCTGTGCGGCCAGTGAACGATACCAGCGGGGTCACCTGAGGTGCACCACCGCTGGCAAATTGCGGCGACGCGTACGGCTCATTTTTTTCGGAAGCACTGGGCATGGAAGCTGGTCCAGAGGCATTGGGAGGCGGCTTTGCAGAGTTTTGGATCCGCAGAGGTGGAAGGCCGGCAGTGGACCGCGGGCTAGATGATAGCCCAGACTGGTCAGTAGTCGGTTGCGGCGGTCGCATTGAAGGCTCATGCGCGGGTTCGACAAGTTGAAGTGCGGGCGACTGGTTTGACGTGGGAATAGTCGCCGTTGTCGACTGGCTGACCGATCGTGACCCCATCGGTCGCAGAGGTGGAACAGTCGCAGTGTCCTCGGGCTCATCGTCGTAATCGTTTCCCCAGTCATCGCCGTCGTAGTTTTGAGTCTTTGCTTCGACCCATTTCTTGGTTTTTGTTCTCTTCACATTTGTCTTGTAAGCACTCGTCGGCGTCTCCGGGCTTCTGGGGCAAGTAAAGCATTATTAGCATCCTTAGAAGAAGATGGGCGCGACACGATGTGTCATGTGGGAGCCTGTGGCTAAGGGAGGAGCACTCACAGCGACGAGTTGGTATGCTGGGGGGCCCCGAAGCCATAGTTGTACGAAGAGCCGTCCATCGCGTCGGACTCGTCTACTCGGTCATTTCTCACTCGATCTGGCTACGACTGCAGGTGTTTTGAAGTTCAGCGACGGCTCGGAAGGTGGTATGATGAGGCGCGTAGGTTGATGGTTCGACAGATCGGACAGATTGAGGACGGGGAAAGCCGGTGCCAAACTCGAACGTGCGGATTACAGATCGGAACGAAAACGCAGAGATCTTCAACTGGAAACAGCAAGAAGGGCAACGGAAAACAGTCAGACGCACGCTCTCCAAGGGCGCAGCCTTCAGACACAGGGCAGAACGGGATGGGGCTGGGCTGGTGGTGTAGGTCACCAGTCTATCCAAGCCATGACAATTGCTGGAGGCGAAGACGGGGGACGGGGAACCTAGAGAAAAGACGGGACGATGGACAGGTAATTTGGGGGCTTGGGAAGAGTGGATGGGCATCGCTTGGGCCAGCCGTGCAAGGTCATGGAGGGAGGAGGGTACATGCGCTCTCGCCTTTGACGGCACGGGGGCTGCCTGTGCAGCGGTGCGGGAACTCGATGGCTCTCGTCAGCCATTGCCGGGCAATCCTGGTTGCTTTGGCACCCCGAGTTCACTCTACAGCGCTTACAGTCTTACATAGTCCAATGTTGACCACCCCTGAAGGAACGATATGTTAATGGCACCATACCAAGTAGTATACGCTTGTACACTACTGAAAAGAGGAGATGGAGCTGGGCTGTTTTCCTCAAGAACGCTAGCCTGCGGGACTGTGCCATACACTAGGCGCCTGTGGGTAGGTACGGTACCTGACTGTAGGTGTATTCCTATTGAGAGGAGCACGGGGCAACAAGACGCTATGATGTAGCTTGTCTGGCTTGACTTGTACAGTACAGCGGCAGACCGAAGGTAACAGTTGTCTGATACTGGCTCACAGACGGCATCCCTCCAAGTCTCTTGAATGACAACATCGCCTCATCGAAATGCATGCGCAAACAGGCAGGATGGCTGCGGTTCTGCGTGATACCGTTTGTGGTGAATCTGAATTTTGGTTTGTTTTGTTGTGATTTAAGTTCTGAGGCAAGATCATATTGGCTGCCATTTATTTCGACTACGGCTAGAATCTCGACCGAAACCAAAGGCGAAGGGTTTGTTTGTACGTAGCTCCAACGGTAGGAGCAAACATCGCGTGTCGTCGGAGCCGAAGCTCTTGGGTGTTTCTTTGGTATTGGCTACTGAACCATGTATTTCCCTTCATCAGGAGCCGCTGGCTAATGGAAGAGAAAGCCTTGTTCAACAAACGTGTTAGTTTACGTACCGCGAGCGATACTCAGGTAGGTAGGTAGATACCTAGCACTGTCTATGTATCTGGTAGGTAGGTACCCACTTATACGACGGAGCACTCGGAGACATGTTTTGATGGAGGTACCTAGGGAGACGGGTACTTAGCAGCACCAGCCACATGTCTAAAGGTCTGCAATTAATTAGTACACTAGGCGACGGTGGATTGGATCGGACACCCTGGCCCCGTCATCCCGACACAAGAACACTGAGCTGAATGCTCTCGACTACCTGGATCTCTCGACCACGACACTCGTTTACCTTGACTAGGGACGGTGCTAAGAAAGGCTCACTGTATTCTACAAACTACAGGCACCTCGACATCTCCATATCGCCTTTAGACCTCGTTGTATCGTCAGACTTCTACGACTGCGCGCATTGTACAACAACCTTCTGTTCTCAACCGCAACCTATTGACGCGTCGCCAACTTGATACAGTTGATTTCCCATCACTTACCATCCATCTCTGCGATTGAGCCATTGCTACAATAATCCTTTCGCAAGTACAAAGCCACTTGACAAACAAATCCAACGCGCTGGCCGCCTCCCCTCGAGATCCCGTTCTCACTCGAGCCGCTACATAACCGATTTTCATAATGGCGGTCGCATCGATACAGGACCGAACTGCCGAGTTCAAATCGGTCCTCGCGCAAGCACAACGTCGCCAGGCCTCGACTAAGGTCGGCGCTCAAAGGCGATCTCTCCTTACCGACTCTCAGAAGGCCGCCGCCGATGGCGATTCCCGACCTCGGCGCTCCGACTTTGCGCGCCAGGCGGCGCAGATTGGAAGAGGAATTTCGGCCACGATGGGCAAGCTCGAGAAGCTGGCAACACGTATGCATTCAGAGACTTCCAGTTCACAACAAATACGGCACCGGTACTGACGGTCCTTTAACAGTGGCGAGACGCAGAACTTTATTCGACGACCGGCCGGTCGAGATCAATGAGCTCACGTACATTATCAAGCAAGACCTGAGTGCTCTTAATCAACAAATCGGAAATCTACAAGTTTTGACGAAGCAGCAGCATCCGAAGGCTGATCAAGAGGGAGAGCATAACAAAAACGTCGTCTTCATGCTCCAGGGCAAGCTGACGGACGTCTCGGCTAACTTTAAGGATGTCTTGGAGGAGCGAACCAAGAACATCCAGGCCTCGAGGTCGAGGACAGACAACGTAAGCCCCCACCCTGACTCTTGCCACGGCAAAAGAAGCATATGTACTGATGCGAAGCTTCGCAGTTCATCTCCAGTGTCTCTCAACACACGCAACCGCCATTGCAGCAATCGGCATCGCCCTTGTACGGAACTCCTCACAGAGGAACGCCATCACCGGGCGCTGACCTTCTCTCGTTGAATCCTCCTGGGGATCAGCAACTTCTACTCATGGAAGAGGCGCAACCACAAAACACGTATATTCAAGAGAGAGGCGCGGCGATTGAGAGCATCGAATCAACTATTGCCGAGTTGGGATCTGTAAGTTGTAGCGTTTAATAGTCTCCATCTCGAGCAAGCTGGACTCATAGACGCACGCAGATATTCGGACAGTTGGCGACCATGGTGTCAGAGCAGAGTGAGATGATCCAGCGAATCGACGCAAACACGGAGGATGTTGTCGACAACGTGCAAGGGGCGCAGAGAGGTGAGTTTTTCAGGCGTGGGGCGAAGAAAAACATATCAACGATATTGTGTCTGACCGTTTGGTTGCAGAGTTGCTCAAGTACTGGGGGCGTGTCTCGAGCAACAGATGGCTCATCGCTGTAAGTTGCCACCCGCGATGTCGCGCGCCTGCGGGCGCTGGCGATCTATTCAGTGGTCTACATTTACTGACAGATGGAGCAGAAAATGTTTGGTGTACTTATGATTTTCTTTCTGTATGTTGCCCGTCGGCCTCGCCCCCAGATCAAGCTCCCTTACTGACTCGTTACACAGGCTTTGGGTCCTTATCGCAGGTTAAGATTAGACGAGCATTGGCGTGGGTATAATCATGAGAATGATGAGCGGTGGATTGGGGAATCGAGATCAAGACGGACACTGGTGTTGGTTTGTGCAATACCAGTACTGTTCCGCTGTATCATGATATTGATGCTGGGACGCGAGCGTGGCACAGCGATAGAGCTTCTCTCTTGCATACACTTAGATCTATTAATCATCAAAGAGGTTAACTTCGGCTCATGCCCTGACGCTGGCGCCGCTACAGAGTGTTGTAACTGCTTGTGGTTTGGGTCCAATTGTGGGTGATGCCAACGGTAAGAAAGGGGGGGGGGGGTTGTGACGTGATATTGCAGTTCCATTCAATCCTAAACTACTCACAACTCAAGGGCCCCTCCCCCAGCACTCAAGGCCTCTCCACCGTCATGACTCGGCCCAACAATGTCCGAGAGCGGTTCCGGTGACTAGAGAATTATCCATGAATGGAGCAGGTTGACAGTCTGCCCCACCGAAGAGGGGTGTATCCTCTTTTTCTCCATACGCTACACTACGCTATTTCAGCGCGTCAAAATGGCAACCTGGGGAAATCCACACAAAGGGGCATGGAAGTTGAGGTCGAAGACAAGCCTACTTAGCATCTGCTGTGAATTGTATTTACTGAGACTATCGAGGGCTTGCCCCATTGTGGTCAGCCTGGCATCTAAAAAGACATTGAGGATGGTGACGGTTGAAGAAGACAGGAAGGTCACAGCGAGAGGGATGGGGTTCTCAACCCAGCTCTTGATCTAATGCATTAACCCCGATGACCTTGTCCGATTGCTTTCTGGCCTTGTTTCTTTATTTATTTATTTGTCGGCAGTATATATTCCGACATCCCACACCCTCTTTGTATTTTGCTCCGAGAGATGTTACCCTTTGGTCCCCCTCTTTCGTTGGCTTTTTGTTTCTGAACTGCATACTTCTCCCTCCTCCTCTTCAGAACATTAAGATCAAGACTCAAATTACCCCGCCCCGGCCTTCGGCCCCGTACATTGCAACGTGATCAAGATGGCGCCTCAAACCTTCAAGCTGAACTCGGGATACGAGATCCCCGCTGTTGCTCTCGGTATACTTCTCTGCCTCCTCGCATATCTCATTAACTTATGTCCCTCATAGGCACATGGCAGTCTGCCCCCGGCGAAGTCAAGGACGCCGTCTCCTACGCCCTAAAGATCGGCTACAAGGCCATTGACGGCGCCTACTGCTACGCCAACGAGGATGAAGTCGGCGAGGGCCTCAAGCAAGCCTTTGCCGATGGCGTCAAGCGCGAGGACATCTTCGTCGTTACCAAGCTTTGGGCCACCTACACGATTGGCGATGACAGGGTCAAGGAGGGCCTGGAGAAGAGCTTGAAGAGCCTGGGCCTCGACTACGTTGACCTTTTCCTTGTTGTACGTTCTCTCTGCCTCAGACGCCGACTCACATGACGCATCACGACCGAATATGAGCTCACAATCAAACAGCACTGGCCCATTGCCATGAACCCCAACGGCAACCACGACAGATTTCCCACCAAGCCCGACGGCTCCCGCGACATCATCCGGAGCCACTCGCATGTTGACATCTGGAAGTCGGTCGAGAAACTCCTCGATACGGGTAAGGTCCGCTCCATCGGCGTCTGCAACTACAGCGTGAGGTACCTCGAGGAGCTCCTCCCCCAGGCCAATGTCATCCCTGCCGTCAACCAGATTGAGAACCACCCCAGTCTGCCCCAGCAAGAGATTGTCGACTTCTGCAAAGACAAGGGCATTCACATCATGGCGTATAGCCCCCTCGGTTCGACCGGCGGCCCCCTCCTAACCGCCGACCCTGTCGTCAAGATCGCCGAGAAGCGCGGTGTCACCGCCTCCACCGTCCTACTGAGCTACCACGTCGCCCGCGGCAGCACCGTCATCGCAAAGTCTGTTACCCCGGACCGCATCAAGGCCAACCTCGAGATTGTCGAGCTCGATGAGAAGGACCTGAAGGAGCTCCGCGCCTACTCGGACGATCTGACCGCTAAGAAAGAGCTCAAGCGCTACGTTTATCCCGCATTTGGTGTCGACTTTGGCTTCCCCGATAAGTCTTAGATGTATTGATGTTCTTTCCCAATATATAGAGTGGATGTGTAAAACTGATTTGCATTTTTCTTTGTACGATGCGATGGTGAATTTGAGTTGCGAATCAACACTGAATATACTCAATACGCACCGCCCCTGATGAGGCAGACATAGGCCGTCCAGGTCAGCCAGCCAATCTTGCAAAATCCAAGTACCAACGCATAGGGGAAAGAATAAGAAAACTATCAGATGGGCTAGACAATCAGCAACCCCGCCAATCATGTTGTGTTTTTTTCGGCTTTTCTCTATTCCCTGTATTTTTATTTATTCATTTTAACTGTATAACCAGTACATGTCTCCTCCTCAACTTGACGTATCTACTAGAACCTTCAGCACCAGGTTGCCATTTTCATCCTTCACCTGGGCGGCCATGTCGAAAGCGTCTTTGATTGCGCTCAGCCCCTTGTAGCGGTGTGTGAACAGCTTTTCCAATGCTGGCAAGCCCTTAGGCTTCGTCGCGATCAAGTCGATCGCCTTGGGGTACGTGTTGGCGTAGCGGAAGACGCCGATGAAGTCGACCTCGCGCAATGCCGCGGCTGAAATGGGCAGCGTCTGGATCGGCGTGCCCATGCCGATAATGAGAATCTTTCCTCCCGGACGAGTGGACTGACGCCCAGTCAGTACGATACATGTTCACAAACGTCACCAGGGCTGCGACTTACAAAAATGGCCGTCTGCATACAGGTCTCAACACCAGTACACTCGTACGTCGCATTCAATTCGCCAACCTCCTCGCCGCCAATCTTGGCCTGCTTGACCAGCTCGGCCACATCCTTGGCATAGGATAGCTTGTCCTCAATCGTCTGCGGGCGCAGCGCCGGCACGACGACGCCAGCGTCGGCGAAGCCGTTGTCGAGCGCGAACTGAACGCGGTCCGCCTGGATATCGGCTATGACAACGCGCTGCTGGTCGGCCTTGCTCACAGCGGCACACAGCAGGCCCACGGCGCCGGCGCCGAAGACGAGCACGGTCGAGCCGCTGGGTAGGCTTGCGCGGTCACGAGCGTGCATGGCGACGGAGAGGGGCTCGGCGAGGGCGCCAAACTCGAGAGAGACGGTCTCCGGGAGCCTGTAAAATCGCTGTCAGTGTCCGCGCGCCTTCGAGCACATATGAGAACCATTCCCCGGGGCCTTACTTGTGGCACCACTTGGCCGGGTGGTTGACTAGCTCCTGAAGAGTCCCTTGGGCATGTGGAAATGCCTTTGCAGAGCTGCGGAACTTCATGCCCTTGCAAATATTATACCGCCCCATGGCGCAAAGGTCACAGGCCTCGCATGGCTGACCGACCTCAAGTGCGACACGGTCGCCCGCGGCGAGGTTGGAGACATCAGAGGCGACGGCGGTGACGACGCCGCTGGACTCGTGGCCGAGGGTGAGCGGCTCCCGTACGAGGATGTCACCGTTGCGAAAATGGGTGAAGTAGTGCAGGTCGGAGCCGCAGAGCCCCGTGGCCTTAATCGCGATCTGGACTTCGCCCGGCGCAAGCGCAGGGAGTTCTCTTTGTTCCTGCGCCAGTTAGGTACTTGAAGAAAAGTTAAGCTGTCCAGTGAGAGTTGGCTGACGATTTTGAGGTCCTTGGCGCCGTGAAGGACGGCAGTCTGAACTTGAATGCTTGACATGATGATTGCGCTTGTATTCGGTTCTTGGGTTGGCAGAGGGGTCTGAAGAGTCGAGCACAGTGCAGAGACAATCCAAAGGCGACAGAAACAGAGAGAGGAAGGGGCCGCAATGTTGTCGCGTAAGATGTGTGTAAGTGTGGAAGTGGTCCAGCGATAACGGGAAAAGTGAGAAGTGGGCTGGTTAAGCGGTTGATAATATCCTTGCCCCGATTCCGAACGCCGAGGGGGGAGGTACACGCACTTGGAGGCAGTTGCCGAGCCAGGTATGTATGGCTACGTACACAAGGATCCGATATCGACCGTTCGGACAAGGAGATGATCGAGACCAGGACCAGGACCAGGGCCAGACAGCACTGGGCCGGGACTTGGACGCAAATCGGCGGAGAACATGGTGCCAAGCGGCAATGCGAGTTGACAATGGAGGAGGGATGGGTACGAACGAGTAGGTACGTCAAAGATGCCCGGCATCATCCGGGGAACCAAGCAAAGCAAGCTTGCCGAGGCGGTATTCGGAATTCTGTCCGGCGTGCGAGACGCAACGGGCTACGAGGGGGTCGCTGCCATCGTGAAGGGATTAAAGGGGCCAAGGGGGGAGGGGGGGTGGGGGGTAACTCTGCAGTAAAACTACCTAACCTACCTGACCTCCCTAAGTAGGTACTTGCCGCGGTACGGTATGGAGTGAGAAATCTCTGTTCTTCATCGTGACTGACCGTCCTCTGACCCTCTTCATTTTTCGAGCTCCGAGATGCGGGGAGCGGGGAGAAGGCCATCCAATCCTACCTCCTTACTGTCCCCCACCAACGTTGACGCAGAGTGGGGGCGGGGTACCGGGTCCTACCTAGTCAACTTGGTACCTACCTCAGGTAGGTAGGTACCGGTACTGCCCTCTCCCCTCAACTGAGTTCTGGGCGGATAGAAACCTAATGCTCGAGGCCGAACTCTCGCCGTCTTCTTGACGCCTCCCGCGTTATCCAATTTCGATTTCAGTGCGCATCCTGGAGGACTTGGACCGAAAGCAAGAAGAGCAAGTCAGATTCTGGTTGTTGGGGATGCACTGAACCCCTGCAGCTGAGGGGTAAAGTAGCACTTTGGTACCTGCCCAGGTACCTAGGTACCTGGGTACGAAGTAGTGGTGATGATAGTGGTGGATGAAGGTAGCGAGTACGGAGTGTCCGTAGGTACTATGTGGGTGGTGCCCCGCACCCCTCTTTCCACAGGTTGGATCGTGAGACTCCCTATCAATTACCCCGCGTGTTTTTCATGCTATAATTCCCTTCAGTCTCGTGGATGAGGTACGTCTTAGATCAACCCATAAACTCAAACGCGATGGACTGTCTTGCGAAGCCATTGGTTTATCGGCTTGGCGAGAGAGCGCTCCTGTCCGGGATGGCTCAGCAAACCAAGTATAGCTCATCAACGTTCGGTGGGGAGGGGGAGGTTATTTGCCATATATGACCCCCCACCCTCCTCACACCAATCCGTCTCTCGACTGTGTCTCGTAAATCCCTCCTGCAAATAAACACCCCATACCACGACACGATGGCTTCGCAATTCTTCTCCCTCGAGGGCCAGACCGCTCTCGTCACCGGTGGCACGCGCGGAATCGGCGCCGCCGTGGCAGTGGGCCTCGCTGAGGCCGGCGCCGATATCCTCCTCGTACAGCGCGACGAATCAAGCACCTCGACCAAGGAGGCCGTCGAAAAGCTCGGCCGCAAGGCCCAGATATACACGGCCGACCTTGGCTCTCAGGAGAGCGTGGCAGCTCTTGTTCCCAAGGTCCTCAAGGATGGTCACCAGATCCGCATTCTCGTCAACTGCGCCGGCATCCAGAAGCGTCACCCATGCGAGAAATTCCCCGATGACGACTTTAATGCTGTAAGCCTGCGATAGTACTCTAGGAACCCAGAAACCGAATCATCGATGCTAATACACCAACTTTTCCTCCCCCAAAAAGGTCATCCAGGTTAATCTTAACTCCGTCTTCACCCTCACACGTGATGTTGGCGCGCACATGCTCAATCTTGAGCCGCACCCCGTCACCGGCCGCAAGGGCAGCATCATCAACTACGCCTCGCTGCTGACCTTTCAGGGCGGATTTACGGTCCCGGCCTATGCCGCCTCCAAGGGTGCTGTCGGACAGCTAACCAAGAGCTTCGCCAACGAGTGGACCTCCAAGGGCATCACCGTAAATGCCATCGCGCCTGGTTATATAGAGACCGAAATGAACACGGCGCTGCTCAACGACAAGGAACGTCTCGCGAGCATCAGTGCACGCATCCCCGCCGGCCGTTGGGGCACACCCGAAGATTTCAAGGGTACTTCGGTATACCTGGCCAGCAAGGCCAGCGGCTACGTGAGTGGGCACATCTTGGTTGTCGACGGTGGTTGGATGGGCCGGTAGATAGTACCGCAACACTGCCGTGTAGACAAAAACTCACAACAACAATAAGAACAACAACAACAACAACAACAACAACAACGACCCAAAATGAACGAGTAGAGATGGGAAGTCTAACAGATTCGGTTCATTTCGCGCCCAGCCTTATTATGGCTCTTGGTTGGGGGAGAAGAAAAAAAGAGGACATTGTATTCTATCGCTACTAGTACTACACGTAGAGCAGCCTCAAACGCTGCTTGCCATGACGCTCTCCATCCAAGGGTAGACTGATGCATTTGCCATCGGGTATCCCATATGCAACGCTCCCGAAAAGAACCTCGCCTCCTTGGGCGTGCCGTGCTCGAACAACATCATTGAATCCTCAATGGGCATCAAACCGTCCAAAGTGCCCTAAGATGCCGTCAGTTATTGGCGGCCGTACAAGGTAGATACTCATACTCACGTTGATCAGCAATAGGCGGGTAGAAGGCTTGTCGATGATGCCAGCTTCAAGCAGAGAGAACTTTTTTTGTACCCCAGCCTTGTAGTCATCCACCGACTTGTAACCATGCTTCATGGCCATGGCAGGTGTCAGACTAGCGCTAGTCAGCTCAAGTGCGAGAAACAAAACTGAGCACAACTCACAGGAACGGGTATTCGTGGCCATCGGCCTTCTCTAGCCATTCGGGATCGAAGAAGTAGTGGCACCCGGCTCCCTGCGCAATCGATCCAGCCAAGCGGCCCTTGTGCGTGTGCGCAATGCGGATGGCGTAGTACCCGCCCGAGCTGAGACCCCATACCAGGACTTTGTCCGTATTGAACCGGCCGTCGGCGGCGATCCAATCGAGCACACTGCTCCACAACCTATCCGGGCTTTTCGGGTCGGCCGAGTCCGCAGGGCAGTCCGCGGTCCCGGGGATCTCGACAATTACACTTCCCCATCCACGCGCCAGAAACTCATCGGAGCGGACAGTGTTGTCAGGGCGGTACCCATCGAGGCCCGTCATCAGGATGACGACAGGGCAAGGGTTGCTCCTGGACGCTGCGTGAGGAACTCTCACGTAGGCGGGGATGGACTGTCTATCTCCACCTTTGGCATGGGCGTGCAGAATATCCACGTCATTAATGGGGCAGTCCCAGGAATGAGCTGCCCTCAAGTAGACTTCTTTTTGAGCCTCCCATGCCTTCCACTTGACCGGGCAGTTGACCTCGGGGTAAGCCGTGATATAGGGAAACCGAGCAATGCGGTAAACTGTACACGCTCGTAGGTACAAAGCGCTCGCCTGCTTCTTGTCGCCGGCAGAGGCAGCTTGGTCGCCTTTGGCAGTCAGCGACTCGGCGATGGGGAAAAAGGCCTCGGTATAAGCGGGGGATGTTCCGTCATTGATATTGTTCTGGGCCGATGTTAGGCCCCTTCTTATGATAGCGAACCCAGTTCCGCTTACCTTGATCAGATGCTCGAAAATGGGCTCAAAGTCCTCGTACTGGCCGTCATGAAAAGGGTAGACGCTTTTGGTGCACTTTTCGAGCCAGGTCAGAAAACAGCGTATCAAGCTTCTCATCATCATTAGGATACGCACAGGGAATTTCCACTTCGTCTCCCAGAGAGCCTTGATGCCTTGGTGATGGGGCATAGTCCTCTCGAAGGCTTCGGCGCCCATCACCCACTGCCGCTTGCCATCCTGCTCGGTGTGCTTGTGCGGCGACATCCTGAAAGCGGTTAGGAAATGACGCGGACGGTTTTCTGCTTCGTGAAAATCGGCAATCGGCCCTTGGCGACGTAAATTGGCTTCACCTTGCTGAAGCTGCGACGGCGTACAACCTCTCGGGTAGGGGATCTGCTGAGAACCCTGGGAGAAACTGAGTGAGCACGACTGTGACTAGTAGACTAACGTCACACGAAGAGAATTAAGGCCGATGTAACTGACACGGTTCGTCCAATTACAGTCTACAGTGACGATGACGCCGAGGGGGCTTGGACTTACTCTAACTGAAGTGAAGCAATTCGCACGCGAACGATGGCAGAATGCAGGTCCTCGATCATAATGAAGGTTGAAGACAAACGGCACCAGAACTAGTTTATATATGAAGGGACGCTTGCGATCTGCAGACGCCAATGCTGACACCCAATGATGAGACGCGCTCGGAGTTTTACGGGGTGGACTTGCAGGGCTTGATATAAGTTGGCAGTGGCTTACTCGGACTCTTGTTGTTGGGGATATCCGTTGTCCGATCGTGAGACGCGATGCTACTGTACTACAAAGCAATGAACACTGGAGGGGTGGATGTGGAGGCCGGTCGCCTTATAAATCACGACGGCGCCATGATCAAGTCTCGTGGGCCATTTGCAACGAGCTGCGCTATGGCCAAGCATGTGAACATCCGTGTGAGGTGCCCAAGTCCCGACTCTGGGCCTCTACCCAAGCTGCTCGCCCTACTTGCGACATGTCAGGTTGGTCATGGATGGGGGGCCTCCGAGAAAGAGCGAGGCTGGCATCCGGCGGCGTAGCTTTGCGATGATGACGGAGGGCGGCCGGACCCGTCAGCTCTATCAATTATCCGGATCCGGTTCTGCGACCTTTCCTCTTTTGCTTCCCACTGTATGGTGATGCCAGAGAGCATTGTAATAGCAGCAGAGGCAGCCAAAACAAGGAGTCCGCTGCTTTAGCAAACACCGTAGCGGCGGTCAAATGGAAAAATAGGTTCTTTGGGGAAAGTGATCCGATTCATGGCATGTGAAACGGACAGTACGCGATTCAATCTTGGATGGTCCGCCGGGGTGAGACGGCAAGAATAAGAAAAACCCCTTTCCATGTCATAACTCATAAGGTCATTCGGGAGGGGAGCAAGCCCTCCCCTCGGTGGCGCACCGGGAAGGGTATAGTATGCATGTCACGGGTGCCAGCCACTCGGATACAGACGAGAGTCAGCAGCGATCTGACCGTGGCCAAAGATGATGGAGCCGCGCAGTGTGGCCATCTGTCGTAGGCCGTTGAGTGCTGGTCAGATAATGTAACATTGAATTAGTGATTCAAATCATAGAAGCGACCAAGTTGCATGGTGAGATGTTTGAACGGACATGCGAAAAACGGGATCGAGGTCGGGACAGGCTGGCGCGGACCAGAGTGCCACATATCGAAGTCAACCAAACAAGACATTTGAAGAGGGGCTTGATGTCTTTCTATTCTTTGATTTATCCGGTCTTGTTTATCCATAATTTGTGAGCTCGGAGCTCGTCTGATCTAGGATGTTGGTCTTGAGCTTCCGGTCTGTGGCATCGCCAGCTAGCAGCCCACCATTGTAACCCGGATCTGTCTCGTACAAAACCGAGTCAAGTCGAGCCCGAAGCTAACGCAGTGACGCGGCACGGAACCAGATGACAAGCGTGCTGGGAGTAAGAGAGGGGACTGGTGAATTGGCTACTGGGCCTTAGTCTTGTCTCCCTCGTAATAATGGGCCATCTCCAGACCGGCTCGCCTGAAGCCGCACTTGACGTAAAAGCCCTCGTTGGCTTCGCTGCAGTCCAGGATGCTCTTGTAGCAGCCGACCTTCTCGGCGATGAAATCGAGGGCCTGGATAATGCGCAGACCGAGTTTCTTGCCCTGCTGATCCTTTGCTACGGCGATATCCTCGATGTGCCCGACGAGACCAAGGCTATGAATGCTGCACGGAAGACGGGCGGTCAGCATGCCTTCCAAGCATAGAATGTGGCGGTTATGCGACGGTAGACAGCACCGCTATCGCCCTCCTCAATTGCGACTTACAACTTGCGCTCGACTATTAAAGCACCAGTTCCGACAACGGCTTTCCTACTCGTGTCCTCAACGACGAGAATGTAGTACCCGTCGCTCTTGGACAGCCAGTTGTAGCGCTCTGCGAATTGGGACTCGCTGATCTCACCAACGGTGGTCAGGACACGAAGGCAGTCTAGAAAACCAGTGTTGTAGTCGGACTGGCGAAGGGCGCGGACGATGTAACCCTCGGGGAGAGCAGAGGCGACCGTTGGAGACACGAGGTCGTCAGAGAAGAGACCACTTTCGGCCATTGCTGTCGGTTGTGACTGCGATGAGTTGTTGAGGGGCCTCCGACAGAAATTCTACCAGCGCCGAGGGAGGGACTGAGACGGCTTCAACGGCGGGAGAGGGGACAGGTCGACTTCGCGCTACACAATATTATGTGCAACTGGGAGTTGCGGCACTGCGCTGAATTGGTCAGTGATGCTTTCGTTGGGGGTGAATCCGGAAGCTCGAGTTGAAGGCGTTGAGTCCAAAAGCAAGACAGTGGAGCGGTGAAGAAGAAAGCGGGGATGGGAGAGGAGAGAAGAGAGGCAGCGAGGGCGAGCCGACGAGAATGTGGTTGTCGACGCGCGATGTTTGCTAAAGAAGAAAGTTGCACCTGTTCTCTCTCCGTCGTGCCGGACTGGACTACGGCTCACCAGGGCGCGAATAGGTAACAATACCATCCATCAAGCAGGTCTGGTCCATCGCAATCGCAAGGTAGCCTCAAGGGGGGGAGGGGCCTGTGTGGGGTTTTGTCGTAGGGGGAACACAACCCTTGTAAAGATACGAAGTGTACCTATTTAAAGCCCAGTGACAGCCCCTCGCCGTCGCCAAGGACATGCAAATGGCTGCCATCACCCGTTGAAATCTGTATGACTGCCCGTAAACTCCAGCGAAACTTCAGCGTGGAGGCTCTGAATGCGGCCAGCATAACAGTGCGTGCGACCTGAAGAGAGCTGTGGTCAGCCTCACCTTCACTAGGTACCTACCTATATAGTAGTGCCTACCTACAACAGGGCACAGTTGTCCTCTTCAGGAACAAGACAGAGACTGCTGGGGAAAGGGGGGGAGGGGATATACTGTTTAGCCCTGGCATGTCGTGCAAACATGACGTCTCATTGGTAGGTACTTGGGGCAGAGCTGGCGGGGTTTCCAAGGCCCCTTCCCATCCATACGGGAAGATCTGCCGGTTTATTGATTGCTTATAGCTATTCATAGTAGGGCAGACTTGGGCTTACGACCGAAGAAACGCAGTATGCGGAATGGAGCTTGGTAGCTAATACGAGGAAATGCGGAACATCAAATACTCTCTTTGGCAAAATTCCGTCAACCCTGATATCCAGCCCCGCCCATTGGCAGGTCTCTTTGAAAAAGATAGAGCAAGGAAGAAGCGTAAAAGAGAGAAAAAGAAAGGAAAGAAAGAAAGAACGAATGAAAGAAAGAAAGAGAGGAAACCCTCGGTCGCTCGAATGTGATATCAAGGTGGCGGTCCGAGTCTCGATGATCGATTCCTTGCCCTGCTTGCTACGATGTGGAATTTGCAAGTGTGTGATGAAGAGTGTGAGTGGATGCGGTCATGGGGCCACGTTCTGACGCAGTAGACCTGGGGAGAATATGGTACTGTGAGAAGCACATGAAGATTGGAACAGATGGAGGAATGTTAGGCTGTTTAATGTCACGGGTCTGTGGCATCGTTAGACCTGATCCTGTAATTACCCTCCTGCCTGGGTTTGGTGAGAGGTCACCTGGACATGGAGCAGGACTAAGGTTTGATAATCGGGCTCTTGCGAAGAAACAAAACAGATATGGAGATCAACACAACACGTCGGCATATCTGAGAAGGCAGGAACGGCAGGCAGGCAAGCAAGAAAGCGCGATGATGCATGAAGGCGAACGCCAATCGCGATCGAGCTTCTCTCTTTTTCGTCTGGCGCATGTGCCCATATGTAGCTAAGTACCCAGGTAGGTAGTTAGGTACCTAATTAATCATGGTACCTAGCAACTCTCCTTCGATCTTTGCTGGGAATGCCGCAGTTTCAGCTTGTGTTCTAGTGCGCAGTGTCCCTCCTAAAAACAGACTAAATAGCCAGATCCTTCCCCAAGCCACAATGACTATGGCGATGAGGAACGGACCAACTCGGCACACCCTCCTCCGCTAGTCGTCTTCGGCTGGCTGTCAATTGCCGACCTGGTCTCGCTAAGGATGCGTGTGCACCTGTACCTGCTGATAGTAAATCTCAGCTCGTGGTTGCAGCCTTCGTGATTGTCATTCCTGTGCCCCCCTCTCTCTCTTTCCATCTCTGGTTGGTTGACTGACTGACTGACTAGAGACGACCTGGAGATGTACCAAGGTACACTTTCCTTTATTCCAATAGCGCTAGTATCAGTAGTCGAGCAAGAGGAAGAAGAAGAAGAAGAAGAAGTAAAATAAAATAAGATAAACGAAGCCTTCAACGGTTGTCACCAACCAAGTCCCCCCTTTGCGCCATAGCATATTGCGGTATATTTAGCCTGGGAACTAGAGAAGGGGGGATGAGAGGCAGATAGACGCTCATGCACAGGTCGAAGCGCAACCAAACTTGCTTGGTTCTACCGACAATCAGACACGACCAGCGCTACCGTCGCCGTAGCTGCTTAGCACCGGCTGCTAGTCCAGTCCAGTGTCTTGACTCTTCTCAGGTCGGCCAAATCCATCTCCATCATCCCATCCCGCCCCATCCTCCCTCCCACAACTACCACGTAGCGTCATACCCGAGCCTTACCACACAGGGGAACCCGACTTTCGCTACTGCCTACGTGTCTTTGCCCCCCCTCCCAGAGCTGCGGAGAGTGACCCAGCATGTTACCCCAAAGTATCCCCTCTGTGCCTCCAAGACACCATCACCGACAACGACACCAGTGCCTATGAGAGACGGGATGGCATGGCATGGCATGGGGTCTCCGCGCCGTCGCTCGTGTCGCGCATGAACATCCCCCACATAATGCAATCACATGCTGCCATACCCAACGTCTCACCCCACTTACTCCTATTAGGACCCTGGCACCGCGGCGGCTCAACACGTCAACCCAGCTACCGCAACTCTAAGCCTAGAATACCCCAACTGATTTCCTCTTCGACGCGCTGCAGTACGAATACGCCGCGCTCTTTTTTTTTCACATCTCCTCCGTCCTCCCACTCTGTCCCCGTCACCTTCCACGCACTTCAATACAGCATAACACGCACTCTTACAAGCCAGGTAGGCAAACAAACATTATACGCCCTAGGATTGGCTTGACAGACAGTTCTTCGGCTACGTCGAGTCGAGAGCACACGGCGGACCAATCGATCGCTATAGAACTGCAACTACTCTCCACTGCCTATTCCGGCCAAACAACAGGTACACCCACCCCTCTGCGCTGCTCCTCCAGCCGCCGAACGTGCCTGAATGTTGCCACCACTATCGGCCGGCCCCCCCTTTCTTCGTCACTTCACCTAATCTCGACCTCCGCTACTACTTCTTCTCGCCCTTTCCTGCCATCCGTCGTCTTATATCCGACCTGGCGCCTACCTTGGCCACTTGAAGGCGTCGCTGGTTGTTTCGTCTTCTTGTCATCCTCACTTTTTTACTCGTTACCTGCCGCCTGCCCAAGCCTTGATAAGATCTCCGATATAACATGGCATTTGTACCTCTCGTACAACGAATTTACCATCCGTAATTCTATTCTCGATGCCCCCTGCCTCCTCTTCGTATGCGACCACCTACGTCCATACCTGCGCTGGCACTGGCATCCGTACCAGGACACCATGGAAACCATGGACTCAGATGATGATTGGGACGCCGACGGGCCACACGACTTGATCCACATCCCTCTTGAACCTCATCAGGGGCGGACAGTACTTCCAACTCCCATTGCAAAGGCCATCAGTCTCGCCACTCGCTCAACCTGCTTGGCTATCCGCGTCGGCACTCTCATCAGCTCCTATGGCTTCGATGCTGCCAAGTTCACCACCCTCTCCAGTCTGGAGCTGGGCAGGGGCATTCTTGAGGGAATACTCAGCAGGTCTGGCAGAGACATGCTCATCCGCTCTAACAGTGACTTGGGTAGGGAGGATGCCGAAACCGTCCTGGAGAGAAGCTTGGAGCATTTACACCATGCCATGTCACAGATCGTATTTTGGACTACCACAGGCTTCCAGATGACAAGCACCACCTTTTCCGTCGTGTCGGAAGTATCACAACTACTTCTTTCGTCTCTCGACCAGTTCTTCGGCTCTACCGACTCATCACGTGCTATCGCTAGTATCATTACTCTTATCCGTCGCGAATTTCAGAACCCGGCAACCGGGGTAGAGGGCGAGCGCGTGGGTGTTGTTGACCTTGTAATGGGCTTGTGCGCTTTGGCGTACCTGCAACGCAAATGTCGGCGCTTCCTTGACGAAGAAAGTCGGCGGCTGGGTCATGATGAAATCGTTTGGGACGTTGTTGTTCTCAACGACGGAGAACGAGTCGATGTCCATGAGAACAGTCTTTACGGAGTGCACAAGGGCCGCTACAAAAGCAAGGGCCCCGATATCTTGGTTTCCATATCGGGTGATCAACCAAGCCCTAGTATCTTAGCTACCATCGAACGCCATGGAGAGCGAGAGACAAGCGAAGATGACGACGACGACGACCTGCCCGAGATCCGTCTGAAAAACCAGATTATGCGATCTATGCCCTCGGACACAAGCGTTTCTATATCAACAACTACCTTGACAAGAAAGATGATCACTGTGGATTTCACTGGTCCCGAGCCACCAACCTTAACACCGCCTCCTGGTGTAGAGGTCGTCGAACGAGAAGTCCTGCCATCGGCAGAGTACCCAAAAGAGCAGCTGACACGGCAACTACCAGTTGCCGATGTTCCGACATATCGGGTTGTGTACAGGGTGGACAAGAGCAAACAGCGGACAGCAACATTCCGAGGTTATGAAGAGCCAGAAGAGACATCTGGAAAGGTTGAATCCATGGACGACACTGAAGACTCCGATGGCCATGGCCGAGACAGCGACAATGATGACCCACCCCCTGTTCCTCCTAAAGCCTCGCTACCGGCTGCCTCGACAAATTCTTCGCGGGCAGGGACAGAATCCATTTCGACCCCTCGGGCAAAACTTGGCCCCAGGCTTCCGTCAATCTCTCCCAACAGCAGGGCTTCTCAAATCCCAACGCCGAAACAGAATCCGGAAAACGCGCCTAATCAAAAGCGGCAGCGAGCGCCACTTGCCCCGTTGCCAGCGAGAGCACGCCATGAAAACGCTGTACCATCGCATTCCGATACCGCCAAAGCGAAGAGGACCATAGGCGAACCGTTGTCAACAGGAAAGTCGTCAGAGAAGCCTACCGAGAAGAAAGGTGGTATCCGACAAGCTTTGAAAAGAGGTACCAGTTCGAATATCTCCAACCTATTCCACCGAGATGGAGCACGCACTCCGAGTTCGCAACCCATTGGGAAAGCCAAGCAGACACCTCGAGCTGGACCCGTGGACAGGACTACGCGCACTGCCGCTCAAACTAACCGACCTTCCCAAACTCGGGCCATGGGACCGACTGCTGCTTCCAGCTCCCGAGGCCGTAATTACGAGAACCCTTCGCCAGTGCCTCGCAGCTCCTCTCGAGCTAGTTACATTTCGGTCCATGAGCGCCGGCGAGATTCGATTGTTTCACAGACCGATACTTACTCTTTCCATACTTTTGAAGGGCTCCGGCCACAGTCGCCAGGATTTGGTCGTCGAGACGGTATAGGTCAGTCTAGTATCCCCAAGTCGCGGTCGGAGAAAGACATCAGCGACCAGAAACCATCGTCGCCCATGAAATCTCGCAGGGCACGGTCACACGCCAACACGCCAAGTCTCTATAGCATTGCGAATACAGGCTCTCAAACGTCGCTGGTTTTGTCATCATATTTCCAGAAGAGTGCATACACAGACTCCGAAGCCATTGATACCCTGAGGCGCGCGGGGACAGTAGATGGCGTCTTCCCGGCCTTCCACCTGCTTCGTAACATCACCCGATATATGAGGTTTTCTTCGGCTTCCTACGGTTCCAACTTTCTCAAGTTCATGGGTATTTCGAAGGAGATGCCCCTGCTCAGAGCTCTAGACGACACGCATCATGAGATCCGATCATTTGCCCACCACACGGAATCCGAGGCCGAGAGTATTCTTCTTGCTTCATTCGTTGACGCCCAAGGAGGATCCGACACGACTGGTTCTACAGGAACCGGCGTTCCCCTGGTCCATTACATCTCTCTAGATCATGAATCGAAAGCCGTTGTACTCGCATGCCGCGGCACGCTGGGCTTCGAGGATGTTTTGGCTGATATGGCCTGCGACTATGACAACCTGTACTGGAGAGGCAAGTCATACAAGGTCCACAAGGGTATTCACGCGTCTGCCCGGCGTTTACTCTACGGCGGCGACGGCCGTGTTTTGTACACACTCAAAGAAGCTCTGGATGAATTTAGTGATTATGGACTGGTCCTCTGCGGACACTCCCTAGGGGGCGGCGTAACAGCCCTACTGGGTACGATGCTCGCGGAACCATCGTCTACGGGCACAGGGTTTGTCACCACGTCTGAGCCGCATCGTCGCCTTCTAGGAGACGGACGCTTTCTGGAGACGGCCACGACGCATGTGTGCCTCCCGTCGGGCCGTCCCATTCATGTCTACGCCTACGGACCCCCCGGTACCATGTCGCCTGCACTCCGCAAAGCTACCCGTGGCCTCGTCACAACCGTCGTCCACGGTTGCGACCTGGTCCCGTTCTTGTCCTTGGGCGTCCTGCATGACTTTCAAGCTGTGGCGCTCGCGTTCAAGAGCGACAATCACGAGGCCAAGGTTGAGGTGAGGCAGCGCATATGGCAGGCCTTTCAGTCAGGCCTCGCGGAGAAGTGGTATACGAGTAGCAGTCGCTCGATGGTTGCCGACGAGGACAAGTGGAGCATCTCGGCGTTGACAATGTTGCGGTCGAGCATGATGAGTCTCAAGCTTTTACCCCCGGGGGAGGTTTTTATCATCGAGAGCCAGCGTGTCTTGAGACGCGACGCATTCCTCTTGTCTGATGAAGAGTCTATTGGACGACCTGCACAGCGAATCGTGCTGAAATACGTGAGGGACGTTGAGTCCAGGTTTAGGGAGGTCCGCTTCGGCACGAGTATGCTCATCGACCATAGCCCGGCGAAGTACGAGGATGCGCTGAAGAAGCTACGCTTTGGAGTTGTTGAGACGGGTTGAAAATGCGGCTTGCAAACACTACCACTTATACACTTTTCCTTTGTTACTGGGCGCAAGATCCCCATGCAACACTATACCCCCCTTACCCCCCTTCCCCCCCACCCCCAAAATATGATGAGCAAATACGCGTTGGTTTAACACATCTTGACATAGTAAGCAAAACATGTTAGCACCAGAAGAGAAGGGAAGAAAACACAAAGAGGCGTGGTGGGTTGGTTCAATTAAAACCATGCCATTAACTGGAATTTATGTAAACGCACAGAGAGATGACATAGCAGAGCTTTCTCTTCCTGATACAAGACAATAATAGGCAATCTAGATAATTCAACGTGTCTCACTACAGTTCGTTCTACAGTTTATCGTTCACTGTAACTTCTCCGTTGTGATCTTGCCGTCTGAGTCGTAGAATATCTCTTTGACCTTGACGGACCTCAGGTGGTCCACGCCATTGCTCAGCTCACAGTCGTGGTGGAACAGCCACCACCGACCCTTGAACTCAACGATGGAGTGATGCGTCGTCCAGCCCAGCACAGGCTCAAGAATGCGTCCGCTGTAGGTAAATGGACCCAGTGGGCTATCGCTGGTTGCGTAGCAAATATAGTGGGTGTCACCAGTCGAGTAGGAGAAGTAGTAGAGGCCGTCCTTCTTATGTAGCCAGGCGGCCTCAAAGAAGCGACGGTCGTGGTCATCAGCTGCGATGGGCCTCTTTGTCTCTGGATCGAGGATTTGAATCTCCTGAACCTCGCCGTCAAATTGGTGCATGTCGTTTGTCAGTCTAGCGACGCGCGGGCCTAAGGCGTAGGCGCCCTCACCAGTGGGCTCCTTGGGGCCGAGCCACTCAGTATCGAAAGCGTCGTTGCCCTTTTGGTAACACTGGAGCTGGCCACCCCACAGACCGCCAAAGTAGAGGTAAGCCTGTCCGTCGTCGTCGACGAAGCTAGCGGGGTCGATGCTGTAGCTGCCCTTGATAGGCTCGGGATCTGGGGTAAAGGGACCCTCGGGCTTGTCCGAGACGGCAACACCGATGCGGAAGACGTCCTGCTTATCGCGGGCGGGGAAGTACATATAGTATTTGCCGTCCTTAAAGGCAGCGTCGGGAGCCCAGAGCTGCTTCGAGACCCAAGGGACATCCTCAGTCTTCAGGACGACGCCGTGATCGACGACAGGCTCGAGAGGGTCCAGTGATGAGGTGCTGAAGACGTGATAGTCAGCCATGTCATACTGGTCGCCATTATCGTTGAACTTTATGTCGGTTTCTCGATCATGGGATGGGTAAATGTAGATCTTGCCGTTAAAGACGTGGGCCGAAGGGTCAGCCGTATAAAGGTGGTTGATGAGGGGCGCCATCGTGGAGGGGCCTGAGAGGTGAAAGCGGGAGTGGGGCAATGAGTGCCGCGTGGGTTTGGTTGTAGAATTGGGCTTGAGCGATATGTCTTTGGGATTGTTGGGTTGTGTGAAATCAAAGACGTAGGAAGTCCCAAAGTGTCTGTAAAAATTTAGCATAACCTAGAGAATGCCCGGGAGGAATGGCTTTTATGACGAAAACCACTTCTCCACCATCGCAATGGACCAGCGCGTGGATGAATTTGATGATGTTGGCCCGGTAGGGTGGAACGCGGGACGACTAGCCAGCGGCTTTTGTATTTATCCAGCGCATTTTCCCGGTTTACCCCATCCTGGCGGATGCGCTTCCCAATCGTTAATTCGTACCGGGCCACCTGAGCCCGCCATACACAACGCGTCAATGGTAAGAACCTTGACGCCGCATTGGTGAGGAGTTGCCGAACGATGGCTAGTAGGCCGGTTCGAATGGCATTGAGGGGGAACCATCATTCATTGGGGAACGCAGAAGCCCTCGTATCAACCTCGCTCCCGCACGGGATAGAGGCTGGCGGAGTCGTCTCCCCTCCCAAGGCTTTACTACAGCCATTCTCCGTTACCCCCTTCCCCCTCAAACAGGAACATCTCTCGGCGGCAAGCGGAAAGTGGCGGCTTCAAGGCAGGTCGAGATTAGCCGAAACGCCAGAGGCGCGGTCCAGGTGCATGCTAGGGTCGATGGCAATGTTGAGCTGCATCTGGTCATGAAGAGAGTACTCTTATCGCGAGGCCAGCAGTAAAACATGGAAATGGTGTTGGCAGTGTTACAATGGTCGATCAGAAATCCTGGACACCGGTCTCGCCCTGCTTGACGCTGGCTTGTTCGTCGACATCGCTAGCCCAATTGGGATCTTCGTCGTCAAACCATGCCTCTTCAGCGTCGCGTCTCCACATGGTGTCGTATTCGTCGTTATGATCTACCAGACTGTAGTCGAAATCTTCGTCATGGCCACGAACGAAACGTTCTGTCAGAAATTCTTGCCATCTCTTAAGTCCTTCTTCCTTGTTCTGTGGTTTGGATAGATCAGCCATAGTAGTGAACTCTCTGACGTATTCAGGCGCCGATTCTGCCTCGGTTGATGCCTTGAGATCGGCAAGACGAGCTTCACCCCTGAGCAGAGAGCTTTCCAGGACGCCCGAGTAGCCTTTGGTCTTGCCCTCAGCCTCTCTCTCAGGAGGTGTCTGAAACCTTCGAATCAGGGAATCGTAGAGGAGAGTGTCTGGGAAAAGCTGTCAACGTTATTCTGGAATATCACGGAGGTCGGTGCCGTGACTGATCCGTACGTTGGTTTCCTAAGCAACGCACTCCAGGAACACATGTCAAGACGAACCTGCAAGTTCATGTTCAGCATTGTTAAAATACTCGGGGTTTCTCCCGAGGTATTCTTGGCGACGGTTGCGAGACCGTATATCGTTGGTCTTGGCAGATGACTTTGGCGGGCGGGGAACCGGCTTGTCGAAATGCAGACTTTGCGCTTTCCGTTCTGCTTCAGTGAATGAAGGCATTGCAAACATCGTCGGAGGGGTCTTCTATAGGTAGGAAGGCATGCACAACCAAGCAATAGTAAGACCCACTGGTGCATGAGTGAAAGATGCGGTGACGGGTATTCGGGATGCTCTTAGACTAAAATGAAGGAGTGAGGTCAAAAGTGAGTGAGTCTCAAGACATTCGGACGCGAATTAATTGGCCTCTGAGGCAGGAAACCACCAAGTTTGGGAGCTACTAGGTAATTACCTCAGTAGATGTCTGTTTGCAGTGTGGGGCGCGACCTGTCCGAGGCACGTACTCTAAACCGCGTTCCGTACCATCAACTTGGATGTGCTCTAGTAAGAAAACCTCACAAGCCACACGAGAGAAGAACACTTGACTCCATGCACAATCCGATTTCCTCTTGGAAACAATCTTGAAATTCACACCAAAGGCATCCTTATCTTTCTTGAACGGGTTCGACAGGGTTTGTTGCCAAAGCGCGTTTGTGGCCTCCCTGATATTCCATCCGTGCCTAGCTACCTACCAACTATGTGCATACCTAGGTACGCATTATGTCCTAGCCTCCCTGAAATCTGCCACAACTCTGGCAATGTCCCCTAGGGCGTTTCCTTGATCGAGTTCGGATTGGCTCCTCACAAGGGCGCTGTGCTGTCAGTGTGGCCTGGCAGAGACTGGTGAGGGGGACTCGTTAGGTAAGAACGGTTCCGTCCATGGTTCAGGGATTTATTTGCATGAGCTGCATGGGCTATCCCACCCAACCGACGGTTGACTCCACCATGGGTGCCATGCTCTGCGTTGCCAGGCTGTCTGTGAATGCATGTGTGTGAATGTGTGAGGTGCCGAGCCAATGTGCCAGGGTTTAATGAATTAATTGAGGCATCCTGCCCGCCTCCAATTACATCGTCCAAGTTTTTGTCTTGATTTGTGTGGCTAACCTTTTGGTGGCTGTTTCTCTCCGTCCATGATCCAAAATAATCAGCCTGATGGTACAGCGATTTATCGGCGCTTGCCCTGGGGTTCATCTTCCCCCTGACTCTGGCCTGAATTTGCTTGACGCATAGCGTCTTTTCGAGTACGAACCTGGACCGCTCACTCTTGTTCGCTGTCTTCCTCTGTCTTCCGCTGTATGTCCGGGTCTGTATCCCATCCCTTTCATTGTGATTGTACACAGGTCTCCCCCTCGAGAACTCCAACTCGCTCGCTTATCATCTGCCCATTTGTCGTTCTGGACATACTGGTCATTTCCGTATTGTATCCATTCCACTTTTGTCCCGGTTTACTGACCGTATTCTACCGTATTCACTGTATCACTTCTACAACTCTACAGAGCCCAACGGCATCCATCTTCCTCCATCCCTCCCTTCCTCTCTCCTCACCTTGGGTGACCAAGGCCACCTGATATCAAATCCACCTCTCATGCCACCCACGCTGGCCATCCCATCGCGCGTCACCCTTCGCCCGCTCGGCGTGTCTCAATCTCCGCCCACTTGACCCAAAAAGACCCGCCAACACCACCATCACTACAAGGGCACGGCGATACCCAAGACAACGAGCACGTCGCAACAAGACACAATACCAATCCGAATCGTGGCAGCCCGCCTCACCTTAACGTCTCGCCCGAGAGTAGCCCTCTCCCTCTAGCTGCATGTCATCTCCATGGGTACTGCTGGGGATATTCGAGCTCGTCTCCGAGCAAAATTCTCTAGAAGAAACTCGGCTGCACCGTCCTTGACGTCCAACGGCACCGGCACGAGCACCAACGGTGATGCTCATGGCTCGCAGCAAGCGGATGGAACGAGTCTTACGCGGCAATCCTCGGCCGCTGCATCCATTCCCAGGTCGCGGGCGAGCTCCCAGCATCCGCACCCACATGCGCACCTACCACATTCCACACCTCCCTCGCGCTCGCCAACTCCGCACCAGCCAGATCACGACCTGCAGCATCTGCAGACTCCGCCACAGTCCGCCACACCCTTAGTGACAGGCAGCCCTGGCGACCACCCGCTGCAGCAGAGATTGAATGCAATTACGGCAACGGACACAGTAGCGCGAGGCGCGCATGCTGAAGAGGATCAACTGGAAGAGCGCTTGTTGCCACAGTCGTCGTCGCCTTCATCAGAACATCAACAGGTCCAACAACATGATGACCCGATCAATCATGGAACTCAAGATGGCGGTGCGTCTCTCAACAGCGACAACCCGTTGGTGACAGAGGACACCCCAACTACTGCTGCAACTGAACCAGCGGACAACCACAGGTCCGCAAGTAGCGCCAGCAACAGGACCAACACAGACACTGTGCACGAAGCCCACAAGCCACACCCCAACCTTGACTCGCTGGCTCCCATGCAGCCCGCGGCGCCTGACCGACGCTTGGTTAGTGAACCGATGGACAACAGTCTGCGCTCATCCTCAACCACTCCTGCTGTTGCAACTGCACTTAGTAACAGCCTCCCCATCATCAACGAGGACCAGACTCCCGAAGCCGACGACAAAGAGAAAACCCTACATCTTTCACAGCCGCTTCCGCTGCCGCAGGTTCACCAGCCACTGCCGCCCAAGATCGACGCGGCACCCACCGTTACTCTTGAGGCTGTTTCTGCTGAGGACCTGAGCGACGACCAACTTGATCCCCTTAGCCATGCCCTCGGCACCCCGACACCCCTCGCAGCCAGCATCCTCACAACCTTGCCGCGGCCATACGGCACCCCCCGTCGACAGAGCCTCCTACCGAATCGCCAAACGACGCTAATCCGCAATTTGCTCGAAGCACGGGCAGACCACGAAGTCGACCCAGCCGCCACCGATTCGCTGCTTCCAAACATCGCGAACATGGTCACCCGCAAGGTCTGGGTCAGACGCCCTGGTGCCTCTCCCACCCTCATCACCATTAATGGAGATGACCTAGTTGATGATGTGCGCGATATGATTTTGAGAAAATATGCCAACTCCCTGGGCCGACACTTCGATTCTCCCGACCTTACTCTACGCATATGCCCGCGCGAACAAAGTCACGATCGTCTCCTGGGCCCGGAAGAGCCCATGGGTCGCACTCTCGATGCGTACTTTCCTGGCGGACAGAACGTTGAAGAGGCCTTGCTCATCGATCTACCCAGCCGCCGCACGCCAAGGCCATCACCTCGCGTTCCTACACATACTACAACCATATGCTACAACGATGATGCCAGACCTTCTGAGGCCGGCGAAGGGTATTTCCCTCCCGTAACGGGAACGGCATCTCTTCCGTCGCCGAATCTGCCGGTTCCTCTTGTCGCCCCAGTCACTGTTCCTGCGACGCATCCCGTTCATCCCGTGCACGCCCATACCACGCAGCATTCTATTGCAATTCTTGGGACTGGCCAAGTACCGCCGATACCCTCACCGAGACCCCGCCCATACCGAGATCACCCCGATCGTCCTCGCCTGGGAAGGACACATACCTCATCGCCTACCATCCTGAACCAGACCAATGTCCAGTCCATGACGCCGGCCGCAGCCGCCGCTACGGCCGCTCACCCTGCCCATTCGTTTAACCCACGGCTACCACCTTCAAGAACACACTCGAATACCTCGGAACAGTCCAATGTTCCACCGGCTGCCCCTCCACTTCCAACCCCTCCTGCCCCTGAGATCCAATCGGTTAGAGTCGCAACCCCTCCACCAAAGATTGCCTCTCCTCGACCAACAATTCCTCGACCCAATAAGCCTAATACTACTAAGAAGGCTGACCATCCGACTCTGCCGGCCGGCATACTGAACGGCGGAGTACCGCCCATCAACGTACTAATTGTAGAGGATAACCCAATCAATCTCAAGCTACTTGAGGCCTTCGTTAAGCGCTTAAAGGTGAGGTGGAAAACGGCCGTCAACGGCCGCGATGCTGTTACCATGTGGAGGACCGGCGGGTTCCATCTAGTATTGATGGATATTCAACTTCCCATCATGAGTGGATTGGAGGCCACTAGGGAAATTCGAAGGCTAGAGAGAGTCAATTCGATTGGCGTCTTCTCTTCGTCTGCGTCAAGCGTGCCGGAGGCCCCTAACGGCGAGCCCGAGGAGAAAGATAAATTGACGAACATGGAGCTTTTCAAGAGTCCCGTCATCATAGTGGCCCTGACTGCCAGCTCTCTGCAAAGCGACAGACATGAGGCACTGGCCGCCGGTTGCAATGACTTTCTTACGAAGGTACGTAAACAGTCTTGGTAGTTTTGTTCCTCTACAACCCGAAACACTCCGAACTGACATGATAACAATAGCCTGTCAATTTCGTTTGGCTGGAGAGGAAAGTTATGGAATGGGGTTGCATGCAGGCCCTCATCGACTTTGACGGATGGAGGAGGTGGAAAGATTTCTCTCAGCAAAACGACGAAGCTGAGGCGAAGAAGTCCGCCGCTCTGAAGACGAAGGCAAAGAAAAATCGTTTATCGATGACGTCTGTTCCGGCATAATGGATGATTTGAAGCTTGTTGACATTGGGCGACTGGTGTTTCCGAATACCAACCTCTATCTTCCTCTGACCAGCAGAAGTTTGCAGTCAAGACGAGGTGGATGGGCCGATCGTGCAAGGCCCATTCCTTACCACAGCTCCTTCATCCATCGCCACAGTACGAATTCTAACGTGGGACATCTGCATCATGCGCAAGAATTGGCGGCAGTGCTGCTATTGCAAAATCGTGGACGTGTCCATTGTTGCTGACACACGACCGTCTAAACAAAGAAACATAATGTCTCGAATGGAATATATGGAATATACGAAGAGGGATGCGCAGAATGATACCAGGTAGCGCATATACATGGAGTGTGTAGTAATTATAATTGGCACAAACGAAGCAACAATCTCACCTGATACCAGATTTTCTGCTAGGAATAACATGCGAGATGGAAGTCTCTATTCATAAGGATGCCTTCATATCGACTTTCAGGCAGCATTCCCTCGCAACGTTCCCTGGTGCGGTTGCTACCAACCAAACCCGTATTCCGAAGTTTAGCATCGGCACCCTTTAGCCTGACGAACAAGGCAGCATTGGATGCCGTCGCCTGCCGTGAAAGCTGAAGACAAGAAAAAGTACACCTGAGGCCCGTGAGGGTATGACTAAGGCATGATGGTATGGTCCGTGCGCCAGCCAGTACGAAAACAAGGGAAAATTTTGGACACGACATGAGTTTTTCCCTTCCCAAACCAACTCCGATAATCCTTCACCACGGTTTCCAATGGTCGCTTCGCTATAACTCGGTGAATTCAGGCGCGCTTTCCGCGGCCAGTGCATTTTCATCACAATGGCGCCACGAGCCGGCTCATCATTATCGCCAATGGCCCTTGCGGCCAAGTGGTGTGATTCTCACGCGAGCACAGCATCACGGTCTCGGCCAGCTGCGCAACTTACTTGTGCATTTTCAACAACGTCACAACAATTCAGAAGGTCAAAACCACAGCATGACCTTCAAACTTGGCTCAAGACTCGGGGCTCCATCTTCCGTGATGTCCCCAATGACGGTCCCAAGTACCTGTCCATGAACGAGGACCAGCCCTTCCCGATGAATCCATTCTTCAAGAGTCAACCCGTGCTGAGTGAGGATATGAGGGAAGAGATCTTCACAAGGGTTAAGAAGAAAAAGGAATCCTTGAAGCTAGTCTCGGCTGAGCTTGGCGTCGATGTTCGCCGCGTCGCTGCTGTTGTGCGCATGAAGGAGATTGAAAAGCAGTGGGTTGCGGAGGTAAGCTATTAACATTCACTTCTTATACCCAAGTATGGATCTCCCTCAGCACTATGATGATCAACTTTCCAAAATTCGATTAGTCTTGAAGACGCAACATATGGTTACACACTGGCACTGCGAGCCTCTCTGATTTGCTGACTTACGAACAACAAAATTTTTGCACATTCTTGTCCGACTTCAGTCAGCTAACTCACCGACTTGACAGCGTAAACCATTGGCCAGACCATACGCCAGGGCGGTCCTGCGGATGCTGCCTCAGACTCACCTGAATAAGGACAGGCCGGACCTGCAGACTCCTCACGAGCCTATCAACGAGATACATGTTCATAAGCTTACGACGCAACAACTGTTTGTGCCTGTCTCAGAGTCCCGCCAGTTCAACAGAGAAGATGCTGCCAAGGCTTTTCACAGAAAGATGCTTTCCGTTGACGACCGTTCGCCACACAAGGAGCTCATCTCCATGAAGAAAGCTGACGCTGCTGGGGGTTCGAAAGCAGACTTGATCAAGAAGTTCAGAGAGGCCACAAGAGCTGAAGAGGACAGGTTGGTGGAGAGAGAGCGCCGCCGTTTAGAGAAGGCCGAGGAGGAGACGCAGCGTGTGGATACTGGACGTTTCGAGTTCCGGTTCAAGGAGATGAACGTTGAGAGTGCCGGCAAGGACGGCCGGGGCAGAAGAGGAGTTGGCTGGAGATACGGCGTCCCTTTCTACGACCGCCGGAAGGGGGAGCTCAAGATTCCCACATCGGTGCCTTGAGCACGCCATTTTTTCTTACCTCTACCTGTCATCAAGGCGGTTGTCGATGGCGCTGAAACGGGACGCCGGCCCAAGAACGGGCCATGATACCCCCCAAAGCCACTGAAAGATGTATCAAGCCTATAGGCATCACGGTGCTTCGTGTTGGCGTTTATCCTTCTGTATGATAAGCGACTATATCTATTTACTGTATATGTACATGTACCTGTATAACGACAATATCAGCCGAAGGGTCGGCTCGTACAAGAGTCACGAGCCCATTAAAAATTCAAATAATCACAGCAAGTATTTTGAGTGTGATATCCAGTCTAGTGCTTGATGCTCGTCGGAAATATCCACTACGAGATTGGAGCGAATCTTATCAATGGCCTCTGCGGATACGCGACATCTATTTTGCACGTAAGCCTCGATGGAACCATACTCCTCGCGAAGCTTGGCTAGTGTTGCAAGCATGCTTTCCTTCCTGGACTCGGCATTAGCAGTGTTGGCAAAGGAGGACATGTCGCCTAAGTGCAGGACAAAGGATGGCTATGACCAGGAGCGTCCACATACGGGGAACTAATCATACGCCGGACACCCTGGAGGTTTCCTTTGAGGGCTTCGGTGGCGAGGAGGTGGTTAACAATCTCTTCTCTACGGTCCTGGAGGCCGATGTTCGTCAGGCTGTACTCGTGTGCAACGACTTCGTCCGCGACGCCGCAGAGGCTAAGAATTATGGCGCAAATAACGCCAGTCCTATCCTTGCCGGCAGTGCAGTGGATGAGCATCGGAGACGGGGGGTTGGGGGTTGCGAGGTGAGAGAGGATAGTGCGAAAGGGGTCATTGGGGTGGTCAGGCTCCGAGGCGGTGCGTAGGATATCAGTGTAGGCTTTAGTGAAACCCTACGAGAGGTTTAGAATACAACCGCATCGTAAGAAGTTCCAGTCATATGATCGGGAGAACCATCTGACGAAAAAATGGACGGGGGCTCACCTCGGTACTGTCGCTTGAGTAGTTACGATAGCGAAGGGCAATGGCCTCTGGCCCGTAGTCCTCGTCCCGGAAGACGGGAACGAAGACGCGCTGGGCACCGGGCCAGTCGCGCACGTTGCAACTCGTCCCTGCCTGGGCGAGGCGCTTGAGCTCGATGGTGGAGCGGAGATCGTAGACATGGGTGATACCGAGATCCTGGAGGCGGGTGACGCCGTCGTCGGTAAGGCGTGAGGGCTCTGCGGAGCGGAAGACAACACCAGGCCTGAGGATGCGGCCGGGCTGGGCATCAATGGGGTAGCCGCCAGCATCGCGGAAGTTGGGCAGGCCCGGAATGGTGTGAAAGGGCGGTGATGGCAGTTTGGCCCCGGCCTTTGGGTTTGCATCTGTCATTGTTCGAGACTACGGGTGTTCCTGGTGGTGTGAATGGCTCTATGACGCCACAGGTCGTTGAAGAAAACGGAGCAGTCGGACCAGGCTGATCTGTGTGCGCCCGTGGGTTGAAAGTGAGTTCTGTGGGGAAGGTGGTATCCGAGGCATCCTGGCAGCGCTTTCTGGAGAAGAGGCCTGGAACAGTGATGCGCGTCTCCCAATATCACACTGAGGCAACGATGTCATCCTTTATTTCCCTCTAGTGTACTTCACTGTCACTTACGACCTAGTCGGACGCAGCACATTACATACGAGGAAGACGATGCAGATTGAGAGGCGCTTCTTTCCATGGTAAACGCCAGCGCCACATTTAGGCATCCATCCAACCAAAGCAAATGAATCAGGAACATACGCATTGCTTAGCCTTCCACCCTAGAAAGTCAACAAATGTTATCTTCGATCTGACTCGAATGCGTGTCGCGCAACTGTGCCGTCCGATGCGTGTCTTTTGAGTTCGGGCAGCCAGCACCAGCTTATTGTCGAAAAGGGCGGGAATACTGTGGCGGAATTGTGCATGCAGGCTCGTGACGGTTGTGTATAAGGGCTCTAGTTGATCACGCGTCGAAGATGGGCTGTTTGATCCTTGGTTCATTCATACCACGTCGTCGTTGAACGATCGTAGGCATGCGGTATTCGGCAAGCGGCTGTCATGACTTGGGCCATGTCGAGCCGGAGCTGAGCTGAGACATTTGGCCGCGTCAGGCAGGGCAGGTCGGATATATTACAAGACGTACCAAGCTGTACATTGCAAGATTCTAGGAGCAATCCTCTAGTCCGATTTCACTGCATCAATGAGTAAACTCAAGTCTAGTATGAGAATGTCTAACCAAGCTGATCAATGTAAGTGAAGGGATGCCATGTGTGATTTGCCGGCAGACTTGGACTTGAACCAAGGTCGAGAGTGTCAAAGAGTGTTTTGGTACCCGACGTCCCTGGTGCCTCTCCGCGCACTGCAGCAGCTGCCTAAGTACCCCCGGAAGACCTTCCAACAAGCTTAAGCTAACAAGCCTTGGCCAGCAATTACACGGACGTGACAGCACACCTTGACATCCCTGGCTCAATAACGCGAACTGGTTTCCATCATTTTCATTGGATAAAGTACCCGCACTAACGCTGCCGTTGCGTCATAGGGGACCACCTGGAAGGGGTCATTTCCCCAAAATTTTCCAATCCGGCTTCAGGACAATCGCAGTGTGCTTGTGTTGGATCACCACAATCAAGGCGGGCTGTGTTTATTTAGCTACTGCTTCACCTCCCTTCGCAAGCGTTGCTCCTCCTAGAAGAAACTCCCAGCCCAACTTCCAACCAAACATTACCCTCCGCTCCGTCTCCAGTCGTCGTCAACAACTCCAATCGCCACCATTACCGATAATCGATAAGCACCGACCGAACGCGCGTTAGGCCCCCCTCCCCCCGAGGACGACTTCAGATTCCTTGGATTCTATCTCAAGATACATCCCCCTAGCTCGTGCTTGCAATCACTCCCGCCTCCAGCCAAGCTATGGGCCTATTCGGCATGGCGGCGAGCTATCTCGCCTTTTCCGTCCTTCATTTCTTCCAGTTTGTTCTGGCTGTGACCGTCTGTGGCCTCTACGCCGTCGATCTCAATCATGCTAGAAGCGAGGGAAGCTATATTGACGGAAAATGGGTACGTTCGTTCCCACTGTGATTCTTCATTTTACTCGCCGCGCTTCTACGCGGCTCGCTTCGCATATCGGACGATGGATTGGCTGACATCCACTCACAGGTTTTCGCAGTCGTAGTTGGCGCTCTCTCCGCGGTCACGGCCCTGATATACTTCATCCCCTTCATCCTGCGATTCGCCATCGTCTGGGCTTGGGATGCCGTCTTATTCATTCTGTGGATCGCCGTCTTTGGTCTCTTTGGTAATGTAAGCATTACCATTCCACCAGACCCCCCTCCCCCCACATCGATGCATCAAACGTTATTACTGACTCTGCTGTGCACGCTACAGATGTACATTAAGGAGAATGCCGAGGGCGACAACGGGATCCAGCGGATGAAGAACGCCGTCTGGGTGGATCTGGCTAACGCTCTTCTCTGGCTTATCAGTGCCCTGGCAACGGCCGCCTATTGGTGGAGACACCGCGAGCGCCGCACTCGGTTCACTGGCCGAGGAAAGGTTTAGATGGAGAGAGATCCGGCCAATAGAGTTTTGTGGGTGTTCTATGAAGGCAGCTCTTCTAGGAATCACGACCTGTCATTCAGCTGGACAGTAGAGCATTCCAGTTTTATATAGTGATGGCGTTGCTGGGGAGGTTTCTTCTTTTCTTCTTCTTTTTTTTTCTTTTCCTTACTTCGAAGCCGATACCAAAACCCTTTTAGTTTCCATTCTATTCTGGTTCATTTCCTCCCTCGTTGCCCCCTCCATAACTCTTCCAATAATGCAACATCCTAAGATCAATGGAATCATTCATACCACTCAGTCTCAGACAACCGGAGTGGCACATTTTCGTAATGACTCGAGCATTCGCATCGACATCTGTTCAAGCGTCCACCCGCATGACAAAAAAGATGGCCCACGTTAACGCTACCCGTACTATTACAAACAGTACAACCCCAAGTAGATAGATAGACCTTTATGAATTAATGAAACTTAACACTAGCTTGTCCTACTTACTGCTAAGTATGTTTCCAATATATTTTAATTACGTCTTCTGGTCTTATTTGTGTAAAGAAAAACCCTTGTTAGTCGTCTCGAGGTATATGTGGTATGGGAAAGTACTTAACGTGTGCCATATTTTTGTCATACGAGTGGCGTCTTTCTTGCGAGTGTGTTCCAAATACCACTACCATGTCAGACGCTGTCCAGCATTGGCCGTCACGCTCATCGATCAGGGCCCAAGTTGCAAATAGATGCCGGAGTAATAGGGCAGTTGTTAAGACGTGTTCCAAGCAGCGACAAAGTCCCGCCACAGCGCCAGCGTCGGCACGGTAGTCAACCCTCCTCCCCGCATACCCGCTTACGTTCCGGCCCTTGGTCCGAAAGGTTCCCCCAGTGTGCCTATCAATGCGGGTGGCTGCACGAGTTGAAGGGCTGGATATCGTCTGGAATCCATCTCATCATCGGCGGGCCCTGGGATGCTCCTAGAACCCATGGGTCCGTACCGTGCCGTGCGTGTACGGATTAAATAGCCTTTCCCTACCGTATTGTAATGCACGGCCCCGGAAGAGTTTCTCCTAACTTTCTGATGCGGTCTTTATCAGCAAACTACACCGGGTTTGTCACACTGCCCGGCGAGACTCGTACCTACCTAGGGCCAGTCAGGGACAGAAGGATCGTGCCAAGGTCGCGGGGTTGTGTCTTCTCAACCCTGCAGGCGCTAAGCAACAGTGCCCCTCCTGCACCGTGACGTAGTGGCTGCGATGAGTCTACGGATGTGTTCCTGGTCGGGTTTTCTTTGATAGATGAGCGAGCGTGGCGCGGTTCGAAGAAATGCGACTGGACGGATTTTTCATATACCGCTAACCCCTTATTTGGTGTCCTCTCTGTTGCGCCACATTCGGAAATGATTAGCAGGAAGTCAGGTGGCTCAACACCCAGCCTTCGAATCCGCAAATGAGGCAGCGAATCACCTCCGGGTTTTCCTACGGCGTCAAACGCCCAAGCTCGCTGGGTAGGAAAAGCAATTGCGACGTCCAGAGAGTAAATGTGCTGCAATCTACCTATAGCGTTGCGTAAGAAGCGGTCCACGTCAATGCAGCAGTTGAGGGACAGCTAAGATCGGCGACAGGATCAGCGGAGGGGTTTGAGGTGGATTGGCTTCTAATTCTTGAGATATAGCCTCGAAGAATCCAGTAGGTATGCAGCTTCATGGGGCCTTTTCAACAGTGCTTAGAAACATGTTTTTTTATGGACCCTTGCCTTTCGGTGACGACTTCATTCAACCTCTGGCTAAAGCGGTAACAAGCTTCTATCGGCCAGCACCGAGAAGATGAGCACAATTGGCGAAGGAATTAGGGGACTTGGGAATCAAAGTACATACACACTACACGCATAGCGGTCGGACAGCGCGGGGATTTTCTTCTTCTTCTTGGATTAGGCCGTTCGGGGCATCTCTTTTACTGTCTCCTAGCCCCCAGCATGGTAAAGGCACAGGCAGCAAGGGGATTCAAGATTCAAGAGCCCAACAATTGCCAAGAGTGGCAACTGTTGGCACTAGCAAACGCCCGAGGTGCCGAGGAATGTAACCGACACGGTCCCGACACTGGCGGAGTGGGCGTGTGTTCACGGCCGCCCATATGCAGTGTAGATTTTGGCTTTTCTGCTTTGGGAAGGGAGTAAAATACACATAGATATGATGGGCAGCCCGCAGGAGCTGGTGGCAACAAGGGCCGACCATGGTAGCGCTGGACGCGACGTGATTTCACGTTGGAGGCGCTCGTGGCGTATCCGCAATGAAGGTTGCCACCCGCCCGGCCCTAAGCTGCAGGAGAGGACACTGTTGTGTTTAGATGTTGCTAACGTATTACATGTCAGAGGACAAAGTCAAATGGGGGCAGCAGTGTGATGCCAGCACCAGACTCGATATGGTCTTGGATCTATCTGCGGCGGACACTGACGTTACCGAGATACGTATCTAACCCAGGTTGGTCCCACTTAAGATTGCACAGGTACTCTTGACACAATCGAAAAGACACAGTACACTACAATCGTTGTCCCGACACTCAACAGAGTCAACACAATAGGAGGGATCTGCGGCGGACACGGCGGACACTGGTTGGAGATGGCGGTAGTGCTGATACGACTAATTGAACGGCATGGTTTTGGAGTTGCTGATTGAGCCTGGACGAGCGGTGGTGATCGTCGCCAACGATCGACAACGGCATTTCCTGTCGAGAATTTGGGCGCAGCCAAGTAAAATGTGTTAGCTGAGAATGAAGGCAGTGTAGTGGACCTGAGGTGAGTGGTTATTCACACCGGGACGGACTCCTTGATACGTGTAGTTTATGAGCAGTCCTGAGAGGTTCAGCGTCATCCTAGCTGACAGTAGTGTTAGTAAAGGTCACCTCATGCCGTATCTGTGGTGCTTCTGGACTTGGATGATTGGACTTACCTTACAGGTACCAAACTATTCCGAGGTGTGCCAGTAGAGCCACCACCCTCAAAACTAGGTACCACACCACACTGACCGCCCCAAGGTACCTTTCTTCACCGATACCTGATGGGGCTCACACAGAGGTACCCCAGCATGCAGGCTAGGCTACGCGGGTACCCATCCTATGAACCTGGATAAGTCCCTGCCCAGTCGGTGGACCTGACGGTCTCTCACACACCGCGACCCTCTGAGATAGATACGTACCTGGCCAAGGCGGCGGTCGCCCTTCAGAGAACCGAGAATCAAGTGCAAGGCAAGACAAGAGAGAGAACGGAAAAGGCACGCTGCGACTGCAGCGCCATTCGGTGCAATGTGGATTTCGGACGCACTTGCAGATGCAACTGTGAACCTACGCCAACAAATGCAGCCCAAAGGAATTCTTGAGGCACAAGGGAGACAAGCAAAGAGTGCAACTGTTGTCTGCACCCTCCCCCCGTGTTGTCTACTGCTGCAATAAACAGTTTCCATATGGTATTGATGAACCACTCTGGCGTCTTGTTCCTGGTTAGGTCGATGGCCTGTTTATGTGCCTCTCTCTGTGCCCACCTTTCCCCTCAGTCCGCTGCTTCCCTTTCTAGTGTTTATGAGATGTGAGAGGCCTGGGAAGCGATCCATCCAACCGTTCGACAGCAGCGGCACCACCAGCCGCGATACGCACGGCCGTCCTTTGTTGACCCTTGATGGCCTTCCTCTCCTTCTTCCATCTAGATTCTAAACAGTCCCCAAAAAGATCATCAGTCTTGCAGTTCAACTAGAAATTGCAATCAGCCCGACGAACACAGGTCTCTACCTCCTTTTTTCCAAGCCACTGCCAGATCGTCCGTGTTCGTGTGTACGGCTGACTTCCACACTATTCTTGTTCGTTGGCTTCCAAATGCCCTGTCATCTATCCACATTGCCGCCAACACGACCTCTCTTTCGCCGACAACCTAGAACAACCTCACAGCTTCACTCGAAACCGCTCCATCCCACGTCAATATCACCAAAATACACTTCCTGACAAGGTCAAATACGATCGCAAGCACGGGCACAAGCCAAGAAAGGCACAGGCCACTGCCAACAACACGCTTCGGCTTGCTGTAGCAAAAGACCGGGTTATCTCGCCCTAGTACCTTGTAGAACGAAATTCCATCATCTAACCCCGCCAAAGTGGTTCGAAATCAACATCTCCCCGGAAATCCGGCCTCCAGCCTGAGATCAAGACCACATGCGCTATACTTGACGCCGCACGAACGAGGTGCGTCGGAAGATACTTGAAGGGCCGCCGAGCCTTAGACTCAGGGCCTGAAGCCGAAAGCCGCCTCGCGAGCCTTGATTCCGAGCGTTTGAATATCATTTCGACCTTTGCAAACGGGCCCTGGCGCTGCACATATCCCTTCTCCTTTACCGCATGCGCATACTCACCCACCCTCGTACATAACATCTACCTTCTTACAGACCACCGCGAGGCACTGATTTACCCGCTTTCCCGTGGTCCGACCCTGCACTGGTCCGACAACCTGTTGTCGAGGAAAAAGTGTTTGCAGGTGGATGCCATTTGCCCAAGGAATAACCCCAACGACCATACACACAAACGCACTTAAGACGACGACGACAGCGACGTTAACGCACAGCGCAAACGCACACCAACAAGAGCTGCGAGACTCTCTCTCAGCCGCGCATCCCGATACTATACTTGATGAACTCCAGGCTTTCTCGGAAGGCACTTGCTATCCTCGTGTTACGACTTACTCACGTGGCATGGCCGGCGGTTTTGACCAGCACCAGGAATTGCCAGGCGTTGGACAGGAGCGAACAAACATGGCAGGCCTAAGCCGCTCGCTCAAATCAACAGCCTACTTGCGGGCAAGACGACCGACCATGCCTAGAAGGGACTTGTCCAACTCTTCAGACATATCGGTTGCCTCGACGGGTTCTCGCTCCGACGACCATTACGATCTGCTTATGTCTGGGCTCAACACACCAGCTCACGAAAAGCCAGGAACGGATGGGTCCAAGATGCCAGCGCACTCCGAGTTGAGCTTTCCTGGAGGTACGTTGCTACCTGCATTGCTTCTTGTTTCGTCCAAATGATGTTTTCCATCCCACTTACCATTTTGCGTGTCCCCTTGTGTTTCTGCTATTCTTGGGTCGAAGCCAGTCTCAGTGATTCGGTTAGGTTGGTTTGGTTTTGCATTGATTTGATTCGGACTTCACCTTTCCCAGCCCCCCCCCCTCCTCAGGAGCGGACGCCTCTCTGCTCTGACCCGTTCCTTGTCTCGCCTCTCATTAATATTTCCGACGGTGCCCGTCGTGTTCTCTTCTGAGTGTCCGAATACCCTGTACCCGGTCATTAATGGCGCAATGCGTCGTCGGCCCTGATAATGGTAACGCCCGTTCGCCGTCTGCATGAGCCGCCGGAGTGGGGGCCCCATGGTAGATGGAAGTTGGCTCGGGTCTGAAGACGGAGGTACAAGTTCGCCTTCGAGCTCTGTTGGCATTTGTTTTCTCCACGGCTTTTTTGCATTTTCCTGTTTCTTTATATTTCTACCAAAAGCTACCCGGGGTAAAACCCAATGCCAGAGCCTCAGGGGTCGGAGAACAATGAGGGCTCGAAGTCATTAGGCCCCATTGGCGGGGTTGGCTCCGACGAGCAGCGAGTGGACATGCCGTGTGCTGTTAGCAGCATTATCACGTTACTTCACGTACCTACGTACGTCAGGTTGCGTTGAAAGGGGGGGTTGGAGAAGAGGTCGCGCCTATGTCTGTACCCTGGCCAAAGCTGGTCTCTCTCAACCACCCATAGCTGCTACCGGCTCGCCATATCACGCACTCCCTCAGGCCGAAAGACCAGCAAAGGACCCCGTCACGCCTACATTACAGGACGCCCATAGCATTGTGTGCGGCGACCCAAGGCTTTCCATGCCTAATGTCTTCGTACCTGACGTTTAGGCTATGCCGCTAGAATCAGGTGGTATCTTTTGGGGTCGAGAGTGGGGATTTGCACACACCACTGGGGCTGAGTCGACTATGCAGTGCGTCGGACCCAGCGTCAGTTAGGGTCCCATCGCCTCTGTGTCTCTGCGTCCAGCCCATCTGCGGCGGCCCCCCTTGCGGCTTTGAAAGGGATATGAAGGCACGGAGTCACCTGAACCCTCGGCTCTCCATGTCTGGGGATCATGGCCAGGTTAGCTGGGCGGCCTTGGTTTTGACTCGGCCAGGACCCTGCCACATATCGTCATTGTTCACTTACTGTTGTCACTTTTTTCCTCCTACGCTAAGCCCATTTCTTACCCTCCTCCTCCAGTTCGCTCCCGTCTCGCATGGCTCCAAGGGTCCCTTACCGTTGCGTCATGTCCATTTTCTTCTCTTTTCTTTTGACTTTTTTCCTATTCGGTTCCGATCGGGATCTGACACACATCAATGTTCCTTGCGTTCCCGAGACGAGACCACGAGACTAATCCGCCCTTGGCTTTTCTTAATAGAGGAAACATCCGCACCATGCCAACTCGACTTGTCTACTCTTCAATCCGCACGATACAACCGCAGTCGTCCAGTTGCCATTGACTTGCCTCCTGCCGCTATTCGAAAGATAAACTCGGCGCCTGCCTGTACGCCAACCCCGCCTGAACCTTTGTCAGCCCGTGGCGACGTCCCTGGGTAAGTGCAGTACAATGTCTTCGCCCCAACCCTTATGTCGTTGTCCTACAGTGGTAGGATTCGTGAAACCATTAACGAAATGAAATATGAAAGAAAAAAGGACAGTCAAGGACTGACTTGAATTTTCTAGTGGCTATTTCCCGTTTCACGAAGACCCCAAGGGTCGCATTCACCGTCCACACCCTTTCCAGGCCCAAACCGAAGTTGGCCATTCGAGACACCACTCTCTTTCCCTCGCTGTCGATTCCTTGTCCAGAGCTGACCAACGCGGTGCTTCTCTGTCCGCAGCCATGGCGCCGTCAGTCCGTCTCTCTTCTCTGAGTGCCATTGGTTCCTCCGACTTTTCCGATGTCAACACACCCGTCGCATCTTACCTTCCCAGCGGGGTTCACGATAGCCCTTTACCAATGGGCAAATATTATCCATCAAACTACGAGCAACAGAACAGCCACGGCGCAAGGACTGGGCCTCCTGGACCTCCGAGCCGTTCCTCCACAAGATCCGAGGGTCATATATCTACGCGCGAGGCTTTCAAGACATCTTCACGACAAGACTCGGAAGCCCGCCGCAAACTTCAACAGTACCAGCGGGATATGATCGCGCAGGCAAGATTGGCAGCTAGTGAAGTGCTTGGGAGTTCGCCCAACCAAGTCAACGCAGCATCAAGCTCCACAATTACGTTGAACGGGATACCGTTGACGAATGTGCACCATATCGGAGCTACCGGCGTCCACAAGCCCACATCACCGAGACTCTTGCCACTGGGAAGTCCGGGCCCTGTGACACCCATGGATTTGGAGGGCGGGCAGAGCGGGTACCTCGATTGGGGCTGCAACGATGAAATCGTCCGAGTGTTGCGGGCCGAAGAACAACGAATGCGCCGAGAAGGAGCAACTCCTCCGGCAGTGGGAACGGGTCCGCAACCCTTTTAGGTGGCGAGAGGCATTGATCTCGGCAATCAAGTTCGCGATCACACGCTACTATGATTTATTTCAACATGACGGCAACAACACGGAAGAAAAGGCAGAAATATCAGAAAAGAGAAGAAACCCCGGGGGAGCCCGGGTGGAGAAGACCACTTGGTCAAGAGACGATCGTTTATGGTTATGATACCCCTCTGGTTACTAGGTATAGTAAGTAAGACTTCATTTTATGGACACCGTGGTAGTGAAAAGAAGGAGGGGGGCACGTAGTTGGGCTTTTGGTTGATGGTGGTCTCGGGGTTGAGCCATTTGATATCCATAACATGGACTACTTTCGTTACATTCATCGGAGCGGGGTGGCGCGACCATCGCCAGCCGAGCGCACGTTGTTTTCACAGGCTCGTTGTGGGTAGAATGGTAGGGACGAAGATGGCCCATTTTGAACGATTATTTTTGCCCATCACCAATTAGGCGGTGCTCTGTGGACCTTGCTACACTACCTAGGTAGTTACTCTTCAACCTTGACCAGAGGACAAACAAAAACTACCTACAGACAGTATGGACACCACAGGTTCAACTGTCAGCACATCGATACTCCATCAATTTTGCATGCTAGAAACGCGGTGGTTCTTTTTTGTTTTCTTTTGCCAATTGTACTAATCATAACCTCAAGACCTCAAGCGGCCTTACAATAGTTAGCAGGGAAACTACCCTTTACGCCACCCAGTTCGCCCATCCACCAATCCTGATCCGTTTCTGTCTTTTTTACGATCCTGATCCTATCCCCTTCGCGGAAGCTTAAATCCCCGTCGCCTCCTGAGAAATCATACTGAGCTACAACATACTCTTCCGCCGCCTTCAAGCGCTTCGCTGGGGGCGGTGGTGGTGGCTTCTTCTTCGCCACAACATTGCCGTGATCCGATGGAAGCCTTGATTGGTGGCCGAAATACTCCGCACGGGAGCTTATGTAGGCTGGCGACACATTCGAAGCGCCTTGAGGTTGTCCAAGAGCTGTGGCAGTTGTGAAGTCGGTTGGGAGGCCGAGCTGCGAGCGCGAGACGCTTATACTGCTTGATTGTGGACTTGGTTGCGGCGAGAAATCCGAAGTGGATGCGGATCGATTGGCTGAGGTGGTAGAAGGTATTCGCATGGTCCGTGGTGTCGGTGCTGCACTTTCACTTGTATCGGATGGTGTCCGAGCAAATCCGTTGCGTGATGATACTGGGTATGCCGATGACTTCCGACTCTGTCCGTCATCCCCTACCCTGGCCGGTTGTCTCCAGTTCTTGCCATGCGCTATGCAGCTGATAGCTTCAACCTCTCGTTGCACAGGTAGAAACGTTGCAGACCAAGCCGATACCACGTTTTCCATGGGGGGTGGAGGAGAAGGGAAACCGTGGTCCTCACAGTAGTTGTGGAGCGCAGTGTAGTACAGGCCAAGTAGCCTGTTTTGAATGCAGACGTGAGAGGCTAGCAAGTGAGGAATTAAGGCAAATATGGCTTCGATGATGGGGGGTAAGGCATCTCGAAGGTGGACATCTGCGACCTCGAATTCCTTCGATTACGATCCATCAGCTGATGTGACGCTCAACTTCGCGTTGGCCGACGGGTGCTTACCTCGGACGCGCATGACATTTCAAATTCAACCTTTGACAGCTGGGCATCTTCTTTTGGCGTCCTCCCGGTCTTCTTCTGAAGCTTTTTGACCTTCTCTTGGGCCTTCTCATAGTCCAGCCGTTTGTTCTCGCGCTTCTTGATAGTTTTACGTAGAGGCTGAATGAATTCACGGGCTTCAGTGGCGGGGCGAATGACCTGGGAGTCAATTGCCGCCACTTCCCCAATCAGCTCATCCTTGAGGTCGGAGTACACCCCGCTGAGCTTAAATGTACGATCGAGCTGCAGCTGAGGCGTCTCAACGCCGGGGCGAGCATGTCCCTCGGAGGCTCCAACAATGGGGTCATACAATCCCTGATATTCATTCACGATAGCCCACTGGCTGGTGACCATGGCTACCCAGGCATCACGGAGAGTCCTCGTGTTCTCGATGATCTGACACAGAGGCAATAAGTCAGAAGGGGGAAGTAGCTCATTTGAATTAAGGAGGACATGTATGTATGGTACGAGGTGATATACCTTGCTCAGCAGGCTGTCTGCATCTTCGTAGTCGTGCAAGACTGCGGCGATTTTGGCATTGTCACCGGGGCTCTTGCTCATGAGCTTGCCGAACTGCCTCTGCACGGATTGCATCTTGTATCAGGGGGATCGAAGGCCACCAAAACAGCGGTGCTGAAGACGAGGGGAAGGAAATGAAGGGCGTGGTCTCGGTAGTTGTAGGACGCCGGTCTCAGGGCGCTGGTCGAGGCGGCAGAACGAATGGGCAATGACAGCGAGATTTGGCCAGGGGGGTTACATCAGTTTCGAAGCTTCAATGTTGCAAGCCTAGATGGCGACTCTCGTGCCACATGAGTTGTGAATGGAAAAGAATGTCGAATGGCGGTGTCGTACACTGTTTCGAGCATCGACGTTGCGATGTTGATAGAAGCGGAGGGGGTTTGGCTGTTGGGGCGGGTGAAGGAAGAGCAGCCGCCGGTAACGCGTCTTAACAGTACCTACCCACCTACCTAGGTAGTACAAGTACTTTTTTTTATTGAGGCACTGCAGGTGAGATGGACCAGGTACATTGGAGCGAGGGGCTCTAGAGGAAGGTCATTTTTGCGCGACGGAGCTTGCCGAAGACGAGAGGTAGCGTCGGATGCGGTGGGGTTTTACTTTTTGGTCGACACAAGTCGAGGAAGAAGAAGGACGCCGGGGAGAGAGCGGATGGTTGCGGTGAAGGAGGGGCCCCAAACACTTTTGCAGCGAATCACAATGCGAAAAATGAACGAGTAACCTACCCCAGCCCAGGTCGCAGAACAGAGATAGGTATAATTGCGGATTGCTTGATGAAAGGAACCCAAGTCTGCCATTTGCATCCCCAGATATCCCTCGGGCTTTGCTCATTGCCCTATGGAACATGTAGCTTAGGCAGAATGTGGTGCGCAGCATGCGACGTGTACTACATTGGCCAAAGCTCTTGATGCGCAGCTTACTGGAAGAAACATTGGCTGCCCCCCTGAACTCAACAGCCTCTTATCACCTGACTTCATTTTCAAAGGCGGTGTGAGCCAACGATTTGCAGCAATGCAACCCGAGTCAATAGAATCAAGAAGTGTCCCCAAGTGCTGTGGCTATGATCGGCTCCCCCGGCACGAGTCGAATCCTCCCTCCCACCTTGGCGGCGGATAGGCGGCTCCAAGGCCAAGAGCCAGTCGCCTGCCTCAGCTCAACATGCCGCTTAGCGGCCCAAAGATACTATGATGTACCTTGGCCCGACTAGTACCATCAACCATTGGCATCGAGGACCAATTTACAGACCGCGTAGAACAGCCGTACATGCGGAAAATGCAACGAGCTTTGAGACATGTTTTGTGCTGTACTTCACGCGACTGTGAAAAGGGCAGAAAGCGGTTGATTCCTCAATCGTTACATCTCTGCTGCCAATCCAAATTTTCCAGCAGTTCCCAGTTACCCTGTGGTCTCATTGTGGTCGCCACAAACGCAGCGGGCGGTTGCCTGTGCAGGTCACGTGCCTCGGCACGGGGATAGGCGTTGACGCTTCGTCCTCTTTACGCGCGCTGAGTCGCGTCTTCTTTTGCTCGTTTATATTGCATTCGGCTTGTACTGAACAAGACCAGCCCCATCGCCACTCCACGCATTTTCTTGATCAGTTATGGGTTGGATCTTCTGTATACCAGGCAGTCTTCGCGGCCAAAATGTCTCTTACAGGTTACAATCCTAAGAGCAGCGGCAGCCATCCGACCCTTGGCCTGCCTGTTGCCGCTCCCGTCTTGGAATACGTTTGCCTGTTTACCCACGACCTGAAACGCAAGCAGAAGCGATGGCAGGATGGCCGACTCAAATTCCACACATTTAACAAACGCATAATGGTGTACGATGAGAGGGGCAACTTTATCGGCGATATGCATTGGCGCGAGGATTTCGACTTCGGAGAAGGCGAAGAATTCAACCTGGAGCGAGGCGCAGTTATAGTCCAGGTCTCCGAGTGTGTGGGCAGCAAAGACCAAGACCTCACTGACCTCCTCGATAAGAGAGCTAGAGAAGCCGAGCAGAGGTATGCACGCACTTCTGCCGCCACCGCAAATTCACCTCACCCTACCGTACGGCCGCCCGTTGTGCCCCAGAACCATCCCCAGGCATCTTTCAGGCAACGTCACCTTGTCGACGTTGTCAACACTCCACGAGGGCCACGGGGCAGGGCTGTTATGCCCACAATCTCTCCCTACGAAGAACGCATCGTTGACCAGCAATTGTTAAACTCCTCGGAGGGTGAGAGCCAAAGGCCTATCAAGAGGAGAAGAGACGTTTCGCCTCCAAGCAAGTCAGGCTATGCTCAAAACTTGTTCGGCGCAGCTCTGAACCTTTCATCTTGGTCAGCCAGTGCTTCATTGCGACAACAGCCGACACAAACACATAGAAATGCTTCCCCCGTCCCAGAAACTGCGAGGCTGGGCGTTCCAAGCAGAAACGCCAACTCATCATGGCTGCGACCTTCTGCAATTCTCAATCTGACAGGTGATGACCTAGTTCAAGTTGACCCGTCCAAGCCCTCGGCAGCCGCTAGCAAGAGAGAATGTGCGGGAAATGCAACAGAAACACCACCAAAGCTCAATGCTCTGGTTCCAACACCGTTCAAAGCACCAGGCATGGGTAACATGAGGAGCAAAGTAATCCAGGGAGAAGATCAAATGCTTGCCGAACCCGAAGAAACGCTGGTGGTCAGGGGCCAACAGCCTCAGAATCGTGCCAGCAATCCAAGGAATACAGCTGCGAAGCACAGCGCTAGAAAGTCGCAGGATACGAAATTGAAATCAATTCGCCATCACTCGGCCGCTCAGCCTAGCAATGGTGCACTGTATGACTCCGCGTTCCATCACATTTCTACAGAAAAAGAGTCACCAGAGCAGCGCGGTGACATTGTAAAGGATGCAGACACCTCAACCCTACAGCCATTAACAGACGAGTCTATGTTGCGGCTGGTTAGGGATACAGGTCCGGAGGAACCAAAGTCGAAGCTCCGTATCAAGGCTAGAAAGAAGCGTGGCCTATTGATGGTCGCAAAGAACACCACGGCGAGAACTTCAGAAAGACAACCTGATTTGTCGAGTACAAGGATAGAGGCACCTGTAGCGGAGAAACAGCTCATGACGGTTGACACTCTGCAAATTGTCGATCAGGCTGCGAGATCGATTCCCCCAGTTGGCATACTACCCTGTTCCGTAAACAGTGGTGTTGGAGGTGATACGTCCCAGTGCGAGCCAACAAGGGTACACGACGATGAAAAGATTCAATCTTGGTCCGACTCGGCAATTGAGGCCACGGTTCAGCTCGAGCCCACGCTTGTCAACGTCGATGACAGTCAATCATCGGGCGAACCCGTACATTCTAGAGTAAGGTTGCGGGAAGACAAGACACAATCTAGCTCTGGGCCGCATAGGGAGGTGGAGATGATGACTACCCAGTCTGGGCCCCGGCTGGCATCTCTCGGACGAAGGAGCGTGAGGAGCAAGGAGATAATTGGTTCCCTCGACCCAAGAAAATGTCGAGCGGCGGCCGAAAGTCCTCCCGCAGCGCCAGCTTCGCGAAAAGAGACCATTATTTGTCCAAAGACTGATTCGGAGAGGAGCTCCTCGACTAAGATGGCCGAAACAAGGTTGGAAGAAAAGGCTACTCTTTTGAAAAACCCGGCAACGAGAGGGCGTAAAGCAGCAAAAAAATCAGACGCAGCTGGATCCGTTCCGCAACCCGTGTTATCGGGCATGCCAGATCTCGCTGTTGGCAGAAATGATATAAGAGGAGGCAGCCAACCGGAGGTAACCCTTGATTCAGCCGCTGCCTTGGGAGGTGAAAACGCACGGGAAGTTTTCGGGTTTTCAAGTGCCAGTGGAGGGCCTTGGAGCAAAGAAGCTTACGACTTACTAGGATGCATACGGCCCGGGGTGAAAGCCAGGGTGAAGGGTATCGGCGATGGAAACTAGATGAGCTGCACGACTTATATGTCCGGCGCAACTGGGGTCATTCTTCAAGTTTTCAATGAAGTCGGGCACTTCCAGCAATTCGGTCCCTGGTGACAAACACGGCCGCTTCATGGTTAACCCACCCAATGTTATGTTTGTAAGGCGTGAGAAGAGTGCGTTTATTTCTGCAACCTTGGGCAGCCATGTAAGGAGAGACAACGGCTGTGACACAGCAACTTGCCATCCCGGATTATTGGTGTCAGATGGATAGCAGAGTTCCCTGGGGTTTCCATCCGCACCCCCCTGTTGGGCTTGCCTTCACAAGACGAACACGTTCACCTGAGCGATGCCTCAGATACAGGGTTGTGCAATTGGACTCAACGTACAAAGCTGCAGTTGTGCCCATGGGTTTCATTCCTAGGTAAGCGGAAGACGACATGTACTGTTCGGTGGCCTGGGCAGATGTGTCTGATTGAAAGCTTTCTTGACTAGCAACCTGCGTTCAATTCTCCTTGCCTCGTTGATTAGTTTTCTGACGACCTCTCTGGCGAGGGCCATGGTACTTCGCACAGCCTCGCATATGCCTCATTCTGTAAACGGCGCGCGGAACCCACTCCTGCGAGGAACCAGGCGCGTATTGTTTCGGGTTAGACAGCTTTAGCATTCACAGAGATTCATGCCCCTGTGTCTGTAGGCTTGTCACGCTGATGGGCACGAGAAGCCCCGAATCAAGACGTAATAAGGCTCTAAACCAAGATGAGCAGCCTGCAGAGTCAACTGAGCTCAGTTGAGTTTAATAGTGCGGAATTCGGCTTCTGGCTCCGATACCAGGACGCCAGTACAGTGCTGCGTAATCTCTCTTCAGGCAGTTTCTACGCTGAATCTATCTCTTCAGTCCTTAATCACCTTATCACTGTTACGTTACAACTGCTGAAACAGATGTGCGAACGACTAGGTCACCAGGACTTCTCCACAACTTCAGGAAGGCGATTCCGGCTTCCATGCAAAGGCTCGAGGGCGAGCAGGGAGTTCAGCATGTGATTCGTTGACGGCACTGCTCGCTTCGCTAATATAGAGTCGTTACAGCACAAGCGTCATGACCCACCTCGAGCTTTCATGTTGGAGTACAAGCACCAAAGAGCAATTCGCGCAAGGCCAGCAGTGCGTTCACAAAACTCGGCTTCGCCATAAGCAACAGATTGGCCCACCCTGGTAAGCCATAACTGTAACGGCGTGGTCTGTGGTGTAAGAGTTACCAATAGACCACGACTGATGTAGCGACCGTTCGTGAAGCCACAGTCAAGTTCTGGAGTTCCTGCCCGGTGATGTTCGAATGTTGCTAATAGCTTTATCCATTAGCAGACAAGGGTTCAGCAAACCATCAAACACACCAAACTGGGGGTTAAGGCCCAGGCTTTTCAAGATAGTCCGTTCACAGGTGTAGGGAGACAGTCAAATTACAACTTGACTGGCTGGGAATGTCAACCCCGCGGAATGGCTGGACCCTTGCACCTTGGTGGCGCGTTTCTGACCACCCACACCTAGAATTGGTATAGTGACGACGAAAAGTCGGGAATCCCCGTGTACAAGGTGCACAACACACATGACTACCCTCTGGGCTTCCAACCTTTTTGGCTGGACCTGCATCCTCTTGGCCTTGTGCCAACACGGGACGGGTAAAATTTTATTTCAGTTGCGGCTACGCAGGTGTAGTAAGGCATGACAGAGAGAGCTGTGGAGCTTATGTTGAATGTCAAACACCGAGGCATGACACCAGTTCGCTCAATGGTGTGCAAATTGCGTGATAAGATTTGCACCCGGTACAGGCTGATGCGTACGACATTCGTGAATTTGCGCCACACCCTACGAGTTGGCATGCTCAGTACGAAGGAAGACGAAGCTTGACGAGGTTGTGGGATTCTAAGTGAGGTGGCTTGTACGTGGGGTTGATGGCGCCCATCATCCCGCCCAAAAAGCACAAGTGGATTAATCATCCCCGCATTAATCATGCCTGACAGAGAGGATTTGGCTGAAGACGGAATGTGCAACCATGAAGGGAACAGGGCACTGAGCGTGGGAGCAAACCGGCCGGCCATTATTCTTTCCACCTGAGTGCATAGGTAGTTCAGTCACTTTGCTAAGGCCTCTATTTGTACCTACATAGTTTGTAAGAAAGGATACATGTCTTGTTGATGATTCACATGGCGCCCGTGTCAGCAAAGCTGTCTACAAACAGGCAGGTGAAGATAGAAAGGTGGTATATCCGTACATAGGTAGGCACTAAGAGAGATTCAGACAATGACTGGTCGTCTGAAGCCTCAGGCGACAGTCATTGGTTGCAGACTGACTCACATCCATCACGTGATTGTCAATGCACAGCTCATTGCCCAATGACACTCGAGGATACTCGCCGAAAACCAGCATGTCTAGCTTGCAGTATACGGAGTACAATATCCAATTAGATGACGGCAAGTGGGTTTATCGGGCGTCTCAAGTGCGTCTTATTGGCCCGACTACGAAACAACAACCTGGGGACGCTAGTCCATTTTCATCTCGCCGACGAGCTCAATCACAACCACCTGCTGCGCCTTGCTGGGGGTACCGATGTGCTGCCATCAGCGGCCTCACAAGGTGAAATAATATCCGTGATTCCCGCCCGACCACACTGCTCACTGTTCCCCTGAACTCTTCCTCTTTTTTCTTCCTCAACCAACATTGCAACGCCAGACACGCCGAGTGACACATTTCACTGAAGCTACTCCAAAGCTGGAGCAACCCCCCCCCCCTTGGCCTCTCTTCAGGCATACGCAGCTCCTCCCATCGACATTGGTCAGTTCACCAACGAAACCGCTGCTGACAATTGTCTGCTTGCTGCACACGTCTCATTTTCCAGAAAGACAATTCGCGTCTCGCCTGGAAACAGGTCTTACTGTATCTTGGTGTGATCCAACACTGCCGAGACTTGTTCCTCGTCAAGGTAGGCTTTGTCGCCATTTTGCTTGATCTCCCTATCACGTTGAGCCCCCGGATAGCGCTTAGATGGACAAGTCTGGCGATTAAAACAGCCTTTCCCCTTGTTATGTACTCTCGTATTAAGCAAATCCCCATCCCTCATCTCCCTCTACATTCTCCCGGCACCTGCAAGGGACATGGACACGCAAAGGGTCATATAACTACTGAGGCGAAAAACATGTACTCACGCTCCACAGCAATTGAAATCAGCCACACATCCTCCATCAACACCTGGGACTTGTGACCGCATCAGGCATTCAAACCCTCGTCACTATTTCGTTTACCTTCCGCGGCATACCTTCAGTAATCAACATCGCAGACACAATGTCCGGTGTAATACAAAACGATATGGGTGCTGCCTTTCAAGGCTTCTCCATCTCGCAGCCCTTCCTCGGCGCTGCTCTGCAGTTTTACCCTGAGATGGGTACTCAGCAACTCGACGACCTCATCAACGCTTACGTCTCCGGCTCCGCCTCCATCTCAGAAAAGCGTGCCACCGTTTCCATGGACTTCTTCGCCTACTCCCAGCTCACCGGAGAGACCTTCAAGTACTACGCCGTTGATGGCCAGTCATTAAGCAACACGACCTCGTCTGCCGGATCCAGTCCCATACAGGGCTCCAGCTATAGCTCCAACTTCGTTTCTCCGGTCATCTCTGACTGGAGCTGGTCTCGGTCGACTTCTAGCTCAGGTTCCGTAACAACCCCAACCTCAGTGACCCATGAGGCGATTCCGTCCAAGCCCTCAAAGAAGATTGCCTCGTCGGCGGCAAGGCACCAGGCCAGCGACTTTTCTCATCTACCCGGCATGAAGATTATGACCAAGGATGGCCGCGACGTCACGAACTCTGCTTCTCGCGGTTGCAAGACCAAGGAGCAGCGCGACCACGCCCATCTCATGCGCATCATCAAGGCTTGTGACGCTTGTAAAAAGAAGAAAGTCCGCTGCGACCCCAGTCATAAGAAGCGCAGTGCTACTCAGTCCCAGAGTACCAACACTGGTGCCACTCCCGTGCGTTTGGCGAAGAAGGCCAAGACATCTGCAAAGGATTCACGTACAGCCACTGAAAGATCACCGCAACAGGACACAGCATTCACAGCACAATCTTTGGTTCCAGAACAGCCATTTGCCAGTCTTGAGATTCCTAGCAATTCTACCGACCTTGCAGAGGCCTGGGAGTCCCTTGTTCAGTTCGACGAAGAGCCTGTCGACTTTTCTCCCTTCAACTACGATTTCTTTTTCGACCCAGCTGGCCACCTCACCCCTAAGTCGAACCAATCTCCCGCCACACCCTCGATGGTATTCGCCCAGCTGCAGAGTGGCGCTGATACCCAGCAGAACCCCGACGTCAACAAACCATTCTCCGATGAGCTTGGCATTGAGTTTCCTACTCTCCCATACCTGGACTCCACTGCACCTGCGAACAACTACGTCGACTTTAATCTCTACTCACCCGAGCCAAGTTTCTTGGATGACGATATGGCGCTGCTTACCGACATTGGTTCTGCTATTGGCAGAAACCAGAGCACTCTTTCTCGGCATCATAGCCCAGCTCAGGATCGCTCGTCGACACATCTGTTGGAGGATGCCGATCCTTCGCCAGTTGTACCTGGCGATTGTTTGGTGGTTAGTGACGGTGCAACACCAGGCGGAAGCTCCTTGGGAGGATCCATCACTCAAAAGCGTCGTCGCCATCTGATTCCACGTGGCGGGGTACGCCCAGCTTCAAGGGCACTCTTCGGAGAATTTGAGAACCTGAACTCATTTACTGATGAACAGAGCGTCTCAAAGGTGCGTATCCTGCGTTTAGCTCAGCAACAACTTCGGCTGATTATCGAACAGTGTGAACTTTCGTCTCAGACGAACGCGTGCAACAGCTTCTCGGCACCTCAGACCGTTCGCTCATCTCACGTAACGGATGGAAGCCTTCAAACCACAACAACTCAAGTTCTACAGGCTGCCGCATCTTGTCCAGGGAGCGCACAACAAGGAACAGTTATACAACACACGATCGCAACTGGAGCATTCAGCCGGATACTAGAGTCCTCGGTAACTGCGCCTTCGAGCTCTGTAGCGGAGCTGTCTCGTGCGAATATTGCAGCGACAACAACTGGCAGCGGCAATCGCAGACTCGCCGACAGTGGAGCTGCTAGCACTTCACCGGACATTTACCTCCAGGTATCCGCACCTAGGTTGACAGAAAGTCGCAACACTCCTGTGTCACTGAGCTTTGTGCATTCCGCCCCTCAAGTCTTCGGACTAAGCGGAGTGCAGTCCCCGCTGGCGATGGTTGACGGTTTCCTATGGAAGGGCCGCACCCATGTCAATAAGCGGTCCAACTCGCAGTTACTGGTTTGTACTGTATTGCTTGCGACGGCGTTTGGCTTTGTCAGTTGGCTGGAGGTGCAGACAACTGTGTACAAGTTCCTCCAAGTCGCTTTTGGTCTGGCCATGTACAACGCCTACCAATCCACCTCCAGTCATCATGACTTGAGACCGCAACAGAGCCATCTCAGTACCATGCCAAAGCCACAAGGCTGCAGCGACGGCGGAAGGCTACTCTCATGTATCAGCACAAGACTGCGACACACCTGTCGTCAGAACCAGGACGCTCATTGCCGGGCCATACCGGCAAGGATGTCGAGGTTTCTAGGCCTCGCGCAAGGGTTCTCATGATCTCTCACGTCGACCTGCAGCTCGGACTGGGTGGTCCAGGCCTGTATGGATAGGGAAATGTGTTATAGTTGTCTTAGCTGATCCTTTTGGGAGCGTTGGTTTCTGAGATACCCCTCTGTTTTGTTGATAAGATGCGCAGTCCCCGGCGATGGGATGTGTGTCGGCTATATCACCGGGCAAGGCTGTGCTTTGTACTGCACAAGTGGGAACAAGATGCTGGGATATCTTGCAGTTGCGTCCGACTGCAGATCTATCAAGTTTTTCCCTGGTGTTGCTCTTCTGCAGTTTACAATCAATATACTGTCCTGCTCACAAACTTGTATGACTATGCACATTTTTTGCTGTTCTTTTATGAAATGCATTGCATTGTGCGCTCTGATGATTGGGAGGAGATTGTAAGTGTCAGCGCTCTATGTTAATGTGAGAGAATCCATGCCAAGTTCTAATTTGGAGGTGGTTGGTGCACCATTTTTTGCAGGTCAAGATCACGTGATTATGTTTGTTCCCACCTGTTTGCAAACTTCATCCCTTCACGCACCAACTAAGACTTCATGTTCCCTTAGAGGCCGGAGAAGATTTGTGATCGACAGACTTGAACATACAATAGTGAGTGATACAACAAAACGCCTTTCAACAGGCTTCATTTCTTTTCATTGTAACGTTTTGAGCTGACAATTTTGAGTCATTGCTGTCTTACTTGGGTATTCGTGGTCCATCGTTCAAGGACATGATTGTAGCAGTCTTGGATAACCTTCCCTGTTGGCGGTGTTAGCCTTGAAAATTCTTTGTTGTTTGCTGATTTTTCTGCGCGACGCAGTTTGTCCTTACCAGAAGCAAACAACACTTGAGAACAGACCAGAGATAGTGTCCAAGTACTGTGAGATTTTGTCTGGGAAAACCCGGAATCATTCCATACCTCAGAAGGGTCTATGTGAGTAATCAGGAGATCTTCTCAGCTCTTGCTCAGACGCAGGAACATTTAGCGGTGCCTTCTATTGTGCTGCATTCAATACCCTGTTGTCCACCACAAGACTCGTCGCTCCAGGCAACAAATCTACCTGCAGTGATATAAAGAAAGTGGAACAGGCTTTCAAAAAGGATCCGTACCGCCCTCAAAGACGAAAGGAAACATCAAAACCGTACTTGCCTCAGGGTGAAAGTGTACCAATGGAGGGCATTGAGGAGGCACCTTCCAGCCCAGCCAGTGTAAAGGCCCCTTCCCCGTCAGATCCGTCCGCAGACGGGCCTGACGAGGACGCTAGGCCTTCAGCACAATGCAAAGAGAAAGGGAAGCGGCTCTCTTCAACAAGCAAGTTTCTGCAAAACATCTTCTGTCGTCTCATCCCTCCCTTTTCTCCCAATCCCAAACCCTCTTCCTCATCCACCTCGCCACCAACCGCAAACACCACGACAGCTTCAACAACCTTGCCACAACCGGCGCATCCATCTCAGCAACCACAACCGGCATCCTCACCAGATCACCCAGCGATGGCTGCCGCCCCTGCCCGGCTCAAGGAGCCCGTTATTCCTTTATCGTCCTTTAGCCATGTTGTCACTATCGCGGTGTCAAATAACAATGACGAAGAGAACCAAACCAAAGCTTCCAATGATATAGCTTCTGCCAGAGCTACGGCCATGGGCCGGACAGGTCTTGATTCTACCGATCTACCACGGTCATCGGCATCTATCCCACAGACATCTTCGACGCCCCTCGGCGAAAGACCTATGCATCAAGCCTTCATGGGCCAGGCCTTGGACATGGTGAGCTGAATCCATACACGCCTTCGTTCCAAAACTGGAGCGAGAAGAAGAAAAACAAGAAGCTAATCACATCGACAGGCTCGTCTGGCTCTGAGAACCAATGAAACGCCGGTTGGCTGTGTTCTCGTCTACAATGGTTCTGTCATCGCAAGAGGCATGAACGCGACCAATGTGACACGGAATGGAACTCGGCATGCCGAGTTCATGGCAGTGTCTGCTCTGCTGTCTTATCGGTCCAGGAACAACGAGGAGGCCGCTGATACTCAGCTTCGCCAGCAAGCCAGCGAACGGTCCAAGGCAGATGTGACAGACGACGAATCTGACTTGTTTCCCATGGACGATGACTACGTAAAAGAGGGTCATCTGTACCCCTATGGACAGAAGCTCCATCGCGCCATGCGAGTTGAACGTTCGATTGTGAGGGAGTGTACTCTCTACGTTACAGTCGAACCTTGTGTCATGTGCGCCGGTCTCCTTCGACAACTCGGCATCAAGAAGGTTTACTTTGGTGCCGTCAATGACAAGTTTGGCGGCACGGGAGGTGTTTTCAGCATCCACAAGAACTCAACAGATACTCGCCAGGATCCCAACCCTGTCACTATTCTCAGACCCCTCCAGACCCTGACCAACGCCTGCAACTTGCCTCGGCCGGTAAGCTCGTCATCTGGTAAGAGTTCATTGGGCAATGGTCATCCAACAAGCCAGGGAGGAGACGGCGGCAACGTCGAGCCGGGATACGATGCAGAAGGCGGCTGGGGACGAGACGAAGCTGTTGGCTTGCTCCGACGTTTCTACGTTCAGGAAAATGGCCGAGGTAAGCAACCAAATACTATACTGTTCCCCCGATATTTGTTGCTAAGGTCTCTCTAGCACCTGTGCCCCGCAAGAAAGAAGGACGCGCTGCTAGACTTGCTGCGATGGAACAGGCTGGAAGCGATGCCGCAGCACCCGTGAATCCTCAGTCTTCCGACGGCGACGCTGATGGGCGCAACGATGCCAGCAACGACAATACTGCTGCTCCCGAGTCGAATGATGACGTTTCTAACATTCGAGAATAATACATTGCTCGGGGACTTGGACGACTTTCAGACTAGTACATGTTCCATCATGATAAGCAACGTCGGTGGGCAAGTAAGTTTATTCATGTTTTTTTCGTTAGATTGCTTTCATTGTACATTGAACACAAAGCAAATAGATGGACCTGCGTCCTCCATCGGGTATCCTTTCCAACCCCCCTGTCAGAGTGTCGTGTGAAAGTGACATCCCGTCAAATTCCCTTCTAGATGATACTTTTGTCGCATCTATGATCGGTCACCATGAGGAGTGACGATCTCCCCGACTTCTCTGTCCTTGCCATTCATGGAGACACCCCGCTCGGAACTGACGGTCTTCTCGAGAGGCTGGGGCTCGGGATTGCTGGCGGCATTATGATCGTCACTGCGCCAGAAATCCTTCTTGCCTTTGAGGAGACGGCGGACCCAAGGGGGAAGGATGCCGCCAGGTATGCGCCAGGTCCAGGGGTCCTTCTCGTGCTTATTGTGGGGAACAATACGGCCGCCGGAGGCCTTCTCGATGACCCAAACAAGAGTGTTGATGAGAATGTAGCTGCACACGCCGCCGATGAGACCATCAGCGATAGAGTATGTGAAGGGCATAAGAGCCAAAGTGATGAATGCAGGGATAGCATCGCCCATGTATCTCCAGTTGATCTCCGTAACGGCGCGAACCATCATGGATCCAACAAGGATCAATACACAGCCAGTGGCCCACGGGGGAATGGAAGCAAATATAGGAGCAAAGAAGATGGAGACAAAGAAGCAGAATCCTGTGGCCATAGCAGTCAGGCCTGTCTTGCCCCCCTCAGATATACCGGCTCCAGACTCGACAAAAGCCGTAACAGGAGGAGTTCCAAAGATGGCGCCGATGGAGATGCTGAGGGCATCGACCATGTAAGCAACAGATGACCCCTCGAAGTCCTGGGTTTCCTCGTCGATAAGGTTCGCGAAGCGAGCCATGGAGTAGAGAGTACCGGTGCAATCGAGAATGTCGACGTAGAGAAAGGTGACCAGAGCGAGACCAAAGGCGCCACTGTATCCTCCGATATTCCACTCCTGGACATTAAGGGTCCTCTGGATGGGGTGGAAATCGACAACTCTCTTGAAGAAGTCAAAGTTGGAGTCGCCAACAGCGGTGTACGGGAAGTAGGTGACGTCGGTGCCACGGGGCCAGGAGATGATGCTGACGAGGATGATACCAGCGAGAATTGCGCCCTTGAAGCGGTACATCATCAGCATGATGGTTAGAATACCACCGCAGAATATGCCGATCCACATCATAGGGCTGCGCATCTTGGTGGACGAGGGGCATAAGCCGTCAATCAGCTCACTCTGCAAGCAGCCGGCCAGCTCAAGGGGGGTCGAAGTGGCACCGACGACCAGACCGATACCCTCACTGTAGGTCAGGCCGATCAAGGTAAGAAAAAGACCAATACCGACACCAGTGGCAAGCTTGATACAGCGGGGTATGGCACGAGCAAGCCACTGGCGCATGCCGAGCAGGGCAAGGCCAAAGAAGACGAAGCCCTCGATGAAGATGGCAGTAAGAGCAACTTGATAGGGCACTGCGCCCGTTCCGTGATAGCCGACGACGGTATAAGCAAAGTAGGCGTTGAGGCCCATACCCGGGGCGACACCAACGGGCATATTAGCCAGTAGTCCCATGAAGAAGGTGGCGAGGGCTGAAATGGCGGCTGTGGCAGTCACGATGTCGCGCTTGACCTCGGCGACGCACAGCAAATAATCCTGATCATGGTCGCAAGTGAAATCTTCCTGGGTGCGCGGGCAGACGCAGGTTCCGCCTGTATCGGCTACAATGGACGAGTTGACGGCGATAATGTAGGCCATGGCAAAGAAGGAGACGAGGCCGGCGCGGAGCTCGGTGAAGAACAGTGATCCTTTGCGCTCACGGGGCTTTATTCCGGTCGACTGTCAGCGAGTTGCGCATTGTGTATGAGGCATCTACCGCCTCTGCATTGCGCATGCGGTTTACATGGACGTGCTCTTTGAGGATTTCCGGGACGCGGGACGGGACGGGACGGGACTAGACTTACATGACCGGAGCCTTCGAGCTGGAACCACCGACCGACAGGGCCGGCGGCGATCTTAGCATTCCAAGTTTGAACGAACCCCATTTCTACACACAAAAATTTCCCTCTTTCGCTATGGGAATTGGCCGGCGTTCAAACAACGATAAGAATGCCCAGATAGGCACAGTTAAGAAGATGGGAAAGAGCGTAGCGCGCAAGAAGTGGCCAACTTGATGGGCATGAAAGAGATAATGTAACCCCAATCAACACCAAAAAGTAAGGCCAATCTCAGATAGGGGGCTTGACAATGAGCTGCAAAAGCAAGTAAGGCAAGACCAGGCAAGCCTCAACTTGGTTTCGTGGCAGAGACAAGGGACAGTATGATATAGGCTGGACAGGGAGACCAATGCGGCGCCGACAGGCGTATGGCGACAGCAGAAGCAACGGCAGAGAACGTCGAAGAGAGAAGAAAGCAGGACAAGCCTAGAACGACCTATCGACAACCGGGAGAGCGGAACGGTGGATGGGTTTTATCATATGGCCAAGGAACCAGCGACCGGTAACGGGTAAGGCGTTATCAAGAAAAATTATCGACCAGTATGTATTAGTGCAAAGGATTACGATTTGCTGGAACCCTTCGGCAGGGGGGGGGGGGGGGGGGGTTTTTTGACGTTGAAACGAGTACTCGTTATAGAACATTAACTAATAAAGATCAAACGACGTCATCCTACACGTCGTCGTAGGCGTGACGCACGAAAGAATACCTGAGAGGACACTTTTCCACGTCTTTTTGTCAGTACTGTTTTCTTAGAGTCAGGTCGGAACCAACACATAAGTCCGCAGTTTACGTGAGGATACTCCACAACTAGAGAACTTATAGTGGCCTACAAGCATGCCTTTTTAAAAAAAATTTTTCCCCCGTTTTTTTTGGGCAAAAAGGTTGGTTTCTGGACCCTTTCCCCGGGGGGGGGGGGGGGGGGGGGGTTGAGGTGGGTCATAGAAGGGCCTCTGAACGGCCTGGACTGCACATCCCCCCCCCCTCTCTCTCTTTCTTTCTACGTGACGACTGAATGCCTTAGAAGTAACCAGAGACAGTAAAGCATTCGCAAAGCGTTGTATTGTTGGGCGGGTTCGTGGGAGATGTATTGATGGACGAAGGCGAAGAAGCTGAAACCCCTATTAGTAGCGCGGGGCCCTTATCACGGTCTCCATTTATCCCCCCCCCCTGTTGTACTCTCTGTTTCTCTGTCTCTCTCTCTTTCTCTCTCTCTTTTCAAGAAAATTGAAAATTAAGAAAATACATTAATTTTGTGTGCTGGCGATGGAACCCTGAGGAGGAGGGGGAGCAGGCCAGCATGGGGCGCTCTAGAACGGTTGATGATTCCGCCTCCACATCCAAAGAAGCTTCTTTACTCCATATGAACGTGGGTGCGGCAAAGGGGATGGATGGGGTGGCGTTGCATTACATGTCTTAACACGGGCGAAAGTCCGGCAATGTTAGAGGCAAATCAGCAGCTCAAATCCATAGGAACAGCGGATTGGCCTGGGAACAGAGACATGATGGAAGGCGTTTAAGAGCGTACCAGTGTAGAATTATAAGTCATTGCGGGTTCTTTGGGAATGAGACGGCTGCTTCAGTGATTTTCGTCTCCCAGGGTTGGATCTCATGCCATGTCATATCAGACCTGATGCGACGTGCCGGGCGGCGCGGAGACGCCTTTCAAGGACCAGCGAACGATATACAATGTTTGGCGTATAAGAAGGTGATACATGATGGAGACAGGCGCTTCTTGGACCTGAAAACATACGGATTGATGGCCAAGATCATAGGAGTTGGAGTTGGAATAAGCTGCATGTTACGCAGGCACAAGCATGAGTTGAAGCTGATTTTGAAGTGGTTGTCCAGAGTGTGATGTTGGGCAACATGGTTCGTGATGGCTGCGGCGGGGAAGATCTAGACGTCGCTGGTGGGGCGCCGGGGGTGGGGTGGGGGGGGGATGCGATGCATCGAATAGGGGATCAGAACTTTAGCAATGTAATTTAAGTTGCGGGTACTCTCCGCGGGCCCTCTTGACAGGCGGAAATGACTTGGACGGAGTCGGGCTGACTGGTGGTGAGGCAAGAAGCCTCGGGATGATTGGCTTGGGATGTCGGTGAGCGTCACCTGCAAATGCAGCTCAGCATGCAGTGCATCATGCAACTGCAACCACGACACACATCAGATAGATAGGTAGTTTAGCATGGCTGAACGCACTCTTGATTTGAATCTAGGTAGGGGACTTCGCCCGCCCCTCACTTAGTCTGCCTCGCCTCACCTAAGCTGGCTATGGTAGTGACTGCATACAATACATATATGTATGGTGCATGCCTTAGCCTGTTTAGGATATTGCATTTGGAACAGTTATTTCCTCTCCTGCTGCTGCATCCAACCCCAAGATAGAAACATCTCAACGTTACAGCTTCCTTTCTTATTTCTCCTCAGCTGCCTATTTCTGGCCCTCTTTCCCCTTCTTCCCCTTCCCCTTTGCATTCTTTGCCTCCTTGTCATCATGTTCCTTCCCGCTGTCCTCTTTGCAGGGGTCTGCGTACCCATGTACACCAAGGTAGTATCGCCTTTCAACGCCCGCGATTGGCCAGACGCCTTCCGAAGCTAGGCCCTTCTCGGGGCGACCGGCCGTCGCCGCAGCTGCCCGTGACAGTTCTCTTGCTCGCCTGCCTGCCTACTATGTAGTATTGTCCCATAGCCCGCCGAGCGCATGTTCAATTCCCCCAGATTAAGGCTCGGGTTTCTGCCTCATTTGTCCCAACGTACACAGTCGAGAAGCGCTACTGCTCGTGAATTTTCCCGCTCGCAACATTCGCCTTGGGAAATCGCAACACTGCCCTACCATCACGTCACCCGAGTATTTCTTATCTCTGGAGTAGTGCGGACCAGCCGAGCCACCAACCCCAATATGGCACGCGAGGTATTAAATGGGTTAAAGCCACGTCTTGGGTCCCGCCAAGCCGGCCGAGTCCACCGTTGCGCGATGTCTTGCTTGGGGCGCTTCAGCTCTTAGTCTCGTTCCAGCATGTAGTCACACGGGGCGGTGCTGGCTCGTGAAGATCACCACTGCTCGATTGGAAATTCGGCTTGACCAACCCATTATCAATTCTTCGCATCCGGCCGCCGGCCGCTACCTCAGTCCGGATGGCGGCGCCCACCAACATCACTACTGCAGCTAACCCGCCACCTGTCGTTTGTCTCGGCGATAGGGCCCCCCCCCCCCACACGACTCATCGATTCTCTGCAATCCATATTGCCAGTGCGTTTCACGGTAGTCTGTCCACCCTCCACGATACTGGGCAATTCGGGTTGTGGGTTGTAGACAACGGCACCAACCAGTGCTTACTATACGGACATGCCATCGCTGTGCGAGAACCCGCCTGGCATCACCTCATCATATCATGTCTGCCAACTGAGGTGTCCGAGAGCGAGCAGTTACAGAAAGCCAACGTCGAGCCCCATAAACTCGGTGCTAAGTTGACCATTCGTTGACCAGGACTGTGAGTTGGTTCTCCATCAAGGACTCGTCCATGCTTGCCTTTACGATATGAACCAGCGGAAGATGCGGTCGCAGTCTCGGTTATCACGCACCATGTCACAGCAAGATCATACTGTCCCACAAACTTTGGATGACTCGTTGGTAGCTAACTGGGGTGAGGTTTTCCCCCGAGTGCGAAAACTACACTGCCTCCGGTGAAATGGTCGCAACTTACCGGGCGGCATGTCTCTGATCATGGCAGGTGTCAAGGATTGAGGCCGTAACACGCAGGTTTCAAGCTTGCGGCAGCACATTTTAGGCTACGGATTCCTCTTTGAGTGTATCCTGTTGAACTTTAGCTGGGTGATGTTGCTGTGTTTTCCCATAGGACCGCATAAGGCACGAGGCATGATTATACAGTTCCCCAATGTGCTTGTTGATGGTGATATCTCTATTGAAGGTCCGTGGCGTTTGGGGGGGGGGGGGGGGGGGGGGGGGGGGGTTGCAGGATGGATTAACATCGGGCACCCAACTAATGTCACATTCCACGGTGGTTTCAATACCGTCGTTCATGAAGTGCGTACAACTTTAAATGACTCCGGTGGGGTTTCCTCATCGAGAAACGGCCGAGCTGAGGCGCACTCTGCCCTCGCACAAAGCTGGGTATGAGCCCCCATTGTCTTGGAGTCCAGGAGAGCGACATTAGCAGCGACGGCACCTTGACGTTCGGATACGATTCTTGTAACAACGAAGGTGCCACACGGTTTGCGGGAGGGGCCGGACACCCTTCCCTTCCTTTCAGCTGGGGAGCAGAGGCCGCTCTTTTGGACGAATGACGGCTGTGGATAAACCGTATGTTTACATCCCAAGGGCTCTTTGGGCACTGAAAAGGTACATGTTGACGACTGAACCACAGGTTGGAACACTAATCATCAGAGCTGCTCGACGCGAGCTGCCCGGTGCTACCAGTGCGTTGGCGGCCGTTGGCTACATGTCTACGTCGGTCTATCGCAAGCGCCAGCTTCCCTTACGACCGGCGTTGGACTGTCATACATCCAACATCCACAGGGAACCAAATTGGCGCCGAACCCCTACCACTATCGCACCACTGTCGAGTGTTTACTGGCTTCCACGCTTGATTGGTTAGGAACGCCAACACCAGGCCTGTTCGACTCGTCGGAGTGGAAGAAGGCACCCCAACGTACGAACCCGCTTCGCCGTCGGGCAGTATCCGACCTCGACATTTCTTGATATGACTAGGTCAGGCATGGAGAAGTTCTAGAACCCATCCACCTCCCGGTGTATCGAGTGAGGTTACGATGCTTCCAGAGCCTTTGGCCCTCCATTCGCAAACAGCAAGGGACCTGGCAGTCTCACAGATACCGTCACCATGGGTACAACAACCTTGCACAAGAGAGGTGGGGGTCTCAACCGAAAATTCAATGGGCTATCCTCCATTGTACCCCGCACACTCTCTACCATGTTCGTACCGTTCCAGCTGCGGAGGCTCAACATCGACCAAGTCATGAAATACTTATAGCAGGAAACAGGTGGGACAAGAAGAAGCGAGCTTTTGGCACTACGCGCCTTGTCGCGAACACGCAGACACTACGTTACCTTTGTAACAAAATTGTGAGATAAGTGACTTTTGGAAAGCTACCGTGGCTCCTCGTCGAACTCTGGATAGGATATACCATGACATTCATTGCTGATCATTGTTTCCTGGACAGCCAATCCAATTTCGGAGCCAACTGAGCGGGATCAGACCAATAACGACACGTCGCATTACAGTGTGAACGGTAAGCCTTGCCAACCTGCCCATTGTGCCCATTGATAGATGACGTCAGAACCGCGATGATGGAACTTTCGATGTGGCGTAGAACATTGACTGTAGCCACAATTGGTCGGGTTCAGACGGAACTACATGGTTGAGCAGCAATTGAGCCGACTCATCGATAGGGCGAGTAACCATAACATACACACGAGGATGGGCGCGAAACCAGATCTACAGATTACTTCAGATACTTTAAAGGGGAAGCTCGGAAAATAGAAAATGCTGCGGGACTTCGTTGGGTGCCAACTTGCACATAAACGCGTGTTTCAGCAGACATTACAAGAACCCGCCTGATGATGTGGCTGAGGTGCGCTCAACACCAATTGATGGAACCGGTGGTCGATCAAACTTCAGTTACAAGGCCTAGGCGGAGAGAGGGGTCGGTTCAACGTACAGGATTGTATAGGTGGCATGATTGAATTGGTTCAAAAAATTGCGCAGGTCACCATAAACGAGTTTTTGATTCAAGGGCCAATGAGGGAAATTGGTGTCACAAACGAGGCGATGGCGATGGCGAGTGTGTAGTGAAGGGTGCGTTGGCAAGAGATGGAAACACATTCTCTGTTGGCGAAACGGTAGAGTGGGTGTCCAGACGCATATTGACCTCATCTGACGTCATAGCCGAGGCCCTGCATCCGGTACGTTCCGCTGACAACTGCCCGACTCCCTCTTGCCTGCTTCCCTCTCACTCTCAGTACCATGGTAGTCGTTTGTATGGCCTGGTCAACGGAGACGGGGCTGCTTGTTGGCTCCCGCGGCCAACCAACACATGTACCGCTTCTGATACTACCTTTTCTACTCACTAGTTGGCCAAGCTGTGCAGAACCCCCCAAGGCTGGATTCTGCAACATCCATGCCTTGGATGCAATTTCAACTCGCCAACTTAAGTTGAGAGACGAACCCCAAACTAAATACCACCAAGACAAAGGCAAGATAGAATATTGCCCCCCCGGTGTGTGGCATGGACTGGCTGGGCATAGTCTATGCCCGTTCAACGTCCAACGGTTTGACTAGTCCCCTTGCATCAGACCCGGCCCAAGGCGAGATGCCACTACTAGTTCCATCTTTAGCTATTATCTACTGGATCGAGGTGTTGTCCGCGGATAACCCACTTCTGTTCCCCATCTGACGGCTGTCGATGGGCAAGGGACCCTCCCACCAGTGATGGGAAGAGCCACCCAGCACCTACCTAGGTACCTAGTTCAAGCACTCAACGAGGGAGTGTGAGTGCGTGACGGAGCCCCTAGCGCCCCGCAACCACCTACCATTGAGGTACCATAGGTGTATAGGTAGCATGGACTGCATAACTGCAGACACTTCAGCGGTCAGCCGATCGCCATATCCGTGTGACGACCCTCGACCCTCACTCGCTTGTCAAACTATCCGTCATAATCTGGGGCCGCCCTTCAAGCTTACTGCCACTTCTCCCATCGTCTCTTGCCTCCCATTGTTTTGTGGCAGTCAACACTGCGATTTGCTTGTTCTGGCCTCTTCTTTCTGTGCCAATAGGCGCCCTCTCCCCGGGGTGCATGTCCTCCCTCCCCAAGCCTTCAAATTGGTTCTCTCGAGTCCCTCTCTTGTCGCCGCTCCTGCATCATCATACGCCCCCGTCTCCGTCCCTTCGCACCCCCCCTTCCACCGATCATGGCTGCCTTTGTGACTTCCAGTATATACACTACCCAAGCCGCACCTCCTTCTTCAATGCCATTCATCTACTTTTTTCTTGACATGGCTCAGCTTCGGCCCTGACACTCACCTACCATCCACTAGCAATACTCATTCCACACCACCACATCGCATCTTCTTCGCTCCTCTTCAGCCCTCTAGACCTCATAGACGACGATCTTGGTACAAAAATGGGACGCCCTCATCACATGGGAACTGATACCGAACAGGACCCTGTCCAGTCCTACGGTCGCCCTTACGAGCCTGCCTCTGAATCGTACGATCCGTTCCCCCCTCGTGGCCGCAGTCCCGCTATCCGGCGTCACAACAGATCAGAACCTGCCGCCTCTGCTGCTGTATACGACGACTTCCAACGCGATCCTGGTCACAGGGAACAACCCATGGGACACCGCGAGAGCCATAAGCGCCGCAAAGATACAGGCTCAGACGCCTACGCACCCCAGGCCGAGCTCAGGCAGGATCGCAAGAGTCACAAGAACCGCTACTACCACGGCGACGAAAACGAAGCCTTCCCAAGCCGGGCTCGGAGCCACGGTCGCTCCGCCCGTGAACCTTCAAACGCCGGTCATTACCGCTCTATCGACGACCAACGCAATGAATTTGACGCGTACGCACCGGCGTCTCGTCGTGGTCGTGAGCGACAACACGCGTATCACCCGCCTCGGACAAGCGACACGAGGCGCACCAAGTATTCAGATTTCGAAGCAGAGCCTCGTCAGGCTGAAATGCGTCGCTCCCGCTACGCCGACTACGACGACACAGACCCCCGTACATCGGAGCCACGCCACTCCCGGTACCACGAGTACGATGCTGAGCCCCGTGAGATTGGCAGGCGACGTTCGCGCAACACTGATATTGAGAAAAATCGTCGTGGTGGTAGCGAAGCTACTCGCGACCGCTATACCGATTACGAGTCCGGACCCCGTCCTCAGGCGCATGGCTATGCTTTCCAGGAGCGCGGTCGCTTCAGAAATGACTCTCCAGACCGATATGAGCGGTCCGGCGGCCAGCAGCGCTCTACTAGAGGCCAGTCTATGCCCAGAAGAGAAGCTATAGGTGGTACCTCCGCAGCTTCCCGGCCCCGAGCCAGATCAGCTGTTGGTTATGCTGCCCTTGGCGAAGCTGCCCAGACGGCTTTTAGGGTTGGAAGTCAAGCAGCTATGCAGGTGCGGAGCGAGCCCGGCCCCTGGATTGGCGAGAAAGGTACGCGGGTGGCCACGGCTGCTCTCGGTGCCGCCCTCGTTGATACGTTTGTCGGCCATAAGGCCACTGGCATGAAGGGTGGTATGCGCCATCAGGCACTTCGGCAAGCATGTGAAATGGGCATCCGCAACTTTGTTGTACAACCTACTGTCAATACAGCGACTCGTCGCAGCACCAGCGGCGGCGGCGGCGGTCGCAGTAGCGGTGGTCGCAGTCGGCACTGATCGCATATTATTTGGATGAAGTCTAGTGGCATGCTTCTTCTTAACCCTTTCTGCCCCGGGTACATTCTCGGCGATTTCTTTTCCGGTACTTCTGTAGCTATCTCCGGGTGCTGTGGTGGTGGCAGGCGTTGAAATCTAGAGTCCCGGAAACCAAGCCGAAGGATTGTCATTGGCGGCAAGGATTTCCACACCAGCAAGGCGCGCCAGTCTTTATATCCAGACGAGAGCAGTGAGTGATAATGATTCGTGAGCAAAACTTTAGAATTCAGCAGTCAGTCTACGGGGAAATGGATGAAAGAGAAACCGCACCACTTCCAACATGGTTCTATCAAAAGTCTACAGCATCATAGAACCTATGTGTTATGTATACATTTACATCATAGAATATGGAGACACCGGCAACTTTGGCCCCGAAAGCCATCAGAGACCGATGAAATCGCTTACTATCACCCCCCGTATCTAACCCAAACCTTGCTCCGCTATACCTCAACACCCATGATCTCTTTCAGCTTGCCCCGTTTTGAGCCGGGGTTCAGGGCTAAACAGCAAACCCAGTCAGGAAACCAGTGTATAAAGTTCAACCCGCCGTGGTCTTGGCTTAGACTATCAATAGATCCGCCTTGACGCCGGAGGCTATGAATACATCCGCAGCCAGCCCTAGGCATTCTCTGATCTCCTCTGAGGTTCTCCCTGAGGTCTTACCCTCGGCCGATTTCGAGGTGGTCCGACGACCTAAAACGATGAGATTGTGCCATGTGACTTCGCGCGTGTCTGCCCGGATATCCGATGCGGCATAGGCCGAAGCGGCCTCGATGACGTTGTTGGCAAATGACGTCTCAAACTTGACACGCGAGACCACGCCAGCAGGTACGTGGGTTGATACAAAACCGAAGTAGTCAGCTTCCTGGGTCCGGGAGTCGGCCCCTGTCGTCGGCGCGAAGTGCACCACTGTTGCTGTGGCGTTGGGCTTCTCGCAAAGCTGGAGCACTAACTTAAGAGCAAACTTGTCGTCGGTACCGCCAAAGTACGGCATGAAAATGTGATGAGACTTGTTCGTGACAGGAATCGAAGGGATATCATGGTGAATATCGCTGAACGAATATGCTCGCATCAGTTTGCTCCGGTCGTTCCCGCTGTCCGTAGCAGGTTGAGGTACACTACCCTGGGGGGAAAATATGCCAACATTGTGCTCTGTGGAGGCAAGTATGGACTTGGCAAAACCTGTGTACGTTGATGCGAGCTTGTTGGTGACATCCACTGAAGGCACTTGTGAATCATTCAGGCCACCACTCTCGCTCCAGGGTACAAGAAGGAGATCGGATGAGATATCCGAAGCCTTAGACAGAAGAGCTTCAGCAAAGCGGGTTTCAGGCATGATAGACACTTCGCCCGAGACAGCTACCTTTAGAAACTGTCCCACGGTCCGGAATATATTCACTACTGGGTCGTTTCGGCTGAAGTCGTCGACTTGGGAGACTGTCATGACTGAAGAATCACGGTCGGTAAGATGGAGCAAGCGGAAGCCATGAGCCCGTACAGCTCTAGTACCGTTGGTAGAACCGAGAGCAACTGTGTCCGTTTGCAACTCGCCCTTCTCTTCGCTTTCAGCATACTGGCCTCCGGTTGACGACTGCTTACCGAAGAGTGACACAAGGTTGAGAAGAGCCGGCATGTTATCCAGGCGGAGATAGACCAGCAAGCGCTGAATCCGACCAGTAGTCGCCTTGGTCAACGCCGTTTGGTCGATTGCGTCGCTGTGGTTCGAAATGACTTCACCTGTGTCCCAGTCGATTTCGCCGCGTTTCCATGCTTCCAGCTTTTTCTGATACCAGCGAGGGTAGAGGAACGATGTCAGCGGGGTGGTCGTAAAGGTGGTTAGAAGAGCCATAACAACGAAGATGGTGAATGTTCTCGTGCTCAGAATCCGGGCTTGGAGGCCGATGTTCTGGGTCCATGTTAACATATGTTATTCTCTAGTTGGGAAAGGCGTAAACAGGGGCATATCATTTCTCATCTCCCCATTTACGTATGGTGATACAGGCGGGCAGGCACTCACAAGTACAATCAGCTCGACGAGACCTTTGCAGCTCATCAAGGCACCAATTGCGAACGATTCCCTCCATACCAAGCCGTTCAATCGAGCAGCGACACTAGCGCCAATTATCTTGGTAAAGAAGGCGGTAAAGGTAACGGCAATTACGTATCCCCAGGTAATGCCGCTGTCGAGGAGTCCAAGATTGGTGTTCAGACCGGAAAGGGTGAAATATAGGGGCAGAAAGAGAGCACCAATTAGATCCTCCAGCTTCTCTGTCACTTTGATGGCAAATCCATTTTCTCGGGGTAGAATAAGGCCCACCATAAAGCCTCCGAAGATGGCGTGAACACCAATGATGCCGGTAAAGAAGGCGGATGAGAGAGCAACTAGGAGGATCAGCGCGATCATGCTCTGCGAGGGCCCATTCTCAAGGCTTCCGGTTCGACGCAGCAACCAAACCAAAACTGGTCTGACGGCATAAGAAAGGAATAGCATGTAGCCAACACAGGATAGGAGAATCCAGAGAGCAGAAAGACCGGTTCCCGCGTTGGCAAGAGCGACGCAGAGAGCAAGGAGGATCCAGCCTGTAACCCATTAGCATCTTTCTGTATGGAAACCACAGTGGTTTTAGCACAAAACTCACCCACAACATCGTTGGCAACACCGGCCGAAAGTACAATGACTCCAACAGACGTATCCAAAAGCTTTAACTCCGTCAGAATACGGCAAAGAACGGGGAAGGCCTACAGATCATTCGTTAGTTGGTTAATGATGGTCATAATTGTGTAGATATATCTCACTGTGATTGCAATGGCAACACCGATGAACAGCATGTAGATAGGGAAATCGATATGCGTGACACCCTCGTCGCCGGAAAACTGATTATACAGGCCCCAAGCGAGAGCACAGCCGAGTGCAAAAGGAAGAGCCAAACCGGCAATTGCAACCGAAGTTGCAACGCGCCAGTTGCTAAGAAGGAAGCGTACGTCTGTCTCAAGGCCGATGAGGAAAAGATAGAGCACGAGACCGAGGTTGGCAACTAGAGTAAGGTTGGGAATGGACTCTGGGGGGAAGATGGCAGCGCGAAAGCCAGGTATGCGGCCCATGACAGACGGACCAAGGACAATACCGCCAATAACTTCCGCAATGACCCGAGGCTGTCGAATTTTGGACAATGGCCAGTGCAGAAGGTGGCATACAATGATGATAAGACCGGCCTACAACAAATAGATGTTAGTTTACTCGAGAATCGGAAGATGACCACTGGGATAGACGAACTTGAATGATAAACATAGTAATGGGGTCCTTGGGATTGTAATGGGAGGGGTTTGCACCCTCGATAACGCCACCCTGGGACGGAGCTCGGTTTCCCCCGGTACTAGACATTGAGGCTGCCGACGATGTACTCGTCGCCGACAGCAACGAAGTGACGGAAGACATGTTGTCTGTGGATAATACGAGATGATGCGATAATGGCTTCGGATGCCTCGTTCATGCGCACAGTAGCTATATGGTAGAGTTCGTACGTATCCACAAGCCCATACTTTGATTTTGAGTCAGATGGTTTTGCTGCTGGCGGATAAAATAAACAGTTCAGTTCGGTATGGCCTGTCTCTTGCTCCTGTGGAGGTTCGGCGCGCCAGGTGAAAGAAAAAGATCAGCTGAATCCCAGTCAGACGGGGCTGATAACGGTTTGTTGGCGGTGGCGGCGGCAGTGTGGTTATCTATCGGAGGGAGGGGGATATAAAGATATAACGAGTTGGTCCGGTGTAAGTTTGTTTGTGTGCTTAATCAGGTGTTTATGATGCCAAGCGAGAACTTGACCGAGTCTGGTTGGAACATGTGACTGTGTTTATTGTCTCTGCGATTATCTCTGTGGTCGGTGATGTTCATATGATGGCGCTTTTTGGCGTAGGATGCAGATAGCGTTAGAGATAGCATTGTATTCTGGTCACTTGCCCATATTACTCGCGGGGATGGTTGACAGCACGTGAATACGAGTTGAAAGGGAAACGCTTGGCCTGGCCTAGCTCGGCATAGCTGGATGAGGATTAGGGGTTCTTGGCTTGATGCGCCAGGTCATTCGTACAGAATCGTCGAATGATAACGGTCGCTACCCAGGTAGTATACCAATATCGGTAAATGACTTGGAGAAGTCACCTGCACGCACTGCGCGGAGTGAGGCAGAGGGGGAACGATGATGTATATAGAATGAGCTGGCCGGCTTTCGGCCGTCTGATTGACATTAATAGATGGGCGGCTAACACCTATGATTAAACAAGTATAACGCCACTAATAAGGGAGTATATGCTGTAATTATCCTAACTTCTGTTACTGGTCTAGTAGAGTGGCACAGGCCTACACACCAGACTTATTAGTTCCCTTAAGAGTCTACACCTAAATACTAAGTCTAAACCTATTACTAAATTGTAACTAACTTAATAAATATATAATATACCTATATAGTAAGTAGAATAATATAGTAAGTAGAACACTTCTACTACTTTTTTACCTCTTTAACCTTTATATTTACTTTTCTTAACGTATAAATATAAACTCTTCTTTTAAAGAAAACTAAATTATCCTTACCCTCTAAGATATCTAAAAAGACCTAAAAATGTCTTTATAAATAGTAGCTTATACCTTTAAGGTCCTCTTAATATCACTTTATAACTAATATAATAAATATATTATATAAAATTGTATATATTTAAAATTAAAAAAGATAATAAAAGTAAAAAAAAAGTAATTCTTAAAAAAAGTTATTAACTTAATTAATTAAAGATTTTTTTTATAATAAGATAATAAATAAAGTATAAGTAACTAACTTTTAGATAAATATAATATATTTATATAATAAGTAAAGTAATTATTATAATGTTAATTATCGCCTAGATATTAGCGGTATAGATTAACGCTAATATAGCTAGGATAACTACGGCCGATTTACTGTAGATCTACCGGATCTACAGGGATATTACGCAGTTAATTTGCTACGTAATCCTATAATAGTTTCCCTCTTTATGTATAATTTAGAACTAGTATTTACCCCTATTATTTATTACTGCCTATTAATACGTATAGTTAACTATATTACTACCCTAATAATAACTAACACTAATTAGTAGTTAAACTTTATAGTAACTACTACTATAAGATACTATAGATTAGTAAGGTTAATATAAGAAAAGGTAATTTCTATTATTAATTATCTATAGAGGCCTAGAGTAAGCTTTTACTAAAAAATCCCTCTATAAATACTCTTATAACAAGGTTATACTACACGCCTATTATAGGTTAATTTATGTTACCTAGTAGTTATATCCTCTTAATATAGTAAGAGCAGTATAGATTTATGTTATTTATATAAGTAAATTAACTTTATTACTATATAAGAAGTCCTCTATCTAACTATAAAAAACACCTTACTTTACATACTAACTTACTATTAATTAGTAACTATTTACTTTTTACTTTTTTTTTATTATAAGCCTATAAAGCTTACTAACTTTTGCTTTTTTTATATTTTTTTTTATTTTTATTTAAGTTATTTTATGTTACTAACGTAATAGCCTTTATTATATATAAGCTTATTATAAGCCTTTCCTTTTTAAGTTTTATTTAACTATAAGTCTTTATAATTACCTATACTACTAGTAGTAAATCCTCTAATAGATATATATGCCCCTTAATAACAGTTAAGGGAAACGCCTGTAACTAAGGGGTAGTTAGGCTAATAGAGGGTAACTATAAGTAAGTAATTAAGATAAGTAACTATAATAAGCTAGTAAGTAGCGCCTATAAGGCGGCTAAAGCCTAAGAATAAGAGGGAAATTACCCTAAATACGTACTACTACCTAACGCTACTAAGTAAGTAGAGGTAATCTAGAGCGCCTATAAAGTACCTAAAGGGCTTAAAAATTATATTATTACTACCTAATAGTAAAAAGACTATATTATAGAGTTACTATAAGATCTTATAATTACTAAGTAAAGAAACGTACTTACTACTATTACTATAGCTAACCTTATAAAGTATAAGCGTTATAATAATCTATATAGAATCCTCTATAAGAAAGTATAAGATAACTTTAGAGAATAGTTAATTAATAATTTTAAGCTACTACCTTATAAAGTTACTATAGAATTATATAACTATTTTACTAGCTATAGAGTATAAATTAATTACTTAAAGCACTTTATAGTTATATTATATATCTATAAGGTAGTAAAAAATAAGTTACTTATAATATGAAATAAAGAGATAATTATAACTACTACACTAAGAATTAGAGGATTTAAGAAGTAAGTAATAGATTATAAGTTTTATAAGAGTATTACTAGTTATAAAGGTACGTAGCTAAGTGCCTTAACTAGGAAGGGTATAGAAAGTAGGTCTATTCTATTAACTAGACTTTTTACTAGAGAGTCTAAGATTTTCCCCCTCTAGCCTAGACTAAATAGGTAAATAGTTACTAACGTATTACTAAGGTCCTGCTGTAGTTTCTACGTAACCCTTGTCTTAACACCCTTATAATTATCCCCCTTCCTAAGGCCTTAGTCCCTAAGGCCTTCTAAGGCTTTATTATTTATAGCGTTCTATTATAGCTATATATTTTATATTCTTTAGTAGTCCTACTTTAGTAACCTATTACTAACTAATTATTAACCTAGCTAGTTAAGGCCTTTTTTTAGTATTATAAATACTTTTATACTTAGTATTATTTTACTAAGTAGTTACTTTTATTATCTTATTCTCCTTTATTAAAGTCTTTTTTATATTATTATTACTATTTATTAGTTTTTTTTAGACTTATCCTTTAGGTATAAAAAATTCTACTTTTATATTATAGCTTTATTATTATTATAATTATTTTTTTATATATACCTTACTTTTATTTACTTTACTTTATATTTTTTTTTATCTTAGTAACTATTTATTATATAGTTATATAAGTACTTTTTCTCTCCTTAAGTATAAATACTTTTTAGGTTTTTTTTATATAAGAACTTTTTTTTTATTTTTATTTTTTATTATAGTTTTATTAAGTGTTTATTATTTTTTTTTTATATTCTTTACTTTTTTTTTATTTTTTTTCTCTTATTTAAACTCTTATTACTAAGCCTTTACTACCTTCTTACTAATTTCTTTTTTTTATTTTAAGAAGTTCTTTACTTTTTTCTTAGTAATTTTTTTTTTTTATCTTTATAGTAAACGTTTTATAATTATAAGTATTATTATTTATATTATAAATATCTTTAAGCTTCCTTATAATAAAGAGGAGGGCTTTAATAGCCTTAAGGGTAGTACGCCTTATATTAATTACCTTAAGTAGCTTTATTATAATATTAGTTACTTTTTTTATTACTAAGGGGCCTATATTACTAAGTATATAACTTATACTATTAATAAAAAGAAATATTTTATAGTATATTCTTACTAACTTTTTACTATTTTTTTACTATTATTAACACTCTCTTAAGTTCTTAATAAGCTTTAGGGAGTAGCCTAAAAGACTTAAAATTACTTTATATATTTATACTTAGTTATTACTAACTATAAGCTAACTAACCTCTAATATTAGTATATTTAGGACGCTATGTTATATATTTTCTCCTTTTAGGTTTATATTACTAATTATATTACTAACTTTTTAATAGGTATTAGTCTTATAAACTTAAGCTATATTACTATCTAAAAGCTTACTTTAAACTATAAGTATTTTAGTCTCCTAATTAAGCTTTAAGTAAGTTACTATATTTTTATACTACTTTTACTAACTAACTTTTTTATTTAAGTAAGTCTTATTTATACTAAAGAGGTTATTAGTTACCTTAACTAACTTTAGCCTACTTATATTTATAATAATAGCTATATAAAGGCTTTATAAAAAAATATTAAGTTTTTTAATAAGTACTAAGATAAAAAATATAATAATATTACTTATAAGGGTATCTTTAACTACTTTTATAAGTAGCTAGAGTTTTATAGTACTATTAGTAACTATATTAATAATCTTATCCTTATTTATACTATAGCTATTATAGGTTTTATACTTATTACTTATAGTAATAAGACCTATACTCCTTAGACTAAGTATAAGTTAGCTAGAGCTACTAAGTCTTTATTAAAGCGTTATTATACTCCTAAGCTTAAGCCTACTATTATAGTTCTTTTTTCTAATAAGGGTTCTAATAAAGAGGTTAAGGATTAATTAAATAAATATAAGGCTAATAAAAAGGATAAAGTTTTACTAAGTACTTATACTATAAATACTAATCTTTATAAGAAGTACGCCCTTATAGATAAGTAAAAAAATAATACTACTACTACTAAGCTTATAAAGAAAAAGCGTAATACTAATATATATACTACTAAGGTTACTTATAAGGCTAAAAAAAAGAAGTATAAGGTAGTAATAGCTAAGTAAAAAGCTAAT